GTAATAGACAACTGATATAAATATCAAAATATGTGTTTTGTAAACAGATACAAATATACATAGAAAAAACTCAGATCAATACAAACTGCCATACTTATGTATACAAATGCTAGTAGCGTGCAACTGAACCCCCGACCGTTGGAAATAAGGCGGTGCGACAAACCGCTACACCACTGAAAACAATATCAATTAGAACTCATCCTTGTAACAAATTAATTATAATACATAAATATTATTTCAAAGACATTCTCATTAACTTAACGATATTCTAATTAGATGAAAATATGCATTTCCAGAGCTGATTTAGACTTAATTACTGGTTGTTTGTGACATAATCTTGTAAACATATTTATTGATTTTAATTAATCAATTATATCTTGATATTGCGCATATCATGCGGAGAAGCAAGAGCCGGATTTATATGAAAGTATATAGGTACTTAGATCTAAAGGGGGAGGATGAACGAAGGCAAGATAGATGGACTGTGTGAAAGATAATATACATCAAAGGAATGTAGGTAAGCTCAAATATAACGACTGATAGAGACTGGAAGATGACACTATGCCGGCCTCAAAAAAAGGGTTAAAGTCAAGGCAAACATGAATTGATTTATTATAATACTCAAATAACATACTCGTAACAACAAAGACACACCTACATAGGCAAATGCATCTACCTGTTAAGAAACTCATTGATCAAAACATACAAAGTATAATATTATAGGTAGTTTTTGATAAGTTCGGATTGATTATTCCATGAGTTATAAAAAAAAAATATTAGATTTTTGAAAATATTAATAATATCATCTACATATTATATACAAATAGATGACGTATTAAAAGATAATTATATTATTTATTTTTATTGTTTCAAAATGGCAATATTCATTAATCAGGGAAAGATCGGAACTATGTCGTGTAAGTTCGGACTATTTTTTAATTTTCAATATAAGCCCTAATCATGTTTAATACTGATCCGATCTTTCCCCGATAAAAAATACTTCGTCGACCAAATATATCAGATAAAATTTATATTAGTTGCTGGCGTTAAAAAATAGTGCTTAGTTTTAGGGGAAATCTAATGCCTGTGTATAGGCAGTCTACCATTAGTTGCAGTAGATATATACTTATTTAATGAACACACACATTTAGAGATACACGTTAAAAATGCAAAATGTCCTTTTTCAATTGAATTTAAATATTGTAATGAATTTCCGCCTTTGGCCCTGGTGCCAGTGAATTCAATGAACCCAAATATATTTAAATAATAATTTGAATTGTTAATGTCCATGTCAATTTATAATCAAGACCGGCTAATAATAATAAACTATGGGAATCCAAGGTATCGTCAATAAGTGAACAAAACTCTAAAAACTATAACTCTCACTATAAACAAAGTGATGAAAACAATATTTACCTTGGTAAACTTGGTTAGAGCTGAAAGCTAAGAGAACCATACCTAATTTCCATGAAATAGATCTACATTTGTTAAAAAGTGAAATGAAAATTACGTTGTGCCTTAGTGATTGCTACCCCTACGTACAACTAAACTGCGGTGAGATCAAATCTGGCCTTCACTAAAAATATCTTTAGGTCTCAACTTATATTTCTGACTGACTTATCGGTGTAAGATACACCGCTCCCTGTTACGGTCAATTGAAATATACACAGTGAAAATTGGGCATGTAAAGTGTAGCGTTCATTATAAAGTTGATAATTAACTAACGGCACCCGGTAATGCAAGTCTCTGGTCCGGTGATCGACTATTATTACATTTATATAATGTTGTGTTGATTTAGTAACACTGCAGGTCGCTAGTAAAAAAATATTGATTGTCAAAATATGTATATTCCAAATAAATACTATACATATATAATAAGTAACAAACATAAAATAATCATATATTCACCACTGTGTTGTCCCATTCACGACAAAACTTTCGCTCCACTTTCTCGGGCACACAAGCATATACTTGATATAAAATAAACTTCTGGCTATACCATCTTGGATAACAGTCGTGATGTAAAGTAGAAATCTGAAAATATATATCAAACTCTTGATACTAATTGGCTTGAATTATATGAAAATGTTATTTTTTTTCTTTTAAGGAAATTATAGCTAGCTTTGTGATTACTATCATTTACTCTCGATTATATATATATATATATATATCCTTTAGAACGAATTCTGATGATTTCACCTCAGCCGTTGAGCAATAGTATCCAAGTAATTGATAGTTTCTACTACACTATGAAAACAATTACGTGTGGGATATTTTTGAAACGGAAAATATCGCCAAATAGGTTAATATAAATAAATAATATAAAATATTTCGAATTCCGAAATAAAACAAATAGTTGACGAGTAATAACTCATATATTTCCTTATACAAAAGATTTCAAAGATAAAAGTTATAAAAAAATATTATTACATTTAAAAGACGTTAAAATAAGGCACTAAATTCATAAGTTGTACGATTATGTTATGGCAATATAAAATGTTGAGATTCTATGTTCATTCAATAATACAAACACCAACGTATCAATAAAAAATATTAGATATAATCACTTCATAAATTCTTCGAAATGATCTTGTTTAAAAAAGTATATTCACATTAAGAGACCTTTAATAAGAGTGCTAAAGTTACTGTATGTTTATTAGCTTATTAGTGATATTAGAACAAACAGGTCTACATTGGAGACTAATGTCAATACCAATTACAATCGAATTATTACTGTACTTTCATTTCCTCTCGACCGAAAACTTGCTAAATGACAGTACTGAACCTCACCCACTGAACCACATCTGACATTCACACGGTTTCATAATATAACAATCTTAACCATTTTATAAGGGTTTAGCCAAGAGTAATATAGTCATCACAACCTATTGTTAGCTCGCAGGCTACATACATGTAAAACATAAGACTCACAATATAAACTACGTTAATACCAATTTAATGTTTAGTATTTACGTATGGGTTTTGGTTCAACACTTGTCAGCAGTTGACGATGCCTCTGATTACACATTTTGCTATTACAGTCAAGAAGTTAGTGGCTATTAGCATATGCAAGAATCAGTGAAACTTGTGTTCACATTATCCTGTAAGCACTTTTTGAATAATGTAATATGATTTTAAAATAAACATAATAATGCAAACATTAATTTCTTACATTTCATTAAAATGTTTATAGTATATTGGAGAGAATTGGATTTCGTGGCACAGGTACTGATATATTTGTCAATAAAGATTATTATTATTATATAAACATTTTTTGTATTGAAATCAGAAATATTTCGAAGATTAAATAAAGTCATGAACAGAAATAGTTACTGAATATTCATAGTACTAAATTAACACTAAAGATGTTTTAGGACTCTGAACGCAATATATCAAAATCGATTATATTCAAAGTGTTATTGACCATATTAAATTATTTCATACAAGTGATTCATTTGGCACGTTAGAGACTGAATGTTTTCATATGTCATATTATTGTGGGTACATAATTTCTTAACATTAACTATATCTACACATTAAATCTAAACATACTTATTTACCTATAAGGCACTGAAATAAAATTAATCTCAATAATTTAATACCGACTTAGTAAAACGGGGACGGATAGATACCAATAATAATTTTGTAATTTCGTAATTAAAAGTAAAACATAATTTCTGGATTCAATTGTCCGCAGTTTAACACATATCGCCATGAGACTGCCACATAGAACGTAATAATGTACAATTGTCATGCATAACCTATATTTTATAACTAATTAAAATGTATTTATGATAATTTTAGAACTATATAAAATACAGTATTATTACTTATACAGTCAGCGTGATACAGATCGTGTCGTCCGGAATGGAATATACGTCAATACGGAACTGAAATTCAATTTTAGTTATACATAAACAACATTATCAAACCGTCTGTACAACAAAGTTATCATTACAATTGTTCCAATATAGCACAGTTGTGTTGGTTTAGAATTAAATAGTAAATCATTACTATTAAATTAACTTAATATAAGGTTTACCTGAACATGTTACAATTATTTATATTTCTTAATTAAAAATTGGAAAATTAAGGTGCACTCTAATAAATTACCTTGTAAATTTATCTATTAATGACAAAAGTATCTTTTTGTTATTTAATTGTACAAAATTTGTCACTTTAGATATTATTTAAGAACCATCCAAATTAGTTTCTTTTATAGTACGGTTGTTTATTTTTGATCAATAATTGCTAATAAATTAATAAGAATCGTTCAGGCCTAGAATAGAATATTCTCATAATATAACAGTTATTTTTGCAAATTTTGACAAAATACAAAATAAATCATTTATATTTTAAGTAAATTTATATTATAAAATAAGTGGTTGAAAAGGCCATTTGAAGCCTTTTCATTGGCTGTGACTTCATTTATTGTTATCAAAATAACATGTCTAAAAGTATGGCAGATCAGTATAAAATACATTTTAATACTTACATACTAATTGTTACACTAATTATAAACAATTTGTTGTTTCATTGTTTCTACTCCCCAGAACATAATACATTATACGCAATTATTAAAGATGTTTAAATATTTTCACATGATTAATTACTTCAAAACAACAAGATTTTATGGAGATGACACAATGGAAGCACTATAACTATATGTTATGGTCTGGGCTCATAATTGTGACAATGATTTATATTATAATTATAACCCCTCAATACTGGGCAAATTAATAATACACTTCGATCTGTACCATATATGAACGAGATGTTAAATGCCAATACTTTTCGAATCTGCAAATCTTTTGAGAATTCATACAAAATTGGATAGATTAAGCACTTAGAAACTAACACAAGCCAAGACAAACATTGCCTGTACACATGCGCTTGCCGTTATTTATTCAGTGTGTGAATACAGCATCAGATTAAAACAGAATAATGTTAGCATTGCGATGGAAAAGTAACAAAAATGAATATTATTAACAGCGTTAGGATCGTCTTCTGCCAGACTAGGTCAAATTAAAACACAGCTTAATCTTAGCATGTCAAGCTTTACATTCACCACGACGTTGAAAATTAGAAAGACGATGCTTCTGACTACTCTATACGTTATGTATGTTTTTTATTATATTACTGCAGAAATAAGTGAAAGCATGCTTCGTAAACCCATTTAGGCGAGTATCATAGTACATAAATTTATGGATTTACGGTTTCAGTATAAATGAAAAGGTTAATATTATAAGGAATGTTAGACGGACTGCGTGTCAACTTCCTCGCCGTAATCAAGATCGTCGTAATTGAGGTCGTCATCCAAAATGAGATTCGGTGATCCCTTGCTGTTAGGACATGCCAGACATCTGAAAGTAGCAAACAAATACATTAATCAGGTGATAAAATATATTCTATTCAATAAACTTAATATAAGCACTTTTGAATAGACATATTTTTTTTATTCTACTACTAATTCCGAACGCAGACTCATTACAAGAATGAGTAAGAAATTTACGTGTTGCTCTTTTAAAGAAATATTGTTTAGAATAACATTTTTAAGAATTTTGTGTGAATACAAACTGACAAATAGCAAAGTACACATAAATAAATAAATAGTGAATTGAGTAACAAAATAAATCAGTCCCAATTGTTGGGAGCACAATTTCCTGTCCCATCACTGTTTTCTTTTTATTTATATAAAATATAAAACAGATATTTCAAATTTCAAAACCCATGACGCTGCATAAAATCTATTCAGGACGTTAAAGGACACTACAAAAACTAGGTAACGTCCTGGGAAAACAGGACTATTGGCAACTCCAAAATAGGTGAGATAGAAGTATCCCACCCACACAGACTTTCTACAAAGTGTACTTCGGTAGAAAACGCGATTAAAAAGTACATGTATAATATTCACAAAATTAATACAAGATGTCTGAACGGGTACTGCTTATGGTGACTGGTGTGTTCTGGTTACGAACACTGATTAGACTATATGCTTTTGCAATAGCATATGCTGGGGGTCACTCTATTCTCCCAAATTTGAATTTAAAAATGAATCTGTATTATTGTAGACACAATAATACAGATTCATTTTTGTACAACAATTATTTGAAAAGAATAAGGGCTTGTCTGTTCTTATCTCGAAACCATTCCGAACTGACGGTAGATCTGTAATAGATCTACATGAATAAAGATATTTTGAATTTGAATGTAGTAGGATAACTTTTCTTAGTTCTAATAATCTTATTGTTCTAACACCTGCCAGTCATTCGATATGTGTTAAGCGCATGTTAATAATATTTATGTTAATAGCTACCGACCAACTGTTGAGGTCGACTAGCAGGTGCTATAATACCTGTTTTAACATCAAACATATTATTGATCTACTATACAAATATTGATGGGCTCGGTGGTCTAGCGGTTTATCACACCGCCTTATTTCCGATTGTCGCAAGTTCGATTCTATAAACAAACATTCATATTATTCTTGAGTATTGTTTGTATTGGTTTATGTGTTTTCTATGTATGTTTATGTGTTTACAAAATTTATAAAAAAAAAAATGTATGCTTTAAATATCAGATATGGCAGCAGTATTTTAGCGGTCATTTCTCCGAATATTATATACGATAAAGTAATCGGGTCTACCTAAAATAGTTTTGTTGCCGGCGTTGAGCATAACGAAGGCAACTGGTGTATCCAATTATTGTATTATAAATCATTATAAGAAAGAAAGTAAATATGTACATTCAATACCTGAAAGCTATGATACAAAAGCAAAAAAAAAGATTATCAATTAACAATTGGAGCACTGTGTGGTATTGATTCTGCGGATACGATTACGGATTAAACTATATAAACATATATATAAATACATACATACATCTAGGCGCATGCCAGTGAGTAAATATAATATAACTGAAATATATTATCATTAATATTAACTACTAGTCTGTACTGAAGTTTAAAGAATAAGAAAAAATAACGATCATGTGATTATAGACCTTTTTGGATTGAGTTAGTAACAAACTTTAAATTATACCTATGTATATATAAAATAATAGGTGATGTTTGTAGTATGTTAAGACGAAGCAGATGTTCTCTTACGCAGTACGACTAACTGATAAACAAGATATTTTAAGAACGCGATTTAATGTTTCGATTGTGGTAACCTACTTTGTTGCAAACAACAATATATTTGTTTTATTTTGTTTTTTACAGAGTTCTTTAGTTGATGTCTGAATATGATAATATCAAGATCGTAACTTTTTTCATACTCAGTTATATATCTGGATATAATTATATTTTGTAACATGTTCTATGCGTATCTATATTTTTTTAATTTAAATTAAGCACGTCTAAATAAACTCTACTGTGTGTGTGTTTTATATACATATGTGGTGAGCGTGCATATAAGCATACCAATTTCGATTAGCAGCTTCTGGATAAAATTTATATTACCTATACAGAACTTTTAAATCAATGATTTTATATTCACTGTCTTCTTTGGTATGAATTTATAACAAATGTATTTATTGTACACATGTGTATAACAAATACATTTCCTGTTAAGTAATGTGTACAATATACACATTACTTAACGGGATATTTACCATTATTTAAAAGATAAAGAAGAAGTGCTCCCGATATTTATATTTATATATATATATAGTATTGTAGACAACAGTGTAAAAAGAACACTATTTATATCAATAATATTTACGGTAACACACTTTATGTTAATAGTTATATTAGATTCGAGTGTTTTCACTTTCCTTTACATTCACTTTTACAAACCCTAGACTAATACCATCATAATATAGATATATACAAACATAAATGAAACTTAATATATAATTAAAATAATTAATTCCATGCTGACATCATTTGATAGACGTAAGTATTATGTACTTAAGTATAATTCATACTAATTATGTATGTATAAATAATCAATATCCATACGAGCGCAATCCCTTTTCCCCCATCTTACACTGTTTACTCAATGGTATCGTTCTATTTCCAGATTTAACTGTAATTTGTTGAATTATCGCAGGACGGCAGTGGATTCTTTAATTAATACGTAATTTTTAAGCAGTTTTTTTTAAATTAAGATGTGTATACATAATACATAACACGTATTCTTAATAATATTATAAATGCGAAAGTACCTCTCATCTGTCTGTCTGTATGTCACGCTTTCACACCAAAACTGCTTATTTAAATTTGAAATTTTGTACACAGATAGTCTCAAGGTCTAGAGAAAGGACATAAGCTACTTTTTAATGCGAAAAAGGAATGTAAGGGGTTGAAAGGGGAGATGAAAAGTTGTATGGAAGGATTGTCATTTCTAAACCTTGATACTTATTTTTGAGGCTGTTGATAAAACATAAATATGACTTTCAAAGTCAGTAAATTTTACCCTTAAGGGGGTAAAATAAAATAGGGTATAAAAGGTCGTAAAATAATTAGCCTAACTAACTAAAAATACAAGGCCACTTTTTAACGCATACTAAGTCACGAGCACAGCTAGTATGTAATACAATGGTCCTAAGTGAGCATAATGGGAAACTATAAAGCTGGTAGTTCTGATATCAATAAATAAATAAAAAATCATATCACTTTGTAGTTAATTACCTGCTTTCATTGATGCCATAATACAAACACTTCTCGCCAATACATTCACAGCATCCGTCGTGGAACCATCTGCAATTTATCAGACACGAAATAATTTATATACACAGTTGTAGATCAATAGATTTTCCTTAATAACAATTAAGATATCAGTTTCAGGAAGTCCAGGTATTTCTATAGCATTGAATGAAATAACAACGTAGTATTATGTGTAATAGTTACATAAACAATAACAATTTTAACACAGTTGTTTTCAATTTGTTAAAACTCCTAACGCAATACTCATAACATAATAAACTCGTGGATTTTTTTATATGAAGCAGTACTAAGATGGTTTGTATGTGTTTGTTTGCCATTCATAACGTCGAAATTGTTAACTGTCTGTTAGTTTATCTATTTGCTAATCTCTGAAACGGCTAGACCGATTTTGATGGAACTTTCAGTCCCATATAGCTAATATTATAAGTTTATTTATTTTAATAAAAAAAGTTAAATTTAGCGCGGACCAAATAACAGCTAAACGTCGCAAGTAACAGTTAATGAATTAATAAAACATATATAAGGTACCGTAAACTATTGGCACCCATGGAGCGACAGGAGGCGCGGCATTTCTCACTGGACATGCACTGCGACATATACGCAACTGTGCAGTTCAGTGTGAGGATGTCACGGCTTATTGGTTCAGGGTCTTGTTCTAAACTCTCTGAAAGAATTATTCATTTATTAATATCACATTACTGGTTATTGTATTTGAGTCTAGTCTTCGGGACCAAATACGGACAAAAAATCTTGAATGAATAATCTGCACTTTATAAAAGCAATTCCTAATTTATAAAATTATTAAATATACCAAGTTCATGGGATTACTCATTCAAAATTAAAAGAATAGAACTGTTCAACATAATAACTTTCTTATTCTGTTTAAATCCTTTCTAAGTTTAAAATAAAAGAAACAAAATTCTAATACAAAGGTGTCTATTGTTAAATACCGCTCAGAGCAGGTAATAGATTCCCAATGAATGACTCACTGTATCTCTGTGGGGTATTATCTTTACCATAATGCCAATGCCATATTCTATTTTTATTGCAAATTATTGTGCTACTTTAGACATTTGTTAGGATAGACAATAGGAAATGTTAATATTATATGCAAATTTTTATTTTTATATCCAAATTTCCTGTTTTCGCAACTAGCAAGAGAATATTTCTTTATATATAATAAACTATGTCTTGTTCACTTGATTATGATAATCTAACATATATTTAACAGTAGTAAGTAATACTATGTAATACAAAATACAATAATTAGTATGTCATAAGCTTTTCTTTTAAACATAACCTAAGAATAGACTGACCTGAATTAAATAACAAAATGGGTACATATATTGACATTAGAAAATTAATAACAAAGCAGTTGTCATTAATTTTCTAATGTCAAAAAAATCTAAAGCAAGCAAAACAATGTGCTCAATAAAGTAATGGATCTCTGAAAAAAAAAGGAATCATGTAAAAAGAAACTGAATGATTTTTAGACACATGGCTTGTAATAATTGTTTACTAACAACATACATCAGTAGGTTACTGGAACCCTATGACTACTCAGGATCACCTAAAGAGATGATGATTCTGCTGGGAATCACACTGTAGCCACGATGCAACATTTACTACATCTGTTCATAGTCTTCAACTGATTGCAGGACACAGAAAAAAAAGTAAAAATACAGCTACAAGCCATATGGCTTGTAGCTGTATTTTTACTACAGAACCTAAAAGTTACTTACGTAAGTGATACACCACTTGCTTCTCAGAAGCCGGCCGGAATTTTGACAAGTCAAAGTCCACCGGGTAAGTTATAGACAACCACCTCTCACGAGGATCAGCTTCACTTGTTAATGCCGAGAAGAGCCCAGGCACACCGTCAACCAGTTCTTCCACATAAGAAGATTTGGACAGCTCTGTGTGTGTATCATTTGGTTTTGGACACATATCTAAAACAAATAATTTATTAATGCAGAAAAGTATTACACACTTCTCAAAGTATGTTATTTAGAAACTCATACTGACACTTCTCTCATCTTAGTTTAAACATTTATTAACAAATACTTCATAACAGAAATTCTAAGATTTGTTTTTAAAATATTTATGGTATAATAAAAGCAATAAGAACCAGTTATAATGGAATAAATATCCTTACTTTTGTTATGCTAAGCTACTAAATAAGTGAGCATTGTTATTGTAATCTTGTATAGTTGTCTAATTACATGTAACTGGAAGGACAAACAAGGGGTGGCTGTCACCAATATACATAAAAAGTACTATGGCTATCACATTGTCATGTGGCAAGTTATTTCTTATGTACCACACAAGAGATAACATTCCTTACAATATAAGTGTCATGGGTTCATAACTCTGTTACTGTATTGATATATTTCACATATCAATTTATCTCAAGACCATTGCAAGTAAGTCAAAGCGCTAAACTGTTAAACCACCAAATATGGTGCTAATATAAACTCAATCTAAAGGACGGACTTTGATCAGTTTTCAACATTACAATTTCTCTATGTAAGTGTTTTATATGAAGTAAAATTATTACTATAGACATTTTATCACAGCACTTACCCACACAACTACAGCATTCTTCATATAAGTAATTGAGGCAGTTGAAGCAATCTTTGCAGCAGGAGCAGTCCTTCAGATCACATTTACATGATTGTGTTAACATGCATTTGGACACTACACTCGCGCATATTGCTTCATTGCACGCGTAAATAATTGGAACAAGGCATAAAAATGCACACACTAAATAGAATTTAGTAGCCATCATAACACCAATAACTGTAGAAGTAAACAACAGCTTTCGTATGATCTGTAGACACTATAGTTACCTATGTTCTAGTGTTCAGTTTTAAAGTATAATTATGCAGCGTCTTAATACACGATTGTAAAACAATATTTAATATATAAAAAATATTACGTCAGGACTAATAAACGAATTTAGAATCAATAATTACTATACTCGTTGAGAGACATAGAATCACATGTATCATGTATGATTTGTTGTCAAAATTGAAAGATTTCATACAAATAGAAAACGAAATGCAAAAGTTAGATTCAGTCACAAATTCACAGACGTAAACGTCAGAGTGTTATAAAGATTAAGGATGGAAGGCTACTATAATAGTATCGAGAACTTTTCTATCGATACCGATACTTTTGTACACGATATATTTAAACCGATATACCGCAAAAGAATTATAATAATAATAATAAAGACATTTATTCAGCATTATATCAGTATTCGGTTTTGGAAAAAAGGCGGGAAACATAGAATTTGGTGGTCGTGTTTTTTTGATAAATTTTAAATAAAAATTTAATAGTGATCAGTTAAGTTAGATATTGTAGATATTTTCACTCTTTTATGTATATTTTATTTGTTTATTAGTGTAATTATAGTAGCTGTAACATAGGTAAGTCATAATTATTTAATTTATATATGGACCCTCCTGAGGATCCTGGGGGCACAGGCCCTCAGGTGGGCCTCCACGTAACTATTAGCAATAATGAAAATGATTCCATGGATACTGATTGCTCTTTTACCCTAGTGGAGAATTTGAAAGTTAAACGAAAACGTATATCTGCTACTCATGTGTGTAAACACTGTAACAAAAAGCGAAGAAGAAATCGCGGTTCTAAAGGAAACTCTAAAAATCAAGAGAACACTTGTCAATGCGCTGTTGTAAATGAAGGTGATCAACCTTCTTCTAATACATGTACAAATATAGAGGATAATGAGAATAAGGTCGAGCAACCTCCTGTGACATGTGCAAATAATGAGGATAAAATGGATAATGCTGGTTCAAGTCAGTTACGACCATCAGTAGCTAGGCTTTATTATCAATCAGGTGATGCGGCACCTTATGTAGTCCATATCCAAAAGGAGCAGTCTTCGCCGGATGACAGAATTACTGTACACCCAATTGCCTTTGGTCGCCTATTAAAAAATTGTGCTTATAAAAATGTTATTAATGGTAGTTTGAAAAAAATTGGTAGGAATAGACTAGCTTTGTCATTCTCTAATTTTATTGATGCCAATTCCTTCATTGACTGTGACCGTTTAAAACAACAGAACTATAAAGCATTTGTCCCCTCTTTTAATCTTACTAGAATAGGAATTATTAAGGGTGTTCCCTCAAACTGGTCCCCTGAAGAGGTAATAAGTAACATTTCTGTCCCACATGGCTGTGGAGAAATACTTAAAGTTAGAAGGATTAGACGTAAGAATATTATTAATGGTGAATCCATATTTGTTGACACAGAAACTGTTATTATAACTTTTGATGGTCAAATACTTCCTAAACGTGTATTTATGTGTTACAACTCATTACCTGTAGATATTTACATATACCCAACAATACAATGTTATAACTGTTGTCGATATGGTCATGTTAAGGATCAATGCCGTTCTACACCACGGTGCTATAAATGTAGTAAAGGACATTCAGGTGAAAACTGTACGCAGCAAGAAGACTTCTGCTGCTGTCTATGTCTTGGTGATCATCAAGCTAACAGTAAAAACTGCCCGGAACTATGGAGACAAAAAGCAATAAAAGAAACTATGGCTAAAAGCTGTATATCTTATGCAGAAGCTAGCAAATTGCATGGTCCTGTAACAAAATCATATGCTGACACAGTTAAAACTAATTCTTCTATCATAACTGCGGAACATTTAAATAATACTAAACCCCAAAATACTCTATCTTCTAATATAATCAATAGATCATATAAAAAAACCATTGTACAAAAACCCCGTCAATCTCCAAAATTATCACATGGTTATGATGTAAACATGCATAAGCAATTAATAAAAGATTATAATCCTCCTACTCCTGCAGATGGCTGCGGTTATAAATCTGTAGCTGATCAGAATTTACCAAATCAATTTACAGAATTAATCATGGCTTTAATTAAATTGCTGACTGAGTCTAATTCTATTGTACCGTCCAACGCTGCTTCTCTATTTAGTGCTCTTCTTCAAATCTTCAACAACAATGGCTCCATTGGCCAAAGTTCTCCAGTGGAACTGTCGTAGTATTATTAATAAAAAAAGTGACTTATTTCATATTTTAAATAAAAATAAACCTTTTATTTGTGCCCTTCAGGAGACATGGCTGAAACCCATATCTACTTTTAAGATACCGGGTTATGCTTGTCTCAGAGAAGATAGGACAGATGGGTATGGTGGTGTCGCTATACTCGTCCGACATTTAGTTCCTTATTCACATATACCTATTGATCATAGCAGTAATTTTTCCATATTAGCTGTCCAAGTTAACAACATTTGTTATGTATCTTTATATATACCTCATCCATCAACTTCTATTTTTAATGAACTTAATAATATTCTTTCTGCCCTTCCCAAACCTTTATTAATACTAGGAGATTTAAATTCACAACATCAGTCCTGGGGTAGTACAACAAACAATTCATATGGCCACCAAGTTTTAGAAATATTAGATACCCTTAACCTGTGTGTATTAAATACTGGCCAACCTACACGTCGTACTCCACCTAATGAAGGAAATAGTGTTCCTGATCTTTCAATCTGTTCACCTACTCTTGCAACATCCCTTACTTGGTGCCCCTTGTCACTGTCATTTGGAAGTGATCATTTCCCTCTTATTATTTCTTTTCCTTTTATTGATAAACCACTACCAAATTATGAACCAAGGATGAAATATAAGCTAAATAATGCTGATTGGGATACTTTCAATAACGTCATTGCATCTAAAATCTCATCACTGCCTACTATTACTCAAGGCACTGAAACCATTTGCTCTAATGCATTCACTGAAGTATTAATACAGGCTGCTAATGAAGTTTTTCCTAAAAAATCTTCTTCTAAGAATACAATACCTTCACCACCATGGTGGGACAGTGAATGTACTGAAGCTATTAGGAAAAGAAAAAATGCTGAAAAACAATACAATTTACACTCTACATTGGAAAACTTTGATATCTTCTGTAATATATCCAGAACTACCCGTAAATTGTTAAGAGATAAGAAATTAACAGGTTGGAAGAAATTCTGTTCATCTATTTCTCCCAATGTGAATGCATCTATAGTCTGGAATAATATAAGAAGATTTAGAAGTGCATTCCACGATTCTAAATCAAATGTACTTCCTCCTCATATGGTTGAATGTTTCCTAGACAAGTTAGCCCCTCCCTCAGTTCCTGAAAAAGTTTTGTTGGATAAAGTTGTAATTACCTCTGATATAGATAATTTCTCTAAATTAAATGCTCCATTTTCGTTACCAGAGCTTAAGGGAGTACTTACAAAAGTTAAAGATTCTGCACCTGGAGAAGATGGAATACCATATTCTTTTTTTTTTCACACTTAGATAGTACATCTCTCTCCTATTTCTTAGATATCATTAACTCAATTATGATATCTGGTAATATTCCTGCTTTATGGAAGACTCAAAATATAATCCCCATTCTAAAACCTGACAAAACTCCATCTGACATTGCTTCCTACCGTCCTTTAGCGCTATCTTCAGTTCTGCTTAAACTGTCAGAACATCTGATCAAAAACCGTCTGGAATGGTATATTGAAAGTAACCACTATTTATCAGATAGTCAATATGGCTTTAGAAGAGGGAAATGTACTCTTGATAGTTTAAGTTTGTTTATAACGGATATTCGTTTAGCCTTTTCCAGAAATGACTCTGTACTTGCAACCTTTTTAGACATAGAATCTGCTTATGATAATGTTTCTTTGCCAATACTTAAGCAGAAACTTGATATATTACATATTCCAGTTAGACTGTCAACTTTTATAATTAATATTCTTACTGAAAGAACTATTATTATAAATTCTGATGACACTGGAATCTCATCTAGAGTAGTATGGAAAGGACTCCCACAAGGTTCAGTTCTTAGCCCCTTATTATACAACCTATACACTTATGATTTAGAAAAGGCTGTTTTAAGTAATATGAATAATAATGTTTTTATTTTACAATATGCAGACGATCTGCTTTTTTATGCCATAGACAAATCTGTTCAAAAATGCTGTTTGAATTTGACATCTGCATTAAAATATCTAAAGCTTTGGTTTGATCAGAATGCATTGCAGTTGTCACTTAACAAAAGCAATGCAGTTTTGTTCTCCAGAATGCGTATGCCTCCTCCTATTTCTATATATTATAATAATTGTCTTTTACCTGTAAAAAGTCAAAGCAAATTTTTAGGAGTAATACTAGATTCAAAACTAAGTGGACTTCCCCATTGCGAATACATTACTTTAAGATGTGAACGATTATTAAATATTCTTCGATGTTTGTCTGGAACTTGGTGGGGCGCTCATCCGTGTTCACTCAAACTGTTATATAACGCCATTATTAGAAGTATATTGGATTACGGCACATTTCTACTAGAGCCGGGTAGCTCAGCTGGTCTTAAAAAACTGGATGGCATACAATCAAAGGCTTTACGAATTGTAACTAGGGCTATGCGATCAAGCCCTATAAATGCATTGCAAGTGGAATGCTCAGATCCGCCATTGTATTTAAGACGTCAATATCTTTCTGATAAATTTTTATTTCGCAGTGCACAATGTACTACTCATCCCCTATTTAGTAAATTAAAATTATTATCTAATTATATTAATAATTCTGAATACTGGCGCCATAAATCTATTCCTTGTATTATAAAGAGCTTCCAGAAATTTTCATCTCTTACATCTCCTACTCATCGTTCACAATATTTTCCCATCTTCTGTACGAATTATGAATCATTAATTCTTGAACCAAGTATAATTTTTGACCTTAATATTCATAAAAATCACGACTCAAATATAGAATTTAACTCAACTGTAGACAAGAAATGGCGGAATTGGCACCGAATTTTTTGTGATGCATCTAAACATCATCCAACTGGATGTGTTGGGATCGGAGTTTACCATTCAAAATATAAAATAGTCCAAAAAATAAAACTTCCTCCAGAAACATCTGTATTTACTGGTGAATGTTTTGGTATTTACAAAGCTCTCGAATATATATTAATTATGAAACTTCAGCAAACAATAGTGTGTACTGATTCAAGAAGTGCACTGTTAGCTCTTCAAAAATTTCCATTTAAATCAAATATTAATTATCCTATTATCATAGAAATCAGAAAATTGCTGCAGTTATGTAACTCGAGGGGGTTCTCTGTCTCGCTTACGTGGATTCCAGGACATACTGGCATACATGGGAATGAGATAGCAGATCGCTTAGCGAACGAGGCAATTGGATGCGGTGATATTGTTCCATATAAAAATTATTGTCATGATCTGGCTGCTCTCCCAGGATTATATCTACATAATGCTTGGAGTGAATTTTGGCCTAATAGCTGCCAGAATAAGGCACGACATTATTTTAACATTCAACCAACTATTCAGTTTAAACCTTGGTTCTTCAAAATTAATTTGAACAAAAGCGAGACTACGTCAATAATTAGAATGAGATTGGGGCATGTATGCTCTCCTGCACATCTAGCTAAGCTAAAAATTGTAGATAATGATATATGTAGCTGTGGTACAGAAGTGGGTGACTTGAACCATATCATTTTCAGTTGTCCTCTGTATGATCATTCCTACCTTTTTAATGATCTCCTATCTCACCGAATTCCTTTACCTACATCAATTCCAATTTTATTATATCTTAATGATATTGATGTGTATAAAAGTATTTCGATTTTTCTAAGTAGTAATAATATAAAATTGTAAATATAAAACTGACTGCCTCTATATAAATATATCATATGTAAATAGTTGTCTGTTAATATATTAAGGTCTTATATAATATAAGTATAATGACATATGTATATAATTAATATGTATAGTGTAGTACCTTAGTCTAATCCTTATAATTAATCCTATTGTCAACTTACCTGATCCTTTAAACCTATCGTCCAAAATTTCCTTTACCTGAACTACTGTTTCCCAAATTTTGTATATTGGCAAATGCACAGACGTGCCAAGCCATAAAGAAGAAAAAAAAAAAAAAAAATATCAGTATTCTATACACAATAATATTTATTGTACAACTTAAAACCTAAAACATACTGGTAACGCTGAATGTGACTCCCACTCAGCATTTTGATCTCGAATAGAATAATAATTTCCTAAGAAAATGTTAATAATCTTTTTTACGATTTAGATTAATTCATATTTGACCGCCTTATACCTAATTACTCGTTAAATAAGATTGCTTAGTCAAAAATACAAGTTTACACAAGTTAACAATACAAGTTATATTTATTTATTTAATATTTCTCAAAAACTTTTGATACTTCCATGACATCTTCAGTATCGACCTAAAAATATCAATGTAAATAATAAGTATCGATACTTATTATTCGACGTCGTATCCATATTTGAACGAAATTGAATGGTGAAGTCATTCAATCTCAATCGTTAGCGAATGAATGAATTTTAATTAAATTCTTCATAATTTATTAATGGGGGAAGGGCGGGAAATTTTGGTTTGACCGGACGCGTTTTTTAATTCAGGAAATATTATTTCAATAACATATAGATTAAGGATTGGTTTTTAGTAATTTTAGTTGTATTTAGTGTTATTATTATATTTATTTTTAGTGTGTAATTTGGTGTGTACATATCATATTGGTAAGTTAGATTTTATTTCTATATGGGCGAACCGCCCGACGATCCTGGGGGAACTACGACTATAGTTCCTCCAGGATTTGAAAATGAGATTCCAAACACTCCAATGGACATCTTAATTACGGCTTTAGAGTCGTCTATGGATACTGACTGTTCAGTATCTGATTCTGGAAAATTAAAAAGGAAAAGAGTTGCTCGTGCAACTTGTAGTACATGTCTAGGTAAGAAAAGGAGACACGGTTCAAAAAGGATGGGACCAAATGTTTGTGCATGCATAACAAATGAAACAACAATAATAGATCAATATAATAATAAAGATTCTGAAGTCAATTCCAAATCTCAAAATGCAGTTTCTACTGCTCTTAACAATAATATTACACAAAACACTGAAATCACTCGAACACCTATTGCTCGCACTAGGTATCAGCCATCAGATGCAGCACCATATATAATTCATGTCCAGAGGGAATTCTCAGATGATAACAGCAACACAACATTGCATCCCGTCACATTTGGTCGCTTTCTGAAACGTAAAGAAATTAATGGTATTGTGAATGGTAGTCTTAAACGAATTGGTCGTAATAGAATTAGTTTGTCTTTCTCAAATTTCACAGCAGCAAATTCATTCTTATGCAATCAAAGTTTAACAACTGAAAAATACAAAGCTTTTATTCCTACTTTTAACATTACACGTATGGGTGTAATAAGGGGTGTCCCCACTGATTGGTCTGATGAAGACATTTTACAAAATATAAGTGTCCCAATAGGTTGCGGTACAATACTTAAATTGAGAAGGCTTAAAAGGAAAGTTAATATCGATAATACAAATACATTTGAAAATATAGGCACTGTTGTTCTTACTTTTGATGGACAAGTACTGCCAACCCGAGTTTATATGTGTTATACTGCATTACCTGTAACCCTTTATATATATCCCACAGTACAATGTTACAACTGTTGTAGGTATGGCCATGTTAAAAGCCAATGTAGGGCCACTCCAAGGTGTTTTAAATGTGGACAGGGACATTCAGGGGAGAATTGCAATATTGATGAAAATGACTATTGGTGCTGCTTGTGCAAGGGTTCTCACCAAGCAAATAGTAAAAAATGTTTAGAATTTGACCGGCAAAAAGCAATTAAAGAGACTATGAGTAAGAGTTGTATTTCATATATGGAAGCCGTCAAATTACATCCACCAGTTAATAAAATGTCTTATGCAGATGCTTTACTTACAGCTCCTTCCTCCTCATCTAATATAAATAATGACAAATCTCCAAACTATACTACATTAAATACAGTTCCTGTAAATAACCAAAATAGGTCATATAAAAAGACAGTGTTTCTGAAACCAAAAGCCCTACCAAAATTCTCAAGAGGATATGATCAATATGCACACAATGAGATCATAAAAAGTCCCACACTCCCTCCATCTCAACCCATTTTTAATAATAATAATCATGATAAAAATATTCAGATTTCAGCAATTATAAAAACATTATTAGACCTTTTACAACAATCGAATTCAAATATATCACCGTCCAACGTAGCTTTACTTATTGATACTATATATAAGATCACAGATAATGGATCAAGCTCAGGCCATACAGTGGAACTGCCGGAGCCTCATCAATAAAAAACATGATGTTATACACATCATTAATAAATATGACCCCTTCATAATTTGTTTACAAGAAACTTGGTTAAAACCGGGATCTATTTTTAAGATCCCTGGTTATTCCTGTTTAAGGAATGACAGACCTGATGGGTATGGAGGAGTCGCCATACTCATCAGGAATTCTTTATCCTATAATATTCTTCCTTTGCCTTCACACAGTGATGATATCTCTGTTATTGCTATTATAGTGAATAGTGTTTGTTATGTGTCTATATATTTCTCCCGCCCAAGTAATGCCATTTTCAATGAAGTCAATAATTTATTCAACATCCTACCAAAACCATTTATATGCTTAGGAGATTTTAACTCTCACCATCAGACTTGGGGTTCCTCTTCATCCAATAGTTATGGTGACCAATTATTGGAGTTAATTGACTCCCATAACTTATGTATTTTAAATACTGGTATGCCAACACGCATCACAAGACCCACTGAAGGTCTCAGCTCACCAGACTTATCTATATGTACACCAGATCTCGCTTCATCTCTTGTTTGGTATCCGCTAAACTATAGTTATAATAGTGATCATTATCCATTATTAATTACTTTTCCTTTTTCAAAACCCTTGCAGCAGATGAAACAGCCCCGTATGAGGTATAAATTAAGTAATGCCAACTGGTACAACTACAAACAGAAAGTACATGAAAAATTATCAACTTTACCCAAAATATCCCATGACAATGTGTCAGAGTGTTCTCTGTCATTAGCTAAATTATTAATTGAGGCAGCTGATTCAACATTTCCAACAAAAAATAGTGGTCCTAGTACAATACCCTCCCCACCTTGGTGGGATGAAGAGTGTACTATTGCAGTAAAACAAAGGAAAATAGCTGAAAGACAGTACTGTGTCTGTATGTCTGAAGATAACTATAAAAATTATCAAGAAGTAGCTTATAATACTAAAAACTTATTAAAACAAAAAAAGATTGAAGGTTGGAGTAAATTTTGTGCCTCATTATGTCCTAATGTCAATCCATCTATTATCTGGCAAAATATACGTAGATTTAGATCGGCCTTTAATGTATCTCAACAACAAAAGATTTCTCCCACTCTTGCAGAACAAATATTAGATAGATTAGCCCCACCTTTCGTTCCAGAACAGCTCCATGTAAATCCTTTAACTATTAATACAGAAATAGTTAATAATAATGATTCTACATTTGATCTCAATTCATCCTTCACTGTCAATGAATTAAAAGGTGTACTTTCTGTTATTAAAGACTCGGCGCCTGGTGAAGACGGCATTCCATACTCTTTTATAGTACATTTAGACGAAGATGCTCTTAATTATTATCTCTCTTTAATCAACACAGCTATGACATCAGGTAATATTCCCAGTTCTTGGAGAACACAAACTTTAATCTTGTTATTAAAGCCAGATAAACCAAGTTCCGAACCTTCATCATATCGTCCCATAGCTCTATCTACTGTATTGGCGAAAATATCGGAACATTTAATAAAAAATCGCCTCGAATGGTTTTTGGAACACAATGGATTATTCTCAGATAGTCAGCTAGGATTTAGGAAAGGTAAGAGCACTTTTGACAGTTTGGGGATTTTTGTCACAGATATTAGATTAGCGTTTTCTAGAAATGACTCTGTAATAGCTGGTTTTCTAGATATAACCGCAGCTTATGATAATGTTAATATCCTGATACTGAAACATAAATTAGAGATGTTGAATGTACCTAGACATTTAATGAATTTTATTATAAATATGTTAACAGAAAGATTTATTAAATATCCTTTAGATAATAATGATTGTATATATAGGACGGTATGGAAGGGGCTACCTCAGGGTTCCGTAATGAGTCCAATTCTTTACAACATTTATACTATTGATTTAGAAGTATCCATAAATAAATGTGTAAAAGTTCTGCAATATGCGGACGATTTGCTTTTCTATGTTGCCGGCCGATTAATTAACGAGATTAGCGATTCCCTTTCTGCAGCATTACAATTTCTTAAAAAATGGCTAGATAATAATGGTCTAGATCTATCCCCATCTAAAAGCACTGTAGTTGTATACTCTAGAAAAAGGATTCCATTAGTAGTTAATGTTTTATATGATGATTCCCCCTTATCAGTTAAGGATCAGGCAAAGTTTTTGGGACTTGTATTGGACTCAAAACTCACAGGTGTATCACATTGTGAATCCGTTGTAGTGAGATGTGAACGCAACCTAAATATTTTAAGGTGTCTTAGTGGTGTATGGTGGGGCGCCCATCCTTCTATTATGAAACTCCTATATAATGCCTTAATTAGAAGCATTATAGACTACGGCTCGGTTTTATTAAATCCAGCAAACGCAGCAGCTTTTAAAAAATTGGATTGTATTCAATATAAGGCACTACGACTTATCACTGGATCAATGAAATCCAGCCCAATAAATTCATTACAAATAGAGTGTTGTGAACCACCGCTAAAACTGCGAAGACAGTACCTGAGTGATACATTTTTTTCCGTAGCCTAGCATTAAAAAAAAATCTCTTAATTTCTAGAGTCAAGGAATTGGCTGAGGTGATAGCCTCTTCGAAGTATTGGACTCATAAAGACCAACCTTGTTTAGTGAAAAGTTTCCAAAAATTTAAAGACATTACATCTCCAACATATCAGACTCAATATCTCCCCCTGTACCAACATAGTTACACTTCGCTAATACTTAATCCCCAAATATTATATAATATAGGTATAAATAAAGATGAAATTAACGCCAATGACAAATTTAACTATATTATGGATAATGAATGGAAAGATTGGCACTACATTTTTACGGACGCCTCGAAACATTCTAACGGCGAATGTGTAGGTGTTGGAGTCTACCATTCACAATACAAAATTCATCAAAAAATTAAGCTTCCGCCAGAGACCTCCGTCTATACTGGAGAATGCTACGGACTTCTTAAGGCGATTGAATATGTACTTCTTGCTAAACTATGTAAAACAATAATATTCTCCGATTCACTTAGTAGTTTACAGGCTTTATCACATTTTCCCTTTAAATCCCACAAACAATCTCCGATAATTTTTAAAATTCGTGATCTACTTTCTCAATGCTTATCATTACAATTAAATGTTCACTTCGCTTGGATACCAAGCCATCTTGGTATATCTGGTAATAAAAAAGCTGATCAACTGGCTAATGATGCTGTTCGCGATGGCGATTTATTCCCATATGTCAATTACTGTAATGACCTAGCTTTGTTGTCAAAAATATACTTGTATGAGGATTGGAATCGGCTTTGGACAATTGAAACTCACAAGGGGAAGAATTACAGACTAGTACAAGAAACTATTCCTTATCAACCTCGGTTTAGTAAAATTAAATATAATAAAAAAACCACATCAATTATTTGCAGACTTCGATTGGGACATGTATGTACACCAGCAAATCTATACAAATTTAATATTGTTTCTGACCCTACATGTGCTTGTGGAGCGTACGGAGATGTTAATCATGTGTTCTTCTCCTGCCCTCTATATGATCGCTCTGAATTTATTTCCCAACTCCTTCTGATCCGTGTCCCACTTCCTACATCTATTAATTGTTTGTTACATAATAGCGATACCAATGTATATAAAATATTAGCCACATTTATTTTATATAATAATATAAAATTGTAAATATATCCATATATATATAATATATATACATTGTAAACATCATAAACCTGACCAATCCTTTATCCTACAAAATTCCGTTCTATTCCGTATATTTCTGTGTATATTTCCCTAACTTTGATATTGGCTAAATGCGAAGGCAAAGCCAAAGATGGAGGAGGAGAAGAAAAAAAAAAAAAAAAAAATTTATTAATGAATTCTAAGATCGGCGAGTTGCCATTAATAAAGAGAGATAAAATTTTTTTGTAACGAAAAATGTTTTTTGGATTTTTATTTTCTTTCACATCATACCATGTATATTATAGCATTTTATTTAGGTTTAATAGCTGGTAAAGAGTTAGAAAGAGAGACTAAATTCGTTGCGGTGAGATTTTCGTATAAAAGATATGAAGATCTATTTTATTGAATGCAAAATATACTATGTCACGTCAAATTTGTTACTTATTTATTTTTGTATTTAATTGAATAACTATGTATAATGTTTCAGTTAACAACTAATCAACTATTCTCCACCATTGTCTAAGTAGGTATTTTTCAACAGACAAACAAAGTAATTTATTTTTAATTTTTATTTTGCTATTTGGGGAAAGTTACAGATTACCATCAGTGGTAGACTTTCCTTTTGGTATATTTACTTTACTCTTTGAGCAGACTGTACATAGCTCTTTGAGTGGATAAAATTAGTCTAATCTATTTCAGCCATTAATCCGGTTTGTAAGTAATATTTCGGATGTAGGATGCGATTATGCTGTGAGAGGCATGACATCTTAGTTCTCTGACAGGGCAACGTATGAGTAGTATTAGGGGTGTCATATGATAACGTGATATTCGTAGTTATGCTCAGGCTTGCCGTAAGTGATCGCATGGAGATGAGGCTCTAGCTCAGGCTGACTACCGCCGACGAGTAACCCAGCGACTTGCATTATCTATAATAATCGTCGAGAGAAATATCTTAGTATTTTGTATAGACTCCGTGTACTATACACGAGCTCCAACATAACAAATTATGTAAAAATAATTAATTTAAAGGCGTAAGGTAAGATTTTGTAAAAAGGAACAGTTGCTTAAAAATGATGTAAGCCACGACCTCGTCTGGTTGAGTTTTTAGTTATTTAGCTGTAAAAAGGTAATAAACAAGCAGACAGAGACACAATTTCGTATTCATAATATGTATTAGTATAAATAAATAACACACAGACCTCATGCTGACGCGAGAACTGGACAAGTAGGTATATGTAGAAACTGTTGAAACTTTTAGCAATCACGTAATTAATTACAATATAGTTATTATTTTACCATATACTTTTTTATACAATACCGGACCTAAGTAATATTTGCATGATTGTTTTTGATTAGATACACCTATGTATCTACCTCAAAACAATCTGCAAAAACATGATGTAAGATAATTAATAATTAAATATATTAATAGTGTTAAAATTTGGTTATCTGTCACATATCTAAATGGGTAGCCAAATATGACATATTTTAATCTCTACTTGATTATGATCTGGGTAATTAATTAAGTGAATAATATGAAAATCAGAAATACCTAAGTGGACTAAAAATAATTGTTACTCAATTTAGTCTATGATCCTCGTAGATAAATTCCTATTTATTATAAAATATTTATATAAAATTAAGTTAATATATTGTAGCGCGGTGGTTATCACTTCAACACTGTGCTGTTTATATTATAATGTGATGATATGTCGCTACATAATTTATATTGTTTATTGTAGTACGTAGGCATTGAGTATACGCATGAAATAATTGTTGTACACTATTTATTGTACACTAGTATTATCCGTGACTTTGTCCGCGTGGAACTTATCTTTATTTTTCTAAAATCAAAGTAGCCTAAGTTACTCTTTATTACATCAGCTACATGCCAATAAAAGTCCCATTAAAATCGACCCAACCATTTCAGAGATTAGCCAGAACAAACAGACAGACAGACAAAATTTGTAAAAAATGTTATTTTCGTGTATGCACCGGTTACTTCAATATTACAAACAGACATTCCAATTTTATTTATTAGTATAGATTAGTAAGTTTTATTGGATAGAGTGATACATGGCTTATTAGTCGTCAATCGTAACGTGTACTGGTTTTACACTGAACTTAAATCTATGTATGTTAGTGGAGACGTAAACTAATGGAAGGTCTCAAGTGTTGACTGAAATATTACAAGTATAGGCACAATGTAATGGATGAACGTCATTTAAAGTTAATTCTGTACTTTTATACTCGTAAGTCTCGTGAAAATATTATGTCCTGAAAAAATTTTTGGTTGTTAAGTGGTATGGACAATATAAGGTATACTTCTATAATATATGGTACCTAAATACGAAAGTGATTTTTTCTGTATCTCTGTCAATATGTTCTTTGTTACGGCTCAACGGATACTAATGAATATTAATGTTGAGATAGATTCTCTTACAAGGAGAGACAGGTTTGACCACAGATCAGAAAAGTAGAAGTCGCAGAAAGAAGTAGGTGACTTCTCTGTAGAATTACATGGCAACTATATACCGCTCACTAATGGAAACTGTTTTGCATGTAGAAATAAGTAGCGATAACAATAACATCATTCATTAGGTGACAACTATCTTGATAAAAATTATCAGATTTATGTTACAGTTATCTAAATATTATTAGGACATAGTTAATTATTGAAACAAGTCATTACAAAACAGATCGCCGTTGCCTTGGTCAGCATCATGATTAGCGGTGTTAGCACGGTACAAAATAAATAATATTGTTTTATTAATTTAAAGAAAAATATAATATAATATAGTGTATGACTGCTAGGGATTTTTAATGGAGGAATAAGGAATAGTTGACGTGCCTTCCTCTAAAGACATACGCTGGCTGGGCACCAGTGGAGGATAGTGAGTCAAGTTAATTATCCCAATGTGAGGAATTGACTTGGAATTGATCATGATAGTTCACGATCATGATCTAATACGGTTTCTCTAGTGTAATTAATTCCACAGGCAGAAAAATACCGGCATAATATTTAATATGTTAGATCACTAAGTTATATATTTTGGTTTCAATTTTCTTCAGGCGACGCTCATTGTCTGGTTGGCGTCGATGTTTGTTATGGTGTCACCTTATAAGAATCCATACTACGCAGACGGACGATCTGTGAATGTGCATCTCTTCGAGTGGAAGTGGGACGATATTGCGGATGAGTGTGAGCGATTTCTGGCACCTAAGGGATATGGCGGCATACAGGTTAGAGTAGATAATTTCCTACCTTTAAACAAAACAATGTGATCACAGAACAGAGATTACTCTGTATATTTGATTAACTTTTTACAATAGCAACATTAAGAAAATTATTTGATTAATATGAACAAGAAAAGGAAGAATCCATTTTAGTTGGAACTTTATTGTTCTATTGTTTCTGCTTGTGCCAATCGAAGAGAAGCATAATAAGTAAGAAACTGGCTTATCTGCACATTAATACAAAACACAAATCAATATACAAAATATTTCCTCCCATCGACTACTTACTACTACAAGACCTTATAAAAAATGACTTTTTATTTCTTAGGGATACCTAATTATAAGTGTATACTTATGTAGTGGATAGGTAGATACTACGATAGACTTCCATCATTAGGTTGGCAACTGAAGAGTGATCCCCTAAGTTTTACAAGTAAATGCTTAAAAATATGAAGCTGTGGCCCAGATAGTAAACAGTATTAAATAAATGTTTTTCTATCCATACTTACCCAGTAACTGTTGGGCAAATGTTATGCATTTATATACCTGTACTATGTTAAATAGGTAGACTGTGATGTTAACATTGTGCACTTATTTGAAAAATATATTATATAAATTGCCTTGAGCAGATTTCACCTCCAAATGAAAACGTGATACTATGGACGTATAACCGACCGTGGTGGGAACGCTACCAACCGATGTCATACAAGCTAGTGACACGGTCAGGAGACGAGCGCCAGTTCGCTGACATGCTGCGACGGTGCAATGCTGCTGGAGTTAGGTAATGCCTAGTAATGAATTAAGAACAACTTCAACTAGTATTATTTTTTACTGTCTTTTAATACTTTGTAGAATGTTCTTGCTTAACGTATAATAAAAACGTTACGCAGTATATTGAAAATGTAAAAACTTTAACTGTAATTTTGGCTAATCACAACATTGTGGATCCGCTTTCCAGCAATGGTATTTCCTTACCGATGCGATATTGAAACCATCTAGTGTTGCGGGTGCTCATGGGTATTGACTTTGTTTTGTGTTACATAAAAAAGAAAACTTAACGGCTATTTCAACTATAATTGACAATTACTTTAACAATAATAACCATAAACACAGGACTACCATCACGAATTCACGAATTATACTTAGTTATATTCCAATCAAACAACTGACTCTCGTAGTGCTTTATTGTTTTACAAAAGTAAAAGTAAAAATAGTTAAATGCATATTATTTTTTGTAAATACAAGTTTATTTTGACAAAATAAATCTCTGACTACCAATTATAATAAACACAGAATAGTGTAAATTCGGTATTAAACCAAAAACTCAAAAGGTTTTGCTGTACTCGTATACCTGTACCTACATACAGTCGAATAGAGTATCTCCTATTCATAATGCTTGATTTAAAGTAAAAAGCACAGTACACTTTTATAAAATTCTGAAATTAGGTACTTTAACCTTTAAATCAATTTGAGGGGGTTCTTTCTGCATACAGGATATATGTGGATGCGGTAATCAACCACATGACCGGTGAGCCTCCAGAGAATGTGGGTACTGCTGGCAGTACAGCAGTATTCAGGGAGTGGTACTATCCAGCAGTTCCTTTCACAAGGGAGCACTTCAACTGGCCACATTGCATCATCGATGGTATGGATTACGTGAACAACGCATTTAGGGTAAATCTTATGAATATTTTTAATTATACAATAGATATGTATCATGTTTTATTCAACGTATTGTGATAACATTTTAAAATTTAATTTGTTTATTCTTTTGCACACTATATTATATACAATTTTGCATTGTTTTTAATTCGGTTTACAAACAAAAGAAGTTACTAATTCATAATTACCTATAATATATGGACATGTTATTATCGCAAAGCACAATCTAATCGCAAACTAAGGAAAGCTTGCACTAAGGATATTAGACAACTGATAACTTTTATTTTAATATGTTGTTTTTGTAAATACATACATACAAATATACCTACGTACGTATTTACGAAAAACACTGTATAAATCACAGATAACATAATATGTAAAAATAATGCTTTAAAAATATATATCGTATCGAGTTTCTTGTTAGTTCTTCTAACAGTAACTAGACTGGAATGGACTGAGCTGGATGGTAGGGAAAATATTAATGCAAAGAACTTGACATTTAAGCGAGTAACATGTCCTACTTAAAAATTATTATTTTTATTTTAATTTATACTTGTATATAGAAAAATACTACATGAAAGGTATTTAAATTACCAATCCTCTCGCTTTTATGTTTTACATTAAATTCTTATTTCAGGTGCGAAACTGTGAGCTTGTTGGATTAAAGGATTTGAATCAATCTGATGAGCATGTTCGGAATATGATAGTAGATTTCATGAACGAACTGATCGACTTGGGTGTTGCTGGATTTAGGTATTGTATATATCTTTTAAATTAGTTTTTATGGAATGAAATTGCATAGTGGATCCCTCATGCTTTACCTTTCTGATGGCTAACTTGTCATGCCTTCGTATCCTAATATTCATTGCATTCGTCCTCAAATTCTGTGGAAACATAGCTTAAAAAGCAAGCTGCTTAGCAGCTAAATTAAATGAGAATGAGGTTCCGATAAAAACGACTTTGTATACATATCGACAAAAAATTTAGTGATTGAAGTTTTGTTTGGTTTGTATTAGATTTACCCGTCGGTGTGATACATAATACAGCTTTTCGATTTCTATAGTAATATGTTATTTTTAGCCAGTGACAACTTTTTTATTATTAAATATTCTATTTTCATCTTAATACCTTTACAGAATCGATGCAGCTAAACATATGTGGCCAGAAGATCTTAGAGTCATTTACGATCGTCTTCATAACTTGAATACTGCTCACGGATTCCCTGAGAATGCGCGGCCTTATATTTATCAAGAGGTCATTGACTACGGTGGTGAAGCTATCAGCAGAGATGAATATACTCCTATCGGTGCTGTTACAGAGTTCAAAGTAGGCTTAGAACTGAGCAATGCCTTTAGAGGGAACAACCAACTTAGGTGGTTAGTGACATGGGGTCCGCAGTGGGGTCTGTTACCACATGAGGATGCTTTGACATTCATTGATAACCATGATAATGAGAGAGGCCATGGCGGCGGTGGGGGAATCCTTACATACAAAGAAGCAAGACCTTACAAAGCAGCAATCGCATTCTTACTTGCTCATCCATACGGTGAACCGCAAATTATGAGCAGCTACTGGTTTCTCGATTCAGAAATTGGTCCACCAATGGATGCTCAAGGCAACATAATTTCTCCTTCTATCAATTCGGTAAAACTTTTTGACAGTTTTTACATAGTTTATTTAAGCTTTATGATTTTTATTAAATTTCCTCTAATTCTGTTCTGTAAAAAATAGTATGCCTTGGTACCTTATTTCAGTTTCCCTTATTTCAGCCGCCAATCAGCTTACTTTTTTTTTTTTTTATGGATGATAATGGAATGGCTCACACGCCTGCGCTAACGGTTTACGCTGGCGGGACACCAGTGGAGGATGATAAGATGAGCATGAGGTCAGGTCAGTTAGCCCATCGTGACAAATTCACCAAGAATTTATCACGATGGTTTCCAAGGCAATCAGCTTACTTTGTAAGCCGTGTTTAAGTTGTAGGTGATTAGCCAGTGAAATTACAGGATATGAGGCATGGCATCTTAGTCCTCTGATATGCCTGGAATGGGATCTCGGTATATGCTGTTCTTGTATATAGGCGATTAACGCTTGATGACAATGGGATGGTATTGGATCCTGTGCTAACGGTTTTCGCTGGAGGGGTACCAGTAAAAGATGATGAGTTGAGCATAAGGTCAGGTCAGTTAGCCCATCGTGAAGAATTCACCAGGAATTTATCATGGTGGTTTTCAAGGGGAACCTCGTAGAGGTAAACCTGACGTACATTGCACGCAAAGGGATCATTAGTCCACATTACCCCCACTAGGGGAGTGGGGGTAATGTGGACTAATGACCTATCTGCTTATAGGATGACTCTTGTGGTAATGGTTGGATATGCCAGCATCGTTGGAGGCAGATCTATGCCATGGTTGCATTCAGGAAAGCGGCGGCCGGCACCGGCCTCAATGACTGGTGGGATAACGGCGCTAATCAAATAGCCTTCTGCCGTGGTGGCAGCGCTTTCATAGCCATCAACAATGATTACTGGAGCCTGAATCAAAACTTACAGGTTAGTTGATTTTTTCTTCTGGTATTATTATTTCATTCTTCTAGTGAAACACTAGAAGAATATGGTAGTGAAAATTACAGTATTAATGTAATTACAAAAACATTGTAATCCTGCGGCATTCTGTAGGATGACGAGTAGGACAAGAAGAGTCTTGTGATGTCGACGAAATGATTATATGATATCTGTTGCTGTTCATGTATAGAATGCAGTCAGTGAAATTACAGGACAGAGTCATGACTTAGTCCTCTGGAATGGTTGAAATAGTATCGCGGGTGACAACGGTATATCGGTGACGGTTGCCATTTCCCAGCAGGTGGATCGGCTGCTTGTTTGCCTTTTCTGTTACCCGAATAAAAAGCCCTTTCTACCACTGTTCGGAATTGTTAAACACCTACCTCCATTTATCAACTTTTTTGCTATTTTCAATATGTACTTTTTGTTTCTACAGTTTTTTTACAATCAAGTGTTTTGATGGATTTTTCTTTCTTTCTATCTTTAGACTTGTCTCCCAGCCGGTACATACTGCGATGTGATATCGGGTAACAAAGTCAACAACTCTTGTCAGGGCAAATCTGTCACGGTTGGCAACGATGGCCGAGCGAATATTTTCATAGGCGCTTCTGAATTTGATATAATGTTGGCCATACATGTTGGACCAGAGGTGAGAGTATACTAAATAACAATATTGGTAAATAAATAAAATAGATGTACGATCACGTCTGCAGTATTGGTTGGGGTAGTCAGAAGCGTTATTAACTTTCGACATCACAGTGAACGTAATGCTTGGTATCGTCACATATAGATCTTTCTATATATATTTTAAGTTACTTATTATTAATATTCTGATATATGTAACACACTTAAAATGGTATGTTAATACTTCAATAGTTTCAGATACTAATACTTAGATAATTTTCGTACGACCTATCGAAGTCACTCAAAACTCAAAGCAGTAAATCTAGAACTAGCCGTATTAAATTTTAAACTGTGTTATATATTGATAACTAACCGGTAGATATTGGTAGGATTTTTTACTAAGTGTATTGTACTTCTAGTATTTTGCTATTGTGATTGTTTTTATGTGTTGCCAGCAGAAGCGATTATAACACAATAAGGTATTAAGTAATTATATAAACTAATTACGATCTACTAAATTTTTGTTACCACTGATGCATAGAAAATGTTTAGATAATTAACTTGGAGATGTAGGTTTTTTTGCCAAGCTAATAAAGTAAGACGTTGTATACCTACTTCCCTACAGTTTATTTTTAGGATTCCGAACCATGATGGTAAATCGGAAAACATAGATATAAAAATAAAATATATCTTATTATAAGCGCGAAAGTTTGTGACGTTATTGATGGATGGATGTTTGTTACTCTTTCACGTAAAAACTACTAAACGGATTTTGATGAAACTTTATAGTAATATATTGTAGCTAATACTTCAGAATATCACATATGTGTACATATAGGTAGTAGTAGTAATATACAGTACAGAAAATATGTTATAAGTGAACATATATGTAAAATACAAACCAGTTTATAATATTTATTACAATACATCATATTGTTTTTATTGTTTCAGAGTCGACTCTAGAACTCGTTTTCATGGATCGTAAGAAATTATATATTATATATTATATATGCCTAGTGATTTAATTGTAAGTAAATATATGTGTAACTAAGCGAGACCATTTGAATTTTATTTCTATCATAAATTGGTTTTGTAAACATAAAGCATCTACATCTTAATTTAAGCATTATGGAAATACGTTACAATATCTTGAGCTTTTTCAGGTTTCTAAGTAGCATATATCCTCACGTCATCCTTAATGACGATTAAAAAGTGTTAGAAGATTTTTACGATGATTATGGTATGGTGCCCCTCTATTCTTCCGATGTACACTGAAACGGAGCACCAGTGGATTATATCTAGGATGGCGATCCAAACATGTCATCCTGAATATACCTAAAGCAGTACAACTATACGTATCTGTATAGAATAATGTTTTCAATTTGTCAATTGGTCCCTTATTGAAGCACTTGAATAGTATAATAAAGTTCTCTCAATGTCAATATCTTATATACAAGATAACTTGGATACTAGTCTGTTTCGTTTCGATTTTGTATTTATTGTACCAAAATGTAACCCGTATACAAACCAGTACCGTATATTATTTTATATTTATACATATATATATAAGATTATATATTTGTTATACTCTATGATATAAGTTCAAATACAAAAATCATTTATTCATGTAGGACATTTTAGCCGCTTATGAACGTCAAGTTTTTACATTATATTTTTTTTCCCTACCGTCCAGTTCGGTATATAGATCCAATTGAGAAGAACTGGCAAGAAACTCAATTGTATTACTTTTTTTTTATCCAGTTTATTTACAATGTATATTTATGTAGGTGTCTATGTCTAACATTAAATGAAAATCCCATGTATGACCAACTATTGCCATGCACGTTCGTCATTCAAGTAATCGTTTAGTTAGTAATAGGCCTTGCTCAGTAAATATGATTTAACAGATGTTTTGAATTTATTTAAGGGTAATTCCAATATATCCTTTGGTATCTTATTGTAAAATTTTATACCTATTCCCATAAAAGACCTATTGACTTTTTTTAAACGATACTCGGGGACAGCAAGTTTATCTTTAAATCTAGTATTAATATTATGAATATTGCTGTTTTTTGATAATAAGTCAAGATTTTTATGAACACATAGGATATTTGAATATATAAATTGAGAAGCAACGGTGAGAATATTTGCCTCTTTGAATTTCTCTCTTAATGAGTCACGACTCTTCATACAGTAGATCGCTAAATGTAACCATATACATATATAACTTATTATATAATATAGTATGTTATTGTAAGTTTTCAATAGTGTAAACGGTCATCGATATGTGAATCAAATATAAAGGAGAAGGGAGGGGTTGTCAAAGTATGTCATTCGGTGATAAAGAGAGGGAAAGGTCCTAAAATTCGTAATGTCAAATTAAGAAGAATTATTTAATATATTTAAGTATTCATACACGGAATTTTAACTTTTAACGAAATACTTAAGGAATATATTTCCATCTGTATAATATCTGAGGAGCGAGGAATCTTACAAATGTGATCAAGTGTGACAAGGTCGAGGAAACGGTGAGAAATTACTGAATTCGTGTGACATAATATATGAATAGCCGCTAATGTAGAAATTGGGGAAAAAAGAGTGTTAGTAATGTGGAATAATAACCCATTTCTAGTCAATGTATGTCGGGTTGACCTTCATGTGATGCCCCTGGAAATCATCATGATAGATTAATAATTAACCCCGATGTGCTAACTGACCTGATCTCATGCACACTCTATCATCCTCCACTGGTGCCCCTCCAGCGTAAACGAAAACCATTAGCGCAGGCGGGTGCACCATTCCATTGTCATCTATAAAAAAAAATAAGTTTTAACTTTAAACTTTTGACTTGTTTGATCATGGTGTTGCACGCAACTTACTGGTAACGATTACGTAGTGTGTGTAATTAGATTGCTTTCAGGTTATTGCCACTATCACTTAGCATTACTTACTATAAATATATGCTATTTCATACCATAATTATAATTGCCGCACCGCAGCCCTGACGTACCTACTACTGTATAATTTAGCGCTAGACCCACCCAAAGCTTTATGTGTTTTTTAGAAAACGAAACTGTATAATAGAGTATATACCTAACACACGTACGTAAAGAACTGTATAAAATACATGGTGTGTAAAGAAAAACTAAGGATGGTAACTTTGTGTTATATCAATGATTGTTTACAACATAACATGCAATAGACGGCAAAATACCTTCTGAAAATGTAACCTAAGATTCATTCAAGAGGATGATTATTTTAGAGAAAACTCTTAAAGCGTAGGTAATCAGGACATTTCTGCAGGAGTTTATTGCAAAATACAATAAGTAGCAACTACCACAAAGTACAAAAAATAGTAGATAAAACTTTTGGCAAATTCAAATAGAGTTGAGTCGAGTTACTAAAACATATATTGAGTTTTAGTATTATAATATATTATATATATTTTCATCGTTGAGAAAAAAATTAAAGATTGGTTGTATTGTTGTAGCAGCCTTTATGTGTAGTCCTATATTAATGTCATGAAAAATATCGTGATTATTTTCTTGTAAAACTATTGCCATAGATTATTAATATTATTATATATACTATATACTATACATATATTTAGCACTAGTTACCTCATACAGCACAAAGAGATTTATGTATAAATGTCTAAATACCCTAGAGAATTTAATATGAAATACTAACACAGAATTAATTTACATAATTAAGGTATACATAATGTCTAATTCATTACTGAAACTATTATGACACGTAGGTATTTTATATACAAAGTCATAACACAAATGTAACTTTATCGAAAACAGAAGTAGGACGTAAACGTGCTGAAAAATATTCTTAATAAGTGAAATAATTGTGTTATTAAACAATATACTATAATTTTTGTTTATTATGAATACTAAATTTAATAAAACATAAGAGATATTTTATAAAATATGGTAGAGGGATTTTGTGTGTTATGAATGTTGTGCATATAAATTAACAGAATATATTATTATATAACTTCGCTTTGTATATATTAATTGAAGATTTGTTTTCGGATAAATAATAGATTGCATCACCAAAGTTTCATCGCATTCAGATAGACAATTCAGAATTTAGAAGGAGAAATTTTTGAAAAATTTATTACTAATGACTATTGCCGGTGTACCTACGCGGAACAACTTGCCAAAAATAGTTGAATGATGAATGGTTTAGAATTGCATTAAATTTGTTAAACAAAAATAAATTTAAATTTTTAAAAAGTTTATAATCTCGACGTTGAATACCTGTACCTATACTCGATGTCCTGGTTATGTCACTCACTTCCAAAATTAGTTTTACTGTCTCGTTTTATACAATATAACTTACACCAATACTCGTACCGTCGAATCCGAATTTCGGGGTCGACACCCCGAAAATCCTAAAGAACCACAACTTTTTTAGTTCGAGCGGTCCAGACGCAGACCAGTGTATTGATATAACTATGTGTGAGTTAGACAGGACTACTCTCTTTATATGGATACACGAATATAATATATAAACAACCGGTTGTTTTTGGCAACACAAAAAGTCTCGATCAAGTTGAAAATTGACCTTACGCGTAACGACCGCGTCTAGTGCGTGCTGAATATTAAATATTTCTAAGCTTTTAGGCTTTTATTGTGTCTACGTAATATAATAAATTCTATTAAAGTAGCTTAGTGTGATATTTTATATAACAAAAGGGCTAATTTAATATGGAAATGTGCCATAATTAATTTTAGTTGTTTTATCAAGGATTTCTCATTTATTCAATAGATATAGGAAATTGTGATATTTTGTAATAAAAGTGACTACCATGGCAGACGACTACAGGTAAGTTGTAAAATTATTAGTTTCTGAATTATTGGAATTTAAAGTTTAAGTTTTAGTGTTAACGATTTACCTATATGAGTGAGATAATTTATGTTAGTTACCTGTTAAACTTAGATAATATAAACAATTACCTACAGCTACAAATTATCACAGGTATAAACAAAACTAAGACTTTGAGTAATAAATATTTTAAAAGATTATTATATCCGTAAATCGCACAAAAGTCGCACAAACAACTAATGTGTTAAATATTTTGTTTCTTTCCGTATATACGGGGGACTATATGATGTTACTAATAAATTACCGAGTATTTAATTTAGTTGAATATATTAAATACTCGGTAATTTATATTATGACTGGTTCACCCTTCAACCAATATTAAATTTTGTTGATTTCCTTCTGTGATGTGATGTGATATGATTTGTTATCCAATTTGGTTTCAAATCCGATATAATATGTATTCATACAATCTTACTCCGTCACTAAACAAAACTACTAGGTAATACGTCCATATCAAATATAAGAATTAGAAAATCGCATGGAACGTTATCTATCTATGAAATATAGGTATTTCATCAACACGACTACTTAAATTTAGTTTATGATTTACACTATAACATTGAAATTACTAAAAAATAAATAAATATTCTTTATATCTGACTAAGTTAATAAAAATATTACAAGTAATGTAATTAATTTTATAAATAAATGATTGTAGAATTAATTTAATTGAAATCTAAATATATCAATGTAATGTATTTTTTTATAATATGACAACACGACAGATTTTATCAATAAGTTATTTATTTTATTAGCATGAATGGTATGGTAATATTATATTATCTGTGGTATGGGGTAACAATACGACGTATCATAGAACAAAATATTAATCGAATTTTCTTTCAAATTGATAGAATATTTGGTAAATTTAATTCTATTACAAACAATTATACAAAAAAATGCTTATTCCTCTTTCTAATATTATAGTAAATATGTGAACTGCCTTTCAGTTTCTTATCATATTGCATTAGCTAGCAATATAAAATATTATTTATTTGTCCTTATACTACACCCGACAATATTAGACACACTACGAAATAAATATTATATATAAATGCGAAAGTGTCTGTCCGTCTGCTTGTTGCCTTTTAAAGAAATCTTGACGATTAATACAGAATATCACAAAACCCTCCCTATTACCCTATACAGACTATCTTTTACTTAAAAAAACACATACAGTCATAGGTAACTGCTACTATTATTAAATTGCGTTTATTATTTAGTGATATGTCGCCAAAAGGGTACGACTTGAATTCCCACAATAATGATGAGAAGAAATTGCGACTCCAGGAGACGGAGCCACCCAAAAAAAAGAAAAAACCTCGACCATTCCGCGACAACCTGCAGGAGTTTATGTCCAACACGACTTTACACGGTTTTAGATATATTGCTGATAAGAACTTCACATCTGTAGAAAGGTAAAACTAGAAGGACTATTTAATTATTTATACGTAAAATTAGGAAATATTACGGGATTTTATTTACCAGCTTTATTTGTTTTAACAGTTAAACTATTTCCAGAAAAAAATTGACGGACAAACTAATTGTATAAACTATAATACATATATCTCAAGAAACACACAGCGCCATCTAATTCCAAACTATGCCGCGCTTGTGTTGTGGGCACTAGATAACTGCTATATACAAGTATATTTAGACTCATTTTTTTAATACATACATAATATACATAGAAAACGTCTAGACCGATATAAATATTCATACTCATAAATGCAAATGTTTCTACCATGAGAGGAATCGATCCTGCGGCCATCGGAAGTTAGGCGGTGTGCTTAACCGCTGGACTACCGCAGCCGTCAACATTTACGTATAGATAAAATTTTTGTGAAATCCCTATCATTAGATACCAAAATTTAGTTATTTAACTACAGATATAGAGTAATTATACTAAATTTTGTCAATATAAAAAGAACAATTAAGTTGATAATTTCATTTAGTTTCGGCCAGATTTGAAGTCGTCTATGTGGGTCTGGGGTATAAGTTTTGTCTACAGCCCGACACTCCATTATTACACTTATAAAATATTTTTTTTTAAATATAATAATGGTGTCTTTGTAAAATCAGATTGCATGTGTCTACAGGGTGTGGTGGTTTTTCATGGTGGTGAGTAGTATAGCAGTGTGCGCCATATTCATACGTAAAGTGTGGATCAAGTGGGACGAATCACCTGTTATTGTCAGTTTTGCGGATACCTCGAATTCTGTTTGGCATGTAAGTTAACATAGTACTTTTAGTATAAATAATAAACAGATTTTCATAGAAAAACATGTATCTATATTCTCTTCTCTTGTTATTAATTAGTCACTTTTGCTATTAGATGGAGAATTGTGTATCAGTTGTGTTAGTGAACATGAACTAAACATATAAGTTTTATATATGTATTCGAATTTTGTTTATTTACTTTTTTATATACACTCTTTATTGCACCAGATAAATTATAGGAATCTAAATTAACGGTAATAGAGTACAAAAGACGACTTTATCGCTTATGAAATCTCTTCAAGATAACTTTTGGGTAGATAAATAAGAAAAGATAGGTTGCGCTAGAATAGAATGGTAAAAAAAACATAACAATAGTAATGGTAATAACATTACAAATTAATAATAATGAAGTTCATTATTATTAATTTGTAACATAATAAACAACATAACAACATGCAATAAATAAATACAAAATAATGCAAGCAACGAGTAATTGTGACACACGCATAGGCATGATACATGGTAGTAACATAACAGTGATGACGACAGAAATGAAACTTTACAAGGAAAGATAATGTGATAGTTTAGTGTTCTTTATTGTGTTCGAACTCGACCTTAACATTTTAGCTTATTTGTCTTTTTACTGTTTATTGTTATAATTTTAGATTCCATTCCCAGCAGTAACTCTATGTACAGAGACAAAACCAAAGCAGACGGTGTTTAATTTTACAAAAATAAACTTCGACCTGAAGGAGGATCGGTCCAAAGTGTCTCCAGAGGAGTAAGTGTCTATCACCTGTATGATCCTTATATGTATGTTACGAAAAATATATTCATGCTACTGTAAACGTATATTTTATAGATAGATTTTTTCCGTTCACAAACGATGTCATTATCCTATTATATTACTTCATAGCTTATTATATTATTAATATAATAATTACGAACGAACTGTCTCTAGATAACGCCTGATGTGGAATAAGCATTCAATATTCTTCCAAAATATTATTGTGGTCGTAAATTGTAATATATTAACGTATTGTGTACAGCCTTAAAACGTTCCAAGATATGCTGCTTCTCTGCAACTATGCATCTGATCCTAATGGAGGACCTGAAATTGTTGAAGATATCCAGAGCTCTATAGCAACGCTACAGCGGGTAGGTAGGACAAATACGTGTATGTATGTATTAAATTTGATAATATCAGATCAACTACTTGGTTAGCATATTACCGTCAACGGTAGATGGCGCTTGCTATGTTAAATTTGAGAAGTTTGAGAATACGAATGGATGTTTGTCACTATTTCACGTAAAAAAGTAGTAGAAGAATTTTGATAAAGTTATACAAAGTTATGGAATAAACATCACAATAGCATATGGGATGTAGTAAATATATATTGTAGAAAGTGGCCGTATTGTATATAACTATAGATATAGCAGAGACATTGTTTAAATATAGATATGGACAAAATATACAAAATATGGATAATTCTACGCATTCCAATGATTGAAATTTGGGACTGACAAATTAAAAATCACTGAGATAATTAAATTCATTTTAAAACCAATAATCTTAATTATAATTAGTTCCGTAGATGAGATGCACATTTCCGAACAGTAAAATCAGAATATTTTGTGCTTTAGTGCTATAAAGGTCGATCGAATTATTAATGTTCCAAGAGGTATTTCTGAACTCTCCCGTCAAACCGCTCACTTAATAAAACAACGGTCGAGGTTTACTAAGATTTTTCTAATGTCAAGGCTATGTACATTGCTATAATCTTAGGTAATAACTTGTATCGTGATGAATACAACACGCGACCTTCCGTGTCTATTGAATACCTAAATCTATTCATACATATTTCCATCTGTGTAAAACGAAATTGATATTTTATTATATATAATCTTAGACTCAGACTGACTGACTGACTGATGGAAATATTGAGTGGCAAGTGGGAAAATAAATTATATGCTATATATGGTATATATATAGCAGTAAATATAATTTATTTTCGTATCACAGTTGCACATTACATATCAACTGTTTCTTAGCAACATGGTTACTTATTTTAAATGTCATGGATTATACTTTTTCTTCTTTTATATCGATGTGCCTAATACTGACTCCGGTGATGGATGAAAACATCGATAAACAAAATAACAAACCAAATTGTTCTGTGTGACCGCAGTATGCTCACCCCCTTCCGCAAATCAAATATAACTTAATTACAACTAAGTAAGCATCCCGTTTTTTTTACTATTTTTTGTTACGTAACTAACAATAAATTACTTTTTGAATCGATTTCTCGCATGGTACAAACATTTGTATTTATGTGTATAATTGTTTATAACGATGTGGGCGTTTACAATGTATCCATGTGCACATTTTATGTATGTATTTATAAATAATGTCTCTAAGTATATCTATCAGTTGTTCAATAATACAAGTTCTGCTTAACTTGGGACTAGATGGTGCCGTGTTAAGTAATATAAGTTGATTAATTAATTTTCATTTTATTTATCTACGAATAAATTTCTAGTCTATCATCCCTTAATATGATTATGTATAGGGATTATAGTACAAACCCTAAAGCTAACAATAAATTGTATACAGTTAGCTCCAACGCGCGACGATGTTTTCCTGGACTGCCTATGGGACACATTAAACTGCGAGCAAATGTTCTATCATACACTTACAAAAGACGGATATTGCTTCACCTTCAACATGTTGTCTGCTGAAGAGATGTTTAGAACAGAGAAGTAAGTTCATTTTATATTGTGTGATATCTTAGCTGTCTATTGTCTATTAATAATTGTAATGGGAACTATCTAAACCAGTGTATCCCAACGTTTTTAATGTCTATAACCTTTCTAAAATTGTTATACATATGTAACATACAAAATGTATAACAGTAAAAAAAAATATTGTTCATTTAAGAAACATAAATAATATCTAGATTTTATGAAGAAATCACTCAGAAATTGTTAATGTAACAGTCAGTAAATTTTCAAAAGATAATTAAATTGGAATTTCTCCCACTAACAATGAAATTGCCTCCCTGTAGGGCATGGACCCCACATTGGAAAACACTGACCTAAACCATTATTATAAGGAGTATTTGTAAATGACATATCCAATTCCGAGAGGGTTCGCTAATACATTATTATAAATAAAAATAATATATTAGCAGTAACTTCAAATATTAAGAATTTTCTTACACTATTTATTTTTATTTATTAAATTATAATTATAATACTTATATTAGCGAACCCTCCCGCCATCTCACGGGTGCCTTACTAATTTTCGTATTTCTCGGCTCGTACTATACTATATATAATGTACCCTTGTATTCTATATATAAACCTTACTCACTCTATCTACATATATAGACACAGACAGACTATCTATACAGATAGCGGCGGCGGCGACTGTTTTATACCATGTAAAGATTTTATTCATTTTTCCTCTTTAGCTGTATTTTCTATTTTTTTAAATTGAATAATATACTGTCCAGTCTTCACAAGGACTACTACCATGTGGCTGGTCACAATAAAAGCGCTTGGACCCTGGAGCGAGGATATCCCCCGGGTGAGACCATCAAGACTTACCCACGACGTGGACCTGTAAGTGATAAAATATGATGTCGATAGTTTATAAAAGACTAGCTGGGCCCGCGACGTCGTTCGCGTAAAATGACGATACTTCCATATAACCATTCGTATTCCCTTTCAACCCCTTGCAACCCTTTTTTCACATTAAAAAGTAGCCTATATCCTTGTCAGGGTCTAGACTATCTGTGTACCAAATTTCATTTAAATTGGTTCAGTAGTTTAGGCGTGAAAGCGAGACAGACAGACAGAGTTACTTTCGCATTTATAATATTATTAGTAAGGATAAGGATATGTTATTCTGATGTATAATCTACATTACTGAAAATTTCATCAAAATCCTTCGGCAGTTTTTGCGTGAAAGAGTAACAAACATCCATCCATACCCAGAAACTTTCGCATTTATAATATTAGCAAGATGAGTGAAAAAACCACGCGCTGAATGAATTAAAAAGTGAATAAATGTATGTACGAGTATGTAAATATTATGACAACGAAGTGTACAAGACAAGTACAAGAAGAGGACGTCTGTCATTTTGTAATTTAAGGCAAAGAAAAATGATCAGACGGCCTTAATGAAAAGATTAGAGCTCGTGAAACATTTTCAATAATAATAATTAAGTTCCAGTAAAAGACAAACACTAATAAAATATATGTTAACCGATATTGATTTATAAATGCCGTCTAGATTGGTCCTCGTTTTGTGTTTTTGCAAAACAGTGGTGTGATATTTAAATTTCTTTGGTAGGGTTAGTAGGTAGGTATATATAACAAATAAAAGTACAACAGTGAGTCATTATTAATGACCTACAATAAAACATCGAGCCTAGTTTCGATACAAGAACGTGCTAAACCACTATTGGGAGAAGGTCATCTTACGAGGATTCTACCATTGACGTATTATTCGCTAATATATCACAGTAGATGATACTTGCCAACTTGTGGCTGTTATTTAACTTAGTTTAGTTAGCGTAGCCAGGGTGTTTGTTGATAGTAAATAGTTACTAGGCATTTTCAGAAAATAAGACGTTTGATGTCTTAATTATAGTATATTAAATTTAGATACAGTATAAATGAATAATGTATAAAATGTAAGTAAATTTAAAGGCACAACGAATTTCTTCTTTCCGCAAGATGTTTGTATAAGTGAACGTCTTCTCTAGTGCGTTAGTGAATAATGTTTCAATGGATGCTACAACAAACTGATTTTTGTCTTGTAACCAAGCTATAAATACACTATAATAAAATATTGTTTTCATCTTAGCAATACAATAAAAATAATGTATTTTTCCCAAAAAAAAAAAACAAGACTCCCTTTTTTCAGAGTTATGGCGGCGTTGAGTTCGAAGTTATTTTGCTAACTGACATTCGAGATTTAGATCAAGTGTGCCGAGGCCCGGTTCAAGGATTTAAAGTATGTATACGAATTTACATAATATATTCTAAATAACAATATATTACCACATTTTATAATTACTAATTCGTGTACAATTAATTACTAGACAATTTACCTATATGATGTTATGTAAAAAGTCTTACTTATTTTAACAAAGAGTATTGTAAATAATACAAACATAATATTTGGAGATCTGAATTTAACATGAAGTTACTATGAACATTTTCAGATATCATGAATTTTATAATTGTTTAAATAATACGATATGGGACAATTTTAAATATTTGTTTAAAACTATTTCTTAAAAATGTTACTTTATGTAAGTTCGTTCATAGTTACAAAATAGAAGCATATATGTATGTTATTGACCTACTTAATCATTTATTTATTCTGACAACTATTCTACTTATTATTGTAATTTATTTGTAAGTAAAAGATACATTTAAAAACAATCTTTAAACTTATATTTACATGCGAGTATCATGACATGTCGAGTCATATTTTTTTTATGGATGATAATGGAATGCTACACTCGCTTGCGCTAATTGTTTACGCTGGCGAGGCAACAGTGGAGGATAAGATGAGTATGAGGTCTGGTCAGTCAGCCTATCACAACAAATTCATCAAGAATTTGTCACGATGGTTTCCAGGTGGATCGCGTGGAGGTCAACCTGATATGGTTCCTTGCTATCAATGAGATCATCAATCCACATTACTGTCCCCTTTACCCCCTTGACCGCCATATTCGTGATTATTGAAATTTATAGATAATTTAGATGAGAGTGAATACCAGAATATAAACTTCATTAGTTTCGGGTCCGATGAGATTGGGAGTAGATTTTAAATAATTTATACTATTTGTAGATATGGCTCCATAACCCAGCAGAATTGCCCAACATGGGTCAGAACTTCTTCCGGTTGCCCATCAAGCATCAATCGGCTGCAGCAGTCACGCCGCGCGTCACGGCCACCTCCGACGGCCTGAAACATTATCCACCACATAAGTTAGTATCTACATCTATACATAGCTGGTAGCAGCAGTTACCAAAACTGCTAATCCCTGTCAGTTATTGCTTTTTTTTATTGCCTTCCACTGTCTGCCAGCATATGGATACCGTCAACACAGGTGGAAGGGTCTTCTATTATAAAAATATTTTCTCAGTAATTTTTTATACGATTCTTTAATTAACATTTTCAACCGGTGTTTTCTATTTATAATTCTGGTACCCATAACAGAAGCTGTGCTTAGTTGGGGACTAGATGGCGCTGTCTAAATTATCCTGAGATATTATTATTATTATAATTTTCTGATCACATGTAAATTTAACTATTTGGTCTGCCGTAGAATCCACACAGAATCCTTACTCTGCCAATTTAAAAATCCATTAACATGTATACAAAAAAAGCTTTGCCTATGTCAGGACTTCGTCATTTTTGAAGTCGGTAGAAAATATTAACTAAAGAATCCTATAACAATGATGTCATGCCTAAGTTTCAAACTGACCTACTCACCTTCAAAACAAAATACCTACGCAGAGAGCGTTTAAACAAATTGTAGATTATAGATCGAAAAGGATGTATTTTTTTATCAAGACAAAGAACAACATATGCACTGCCTAATCTCATTTTGATTGATGTTCGACTAGTGAGTCATATATCATTCTTTAAAGTAATTAGTTATATAATATATACTAGCTACTCGCCCCGGCTTCACACGGGTGTAAATGTATCTATACATATAAATAAAATTGGAGTGTCTGTTTGTAATGTTGTAATAACCGTTTTTTACTACATGCATATCAATATGAATATAAATATGGTACATACACCAAAATAACATTTTCTACAATTTTTGTCTGTCTGTCTGTTTGTTTGTTCCTGTTAATCCAGCCTTTATTACATACATTATCAATGAGAAGGAAATTCTTAGCGTGAACAACTGGGTCGATTTCGCTAATTCTGTTTTGTTGTTTGTTATTGTCAGGAGAAGGTTTTTATGAAAGAACAAATTAAGAAAGTTGCGCGGATATTTTTTTATTAATTAATAATACCTATTGTAATTGAATATTCATAATTAAGACAGGACGAGATCTATCGGATCAGCTAGTAACCTGTTCATTTAAGATGATAATGATAAATATGAAATTTGCTTCCCAAAATATTAACATTTGTGAATGTATTTTCCTTCTCATACATTATCTGCATTTATGACTAAAAAATTGGGTTTCAGACGTAACTGTTTCTTCCCTGAGGAGCGATACCTGAGTTTCTTCCGCATTTATACGCAACGTAACTGCGAGCTTGAATGCTCGTCCAATCATACAGCCTACCGTTGCGGTTGTGTTCCTCTTTATATGCCTCGTAAGTATATGAACTAGCTAAATATTTTAATATTAAGCGTTTCAATAATATTGACAATAGAGAAAAAGGTTACATAGACATTGAACCAAAATTGAAATTATATTAAATAAATTCAAATCATTCTAAAAAAGAAGAGATTATACAATTTTGTTTTTTTATTAAACATAAAAAAAAATCTAAATTCATTCATCGAATGTATTAAAAAAAATTCTTACCAATATTTATATATATACCAATATTTTTATATATATTACTTATAATTATATTATGTATTCCTAATAACGCAAAATACAAGTAAGTAGTAAATCGTATGTTTTCTGTGTTCTAATTTTAAATGTACTAAGATAATCTAAAAACTACCAATTACTTTTTAAAATTAGAATACACGAACTAGTAATAACAATTCTTTCTCTATACATATTTTACACTTGTTTTTAAATTAATCATTGATTTCTTTTTCTTTTTGATAAATAAAATTGCTAAAGTTTAATATTGATTTCATTTAATACGTACCTTTAATAGGTTTTCTAAAATATGAAATTGTAACATTGCCGTTCAATTACAGATGGTCCTGATACAAAAGTCTGTGGCCCTGGCAAGAGACAGTGCGTTACTAATGCTTTCGGTAAGTTATTGACAAATACCTATCTAATACTTTATTTGAAAAATAACTAAAACTTCATGATTTTAAGTTATTTTTAGTCTAATAATATTTCATAAATAAATTAACGAAATTTTTGTCCTTCCGACTAATACTACCTACAAATATTTCTTTGTTGTGTTTTTGAAAATATTTTGTCAAAGCCAAAAACATTTAAAAATTACTTTAGTTACAAGTAACATACAGTATTTTATGTTCAAAGCATTTGAGTTCTCTACTAAACAAAGCTCTGTATACTATGGGTAGGTATACTAAACAACTAGTAGAAATACTTTTTTTTTGTCAGTACCTACATAATATAGGACATTTCTATAAAAATTCATAATAATTATGCAAAGGTGAAGAAGTTATAAGTACAAAGTCTTCAGCCAAACGAAAGATAAATAGTCTTTGTAAGCTATGTTTTGATTGTAGGTTGCAATTAGGCAGTGAAATTATAGCATAAGAGTCATAAAATCATAGTCCTCTGAAATAACACGGGCTATGTGATATGATAACGTGATATCCGTAGTGCGGTTCGTGTATATAGGTTATGATTTCCTCTATAATGTGGACCGTCAACTTGTTTCGCACTGAGATTACGTACCAAAATAGGTGGCTACTTAATTAACAATGGAGATGATTTATTTGCTAATAGAGGAACTGTCGCTCTCAAAATCGGCACTGGACGAGGACTCCAAACACTTGACGAAGAAGTGCGACTGTTTAGAGGCGTGCACGGAACTGAAGTACGACGCGGAGGTGTCTCAAGCGGTGTACGATCTCACTACATACAGACGACACTCCAATCCTGATATCGCTCATGGATGGTGAGATATTGAACTTATTGTGAACTCGACTTCGAGGATTTATCTTACGTATAAAATTCTCGTGTCACAATGTTTGTTACCACACCGAAACGGCTTGATCTATTTTTATAAACCTATATAGTTGTTCCCTTGTAGGGGTATTTTCATACCCCTAAGTGATAAAAGTTGTCCACCTGTAACATTTTTTTATTTTTTTATAATGTGGCATTTAAAATACATACAACCCCAATTTTTTACCCTTCTATCACGAACCCCTATTTTTTAATAGCAATGTTAATTCATATGGCACAACAACATTTGCCGCTAGTACATATACCTGTATATTTCAATGTAACAACAAACGTAGACGTATGAGGCTAGACGAATAAGTCTACCCGCAATTTTATTTACGAACTACCCGCTAGTCTTCAGTTTACCCATGATAAAATGTCTGTCTGTAAGATATCTCTAAGATACAGATCTTACCCATACCGTGACTTTCTTAAATTTACGATACTTGTCAACAAACCAAAACTTTAATTCTACGAAGTTTTAAACTACAATTATGAAGTATATTTATAATTTTATGCACGCATTTTCTAAGGGACGCAGAGAGGTCAGTTATTTAATTACTCACAGCGATACGTATTTTTAATTGTTAAATTAGGTATCCAATATTATCTTCAAAATACCTAATTATTAATTATAATATAAAGTCAGTAATATTAAAATTAATGTAGGATATTTTTTGATAGATATTTGTGGTTATTATTTCCCTACCACAGTTAATTGAATGAACTGGCTGAACTGTTTTATTAATTTACCCCTATCACCATAATGTAAATTTAGAGTTAAAACGCCTGGAAAAAACCTGTCAGAACTGATTCTAAGACTATTAAATATACTATATTACAATACTTAATTGTTTATAATATTATATATCTTACTTATTATAAAGGCGGATGTTTGTAAATATGGATGAATGGATGAATGTTTGTTACACTTTTTTTTATTTTATAGTAATATCTGCCGCATCTTTTGTGGGGACATCCTTTTTGCCTTTTTTTTATCCGGTAGATATGTTCCACTGTTTTGTTTATTTTTTTTTAAACTACCGAATGGATTTAAATGAAACTTTACAATAATATACATCAGAATAACATATATGGGTTAAACCGCGGGCATTGCTAGTATGTAATATGTGATAAATAAATTTCTATTTGACATTAGGCGCTTGCCTTCCGGCTTGGTGGTGTACTTCGCCGAAGAACTGTTCACGTCACTGCGACGTTCGGAGCTGTACGGCGGCGTTGACTTCCTGGCCAATTGTGGTGGCATCATGGGCCTCTTCATGGGTTTCTCTTTCCTTAGCGTCATCGAGATCATTTACTACTTCACTCTGAGGTAAACTTGCATACAATTATTTGTAAGTACTAAGTTTGACGGCCTTGGTGGTCTAGCGGTATCACACTTACTTCCGATGGTCGCAGGTTCGATTCCTCCCACGGCTAAAACAATCTTGAGTACGATTGTTTGTATCGGTCTGTGTGTTTTCTATTTAAATTATGTATGTATTTACAAAATATCTAGATTTTTATATCCGCTTTCTACTACCTATAACACAAGCTCTGATTAACTAGATAGCGCCGTGTAAATTGTTCTGAGATACTATTATCATTAAATATGAATATTATATCCACACCCTGGAATCTGTGTCGGTGTCGGACAGTGCAGTTTCAGAGGAGCTTCCTCCCGCGTACACTTAGATTATGGAATTAACTACCTGCTGAGGTTTTCTTTAGAGACTACAGCATGGAGGTTTTACAAGAAGGGTATCTATATTAAGGTTTCTTAAATATCGATAACGCGCACGTGACACCTCTGGTTTAAGGCGGTATAAGCTACGATCACCGTTTACCAAAAAATGGGCCGTATACTTGATTGCTACCATCTTAGTATTAATAGAATATACATACATATATTGTAGTCAGAAAATACTACTGTATTTTCTGACAAATAATTTTGTGATAATGTAACCCCAATGGTGTTGGAAAATATTTTATCAATTGAAATGTCTTGTGCTTTTCTTAATATCTATTTTTTTTATATAGGTATATAATTTTATAACAGTATAAATAGTCAATTGTCGTCGCCATGGTGAACGCAGCACTTGACATGGTCACATTTCGCTGGTAACCTATTTGAATCTGTGGCAGGGGCAAATCTACCACTTTTTGATTTCTTATCGTTGTTTCCTTCGACGGAGAGTCAGTCAGAAATATGAACATATAATGTTTTTTAATGTTAGCTACATTTGAACTCATGATCTTTTGGTTGTAAATCGGGGTATTAAATTAACTCGCTCTCAAAAGAAAAACTATTATTGTATTATTAGCTATATACCTACACTATAACATTAAATAGTTTTTTTACAGCTCAATTAATTTCTTATACTTAAATAAATTTCAAATTATTTTCAGATTGTTTTGTCGAATACGTCAGTCCTCAACAGTGGTAGCAGAATGAATGTTGCAGTCTATTCTATTTTTTCATTATAAGTTTAGCTAATTTTATTATTATATAAATACAATGAAGAATCTCGAATCGTATTTTAAATGTATGATTGTATACAAATTATGTAAATGCTATATTTGTGATAAATAGAATTAATTGGACACAAACTACTAATTATGTATATGATGTCTTTCTATAAAAAGAAGTAATTTAATATTTTGCCTACACTTGAAGTGAGTGAATTGAGTTTCATTCAATATTTACGACTCAACAATTTAAAAACGATTCTCATTATTGTACAATATAATGAATTAAATTTAAGTTTTTTACTATTCAAATAATGTATTTTTTTATAATGAATCACAAGGTTTACAATGTACCCCTTATGCGCTGCTATTTCGCAGAATTAAGGTGTTATTCCTCTGAATCGAAAGACCATTAGAAAAGAAGGAAATATATATATATATATATATATATATATATATATTATTAGGGGTTCCCGGTTATTGTCAGGTGCTAAGACCTATAGCGTTGCGACCTGCATAGATCTTGCATAGTGCTTGCCCTTTTTCAAAGTTCGCTACCTAGAACCATCAGAGACAAGAATTAAAAGATATTCTTAGGAACGATGGTTTTTATCTCCTCAGGATAGAGTTTAAACTTTCCAAAGTACATATTTCGTTTATGCGTGAGTGGGCTACAACCACATAGGATGTGGTGGCGTTTCCTCTTCAGCTTGACAAAATCTGCAGATTTTTGTTGGCAGGCACAGGCCTAACTTTTCCATGTTTTATTTAAAAGATGATAAATGAGTGATAAAAGATAGCCATGATAAAAAGTATGAATAGTGTATAATGACTAAAACAAATATTAATTCTGATATTTCATAGACTTATTAATTAAAGTAAACAACTTCTTCGCTTCGTTCCTCTGTATCGTTTCTGGTTATTCAAACTTTTAACTACTTTATTAAGTTGTTATGAGCCAAACTACGCAAATACTACATAAAATCGTTATCGGTTGTAGTATTTATGCAATCTATACAGGCACATAAAGAAACATATGTTTAAAACAAAATAGCTAACGTAATCACCAGAACGAAAACAAATAATCCACGAAACATAAAACCTGCGTGACTGGTCTACTAATAATGCTTAACTCGCATCGCAGTCACTCCGTCAGGGCTGCCAACTTTAAAACATATAGCCTCGAGTACGAAGAAATCAAAATCTCGTATATTCTCTCAATTTTGCTTTGTAACCTCGTATTTTGAGTGATTTCCTACGATCAAAACCTTGTACAAACTTGTAAGAGAAAGTAGACATTCTCGTACTGAAGACCAAAAATCTGGTACCTGTACGAGGATCCTCGCACAGTTGGCATCCCTGATACTATATACCCGTTGGGACGGTGTCGCGCGAACAGCGACCGCGCCTCCATTCGACGATATGGCGCTACGTACACAACTACTGCGTGCCGGTAAATAAAGTGCATTTTTATTTTTGTTTAGTTTTAGTTAACTTTATTTCTTCCGAATGTTACAGTGTAAAGTAATTAAAAAAAAATACAAGCCATATAGAATTTTCTATTATTTTAACCAGTATGAATATATATTTATATGCACAGATGCAAAACAAGTTTGCGTTGACTTTGAAAACATAACAACTGGAGTTTTTGCTTTATCTGAGTTAATATGCAGTTATAAAGTAGAGGAAAATTTCATATTACCTATTATGTCGTGGTAAACAATTTGAAGTAGCAATTTTCTGTGTCATATTTATCACTATAGTATCACATTATTTGTTAAATTGTGACGTCAATATTTAAATATGTTTTGAAACAATAGGCAGTTATTTGCTTTTCTTACATAATTTTATCAATCCAATAACGAAGAAGTCAATGATTATAGATGTATAATTTGTCTTAGTTTTTCACATATTGGATAATGAATAAAATCAAATCATAAATAATTTATTCATGTACGACATTTTAGCCGCTCCTGAACGTCAAATTTTTTGCATAAATTTTTTTTCCTACCGTACGGTTCAGTATACTAATTCAATTGAGAGAAGAAGATATGTGATACCTAGAACCAATTTGTTGGTAGTAAATTAGACAATTACATACAGGTGTAGGTATAGTGAGTATTCAAAACATTTGAAAGGTAGTTAATGCAAACATACAATATTACAGTGTGCAATGGTTCTCAAGCTCGTCAGTTTAGTGAATTGAAGGGAAAAGAACGCGAAGGCGTAATTTTACTTCGAGACGTGCTTGACGACCGGCTACGAGAGATTAAGAGAGCAAAGACTTGGAAACATGAGAGAGTACTTACTTCACCTCAAGATACAAAGGTATGTTCTAGTACAGTGTGTGTTTTGACGATGACTTTAATATCCGATGGTCGCGGGTTCGATCGCTATACAATAGAAATGTTTATATGTACCTATAACAATTTAAAATATTTTTGTTTGTCTCTTTTGTTGCATTTATGAAAAGCAAGTGTATAAGTTTTCTAGTAATTAGTGACAGTAATATGCTAGTTTTGAGACTGCATAGTATCTAGTCCTAAACTAGATGTTCTGTAGTCTCTAGAGTTATTAATTTATTTAGTATAATTGCGTTCGATTTCAAGGAAAATGGAGTGGACATATTAGTCATGTATATTCCACATTTACTCTATTAGTCAAAGTGAATTATTAGGATATTTAGACATTTGAATAGCGTTATATAAAGCCGCACAAAAATATGTAGGTATAGTTTGTTACAATTGTTACACATATTTAAGGCTATTTTCGACGACCTCGGTAGTCTAACGGTTTAACCCACCGCTTTACCCCCGATGGTCGTTGGTTCGATTCCTTGCACAGTGAAAATAATTGTATCATGATATGTATGATTTTTTGCATTGGTCTTAGAATAGATAAAACATACGAGCAAGCTCGTAGCTATAACATTGAAGGTCGTGAAGCCATGCTGTTGTTATTTTTGTAATATCGCAATGACTGCAATGATAAACGATTTTGAAAACAAAGATAGTGAATGGTTGTTCAAATGTACTACTATGTGGCAACACCGCCAGTTTGATAATTCAGTCAATTCCCGCGAAAATGCCGCACTCAAAAATGTCATACAAAGTTGTGGTAGTCGAGAAGTTTGAGCAGCATTTATTGTGTATGTGTTCACTAACTGGTACTATCATAAGAACTACTAATTATAATGTGTTATTGATGATATAATATATATTGGACACAGTTACGAGTTTTTCTGCCGTCTGGCCACTGATGACTCTAAATCCACAACTTTAACCCACAGGTATAATGGACAAGGGCTTTCGCATCATCAAAGACAGACATATGCCCTAACTACAAAACGAATTTGGAAATGACTGTCAATAAATTTCATCCTTTTCGAGGATCATCTTACATTGATTTACCACAGAATGTAAAAGCTAAGAAAGTCATCGTTGATGCAAAATTAATAATCAACATTGTTTAATTGACATTGCTTGTTTGGCTTTACTTTACGCTTTACTATTAGGTATATTCTGTTGTTAAAAATGCTGTTAGTTTTATTATATTTTAAAAATGAATGAATGAATCAATCAAAACCCAATGTATGAATGAAACATACATTGTGTTTTGGTCATATACAACTTGTTGTAAAATTAAACGATCTCGAAAATGTTGAATGTCTCTTAAAGAATTATGAATTGTGACTTTGAAGCTTTTTAACAATCATGTTTCTAATTACGCGTAAAACGTAATTATGAACATGTAGTACTTTTGTACAAATGATGACGTTGTTCCTGCATCCGCTTGCATAGATGAACCGAAGTGTTTTTGTGATAATGATTCTAAAATGCTTGTTTGAATAAATGATGTTGGTGATTGTTGAACGGTGATTTCTTGATTATTACTATCATGTCTTCTTTATAACTCGGCATTTTTCATATACAATGGTTTCCACTTTCTTCAATACTTCACAAATTTCATTGTCGTAAATAGAATTTTGTAAACAGGTTTCTGTAATACACGTTTTAGTATTTCTATCACAATGTTGACAATTATTTTTACTTTCTATTCTCTCTAAAATTTGACACATTTAATTATTATAGATATAATAACAACGTCGCTCTTAGAATTATCATAAACGATAAAGAAACTGAACACTAGTGTGTTAGGAGACTTCATATTCACACAATAAATGCTTAGTGCAAACTGTTCTGTAAAGATAGCAAACCACTGATATAAATACATTTTGTAATTGCATTAAAATTAATCAATATATTGTATAGATTTCTAAATTTCTGATTTTTCGTATTTCTGAATATTTTATTAAATTCTATGTTAAAAATTTCATTGCATGGTGTTGAACTGCCGCCGTCTTCGTTATTTATCGTTATGTATGACATGCCGTCTCTGTATCAGCGATTCACAAGAGAGCTGGTTTTCTTTTGTTTTTTTCCCGTATAATTGTAAAATTTATCCATAGAGTCAAGGATACTTGTCCCGCGTCGATTTTTTAATTTCAGACGTGGATTGCGGGGTCCGTGACAAGTAATCTTTTTTAAAAGTGTACCTAGTATAACTATTTCTTCCGGAAATATATTCGATGAATCCTATAACAATATTGTATAATCAAATATATGTGAAAAGATACCAAATATAAAGCAAATTTTGTATTTAAATTTGAACAAAAAGTTCTTACATCTACATTTATATACTAATAATATTGAAACGGCTTATAGTAAATTTAATTTCTTTTTGTGAAATCATTCAATATCGTTATTACATAGTTGGCTCGATGTTGTTGCAAATTTAAATAACATTAAAAACAAACTAGATAATAGGCGATTTGTCAAAAGTTCTTGATTGAAATATAAATGTTAAATAATTTTAGTTCTATCAAGGGCAACGCTTAATGTAATCATCAAGTCATTCATAGTTTTAAGTATGCATTACAGATGCCAAACTTCTTGTTTAAGGAACACGAAATCAAATCAATCCATCAATTTTATTTGCTCATCAAAAAATATTAAATTCTACTACAGCTAAATACTCCGTTGCGCGTGCTCTGGGTAGAGTTTTTTAAAAATGCCGTCGGGGTGCATGAAAAAACATATGATATTTTTTTTCTGTGATAAGTATCTAAAAGGTGTATCGAATCTACGTATTGAGGAGGAGCCATCAGCAAGTTTGCTATTCCAGTTACAATATAAAGAGGCATTTAATTGTTCACAGGTGACTGTTCAAGGCGCTAAGGGCGATTTCTTAAACTTCTGTGCAAATAATTATTTAGGATTTTCTGTAAGTACACATTATTGTTACATAAAAAATTTGCTTATTGTATACGAACAATCTGTTGATGATAAATTAATACTGGATACTATTGCACAACATACGTAATATTTAGTGTAGGTACATACCAAACACTTCAATATTGTTATAATTTTTAGGTACAAATAAATACTTAGTTATTTAAGAGCACGAATAAAATACATAATCTGTTCATGGTATAAAAGAATTAATAGATGAGTATATAACGATAAAGATAATAATGAATTAAATAATAATTATAAAATTTTACGACATTAATTTTATTCATATTTAACTTAAATATTCTACAGAAAAAAAATAAAAATATACATATACAATCATATCTTTATTAATACATGTGCTTAGTTTCCAGAAAATTTTAATTTAATCATTGACAATGAACTTAATTAGTTGTCTAAACTACATGTTTTCCGATTTTTAAATGAAGGCTAAACATATCTATTAAAGAATTTTATCATTTTGTAGTCATTATATTCCATTTTTTAGTGCTACAAATTTATCGATTTATATAATTATTACAGGAAACAATAATAAATATAAAATATTCATAATCAAATATCTACCACGAAAACTTTTACATTTTAGCTTCTTAATGTTCATTTTATCCTCCTATCCTATCTAGAGACGATTATATTTTATCCTCGACAATATGTCGATAATAAGATACACCACAAATTGTTACTAAAAATGCCACAAAAAATTGAAACTATAACAAATACGTTTATTTATTGACAGAATCACCCCGAAGTGGTAGAAGCAGCCAGGGATGGTTTGAAAAAATATGGCGCTGGTCTCAGTTCAGTTAGATTCATTTGTGGAACACAGATTATACATAAGGCAAGTAATTATCTATCTTCAGCCCACACTTCTTACAGAGCAAACAGAAAATTCATAACTACTAAATTTGTGTAGTTACTTTGCTTTTCTGAAATTTTACCTATTCAAAAACTCAGCAAGGTATTATTTCTTTTTCGAGAAATAATCAAAATTCCTTTATTTGTATTTCTAATTATTTCGGATCAGATATGTATCATATTAGATATTGATTTTTTTTTGTCCTTTATAAAAACGTAATAAATTAAGAATTTAAAAATTCATTTTAAACTCAAAGGTCAATGTAACTGTTTAAAGGTTAATTCTTACGCATACTGTCTGATTCTGAATTACTTTTTATATTTGGCACGTTTTATAGGATACAATACACGTTACAATACACGTACAATTTGGCACGTTTTATATATACAATCTATTTAACTAGGTAAACTTACGTTAACTGAATTTTAACATGCGACCGTTTTAACTTTGTAAGGAAAATTATGTAAATCCAAAGACACTCGGTGACCGTGGAGACACTGCAATTTTATCTAAACGTTTCATACAACCTTGACAAAGTATTATATATTATGTAGAAGTATTGAGTTGTAAAAACTGCATCTCATCTGTAACAATTGTAAATATATGTATGTATGTAAATAAGATTGCCTTAATTTATTTATATAAAAACAGCTATGTATATAATACGTGCTTTGTTAATTTTCCATAGCTAACAATAATTATTACCAATGTTTCTGGTCTCTACATTCGTACTATTAAAATGTTTTCTATTTTTTTGAGAGTATCGTGAATTCTAGTTGAAAGAAATCGTGTACGTAACAAGTAGACTTTAACCCGAAGCATATTGGGTTGAATATGGCCGACAAAAAAACTGTGTCTTTCTATGTTGACTGTTAACTGCAGCTGGCTTTTATGATTTCACCGGACGATAGCAGCGAGTGCAGATGGCACTCCAAACCCGCGGAAGGATTTATGGAGCGGTTGAAGGCCAACTCCCGCCTAATGGATACGACTTTAGTTTTAGGGAATCGATCGGAGGGGGGACCGCCAAGGTTCAGCAACAATATACAACATTTCTGTAAGTGACTTATTTTATATTTACAGGAATTAGAACAGCGTTTAGCCAAGTTCCATGGCCGCGAAGATGCTATACTATACGGGTCATGCTTCGACGCGAATGCTGGACTTTTCGAGTCTATGCTTACCCCTGAGGACGCGGTGTTCTCTGACGCCCTGAACCACGCCTCAATCATTGACGGCATACGGTTGTGCAAGGCACAGAAATATCGGTATCCACATAGAGATTTAAATGGTATGTATTAAAAATAAATGACATTAATTGCCTAAGTACTAAATACTACCTACTTTTATCTTTACTCATTAATATTTGGTATGATTTGCTTTAGTTTTATTTTTTTTTCGAAAGGAAACAGAATTTGGTATCTTAATATTTTTAGTATATTATCTGATAACATTTTGTGATAGATTCTTTGCCAATAACATTTAGTAATAGATTTTCAGTATTCATTTTCAAACTTTTTTGTTTTAATAATTTCGTCAAGATTGATGTCGGTTATTTTAAATAACAAATACTCAAAGTAAACTTATAAAAGCTACCCGATGTTACGCAGTAATCATTATGTTGTCATGTGACGCCCTAGATATCACTTACGTTGTCATAACGGAGGACTAATATGTAATGTAGGGACATACTGTAAATTCACTTCCTAATCTGCATACTGTAACCGAAGCACAGTTTACAAAGAAAGCTACTTGGAGACTAAGGTACCAACATAGACGACTGATGATACTAGATATATTTTATTATGTTATTAACAATTAACGACGACGTGGTTACAAGTTTCTATAAGTTTCTATCTTATTAATAGACTATAGACTATCATAATAGTCTATTAATAAGATAGAATATCACTAGCTTTAAAAGAATGTTGGCACATCACTAATCGTCGTATACTGTATCTTAATATTTGTAACTACAACAGTCTGTATCTAAACTAGAGTTGGAACACTTACTGGCGCACAGCGAATCCCGCATCAAGCTGATCGTTACTGATGGTGTATTCTCAATGGATGGGACCGTGTCGCCCATTGCTGGATTACGAACACTCGCGGACAAATATCGCGCCCTATTGGCAGTTGATGACAGCCACGCTACTGGTTTCTTCGGCGACACTGGACGGTATGTTGCACCTTTTTAGGCTTGAGCACCTCCTGTATACTACTAATTCATCAACATGCATATTGTGGTAACCACTAAAAACACCGATCAATCTGGGACACTATTTCAAAAATATGTCTACTGTACCAATAGGACAAATAAATAAATAACCCTGGACAATTAACCCACTGCCATCTAGTCCTACGGTAAGCAGAGCTTGTGTTATGGGTACACAACTGATGTTAATACTGAGTTTTTTTTTATAAATACATACATAATATACATAGAAGATACCCAGACCGGTACAAACAATTATACTCATGAATAGAAATGTTTGCACCGTGCGAGGAATCCAACCCGCGACCATCGGAAGTAAAGCGGCGTGCTAAACCGCTAGACCACCGAGACCGTCATAAATAGTTGCTTGCAATTAGTTAAAACACATGCAATTTAGTCGGCATAAAGTTAATTGTTCGGTCAGCATTCCATAAAAGAGCTTTTAACACTATACAAACCATGAGATCCTCACGCCTATAATACACTATTTCGTATCTGTTTGCACTCTGGCTGTGACAGGAATGTTAAACTAAATATCTTTAAACAATTTCTATTATAACTCGTTTTTGAGAATAAAATATATTGATTAGTAATGAGATTATGGATATGAACAAGTTTATTCAAGTCTCAAGGATATTTGCCATTCCATCCCATGCGTATAAGAAAAATACAAAAATTGATTGGATTGAAAATTATATTAACATTATAGAGTAGATTTGAAACTTGGAAACTATTATAAATATTTTACATGTAATTACAAAAACTGATCACAGAGGTATTCAGTTTATATCTTTACTCACATCTTTTTTAAGTTGTAGATACTTGTATCTATAAAAAACAACGATGAGTGATATAATTAGTTTGTTTAAAATGCTGCAATCATTTGATACACGATCATAATATGTACCTAAGTAAATCAACTAATTAATTCATTGACAAATTTATTACAGGGGTACTGAAGAGTACTGCGGCGTGCTGGGTGCTGCCGATATAATTTGTTCAACGTTGGGCAAGGCTGTGAGTGGCGCCGCCGGTGGCTACACTACCGGACCTAAAGAATTGGTCACATTGCTGAGGAACGTGTCGAGACCTTACCTATTTTCTAATGCCCCTCCACCGCCGGTTGTCGCTGCATCGTTAAAGGTGACCTAAAATATATAATACTAGCTACTCGCCCCGGCTTCGCCCGGGTGATGGTGGTGATACGTTTATTATACATATAAACCTTCCTCTTGAATCACTCTATCTATTAAAAATAGACGCTTCAAAATCCGTTGCGTAGTTTTAAATATTTAAGCATACATAGGGACGGACAGACAGCGACAGCGACTTTGTTTTAGGTTATGTAATAATACATAACAATTTTGAGTAACAATATGAAATGTATACATATAAAACAAATTTAGAAGTGGTATAGCATGTTGTATGGCTACGTGTGGTTCTGCAACATGAATGGAACTGCTTGAACCCGGAAATACCACACCTCTTCAAAATACTGGCGTGAAGTGTTTTCGAGTATCGCATAAGTGTACATTCCAGACGCCCATTTCTTTCCGCTTATCTCTTTTGCTAATTACTACTGCTACCCACCTCTTCTTATAAGGTGGTATAAATATTACTGTGGGCTATGTGCAGAAGTTTTGGCCCTATTGACTGTACAAAAAATATTAAAACAAAATAAATGGGCCAGTCACATAAAGTTGAAAGAAAAAAATTCGAAATATCCCACTTGAACTTGCATTTGCACTTTCCTGAATACACTCGAAAACATAATTTTTATTCACTAGAGGTAGGAAAACCAACTGTTCGACACATATCTCTAAAGATATACATATACCTAATTATTTCTACGCATATTCCAGTCCTTAGATTTGGTAGAGCAAAGTGATGATCTGAGACAACGGTTGCGGGAGAATACAAGAAATTTCCGTAGTGGTTTGAAGGCGGCTGGACTTACGGTGGCTGGCGATGATCACCCTATTTGTCCTGTGATGGTCGGCGAAGCGCCTTTAGCGGTGGAACTTGCATCTGGAATGTTAGGTAAGATTTTTCTCCTGTCGTTGGATCAATGTTCAAATTTAATTATTAATTTCAATGCAATTTAAAATATGAGTTATAATTTTAATTGAATTAAAAAAATAATTAAAAGTGCATAATTTATAAATTATAAAAAACTAGCTGATCCGTGCAATTTCGTCTGCCTTACTTGACATTTATCATATTTCAACCAATTTACATATATTTTTAAATTACAGCCTTTGTGTTATTTTGAGGTATAGCATAGCTATATTTCTATAAAGTTTCTTCAAAATCCATTCTGTAGTTTTTACGTGAAGGAGTAACAAATATATCCATCGATCCATCCCTATTTACAAACTTTCGCGTTTATAATATTATTATTAAGTAAGACCACTTACTGTAAACTATCCGTAGTACCTACATAGATTAAACTATGAAATTACTTTAATTATGAAACTATTTCTTTAAAAGAGCAACATGTAACAAATATATAATACACTAATAAAGCTTTACTTTGTAGGTTATACAATAAATATTTTTAATATATTTCATTATTAAGTTAAAACTAACTCTAGTAACGCTGATTCTTCTACACAGCTCAGCGCTCAATACTGTAGCGTAAACAACCTATATACCACACCGCAAATTTTCAGTGGGTCCATCAGACTTGAGACAGCCTTCGTACTGATAGCTGAAGAAAAAAATAACATAAAACAAGCAACTTTATTTTCGTTCATTCTTCTCAGCCAAGAAGAATAAACAATAAAGTTACCGAATTGTAATTATGATTTTACTTTTACAGTTCATTATAACGGCGACATATATATTCAAGATTATTTCTCTAGACATTCTTCTGCTAATGGCCATGGATTCTATTAAAAGTATTTTTTTCAGAGCGTGGCATATATGTCGTAGCATTCAGTTATCCGGTGGTGCCGAAAGGACTGGCGCGCGTAAGGGTGCAATTAAGTGCCGCCCACACTCCCGAGGACATAAATCGCGCTGTACAAGCATTTTCTGAAGTCGCTAGGAAAATTGGTATTGTGAAATCTTAGAATACAGGAAGTACTGCACTAACTAATATACTAAAATTTTCTTTAAGAAAGTCTTGAATTTATAAAATTGTATTATATAACAATTGTAAATATCAGTAAATGTAAAATGGTCTGACTGAATAAAATGTTAGGAAAGATAAGATACTTTTATTGACAATTAAATGCAGGTGTGTAACATAATTCGGTTATAAATAAATTTCAGAAAGATACTAAATGCTGCTTCCGATTTCGTCTGCTTTTTGAGATTCAAGATAGAACTGTGCGCTTTCTTGAGATAATGAAATTTCTGAAATTTCAGACAATCTAATTCTTACAGAAATTTACAAAAATTTATAAAATAGAGTAAACCTAATATTAAAAATACCAAAATAACTCTATTTGCGTATCTCTTCCTGTTACATGAAATTAATTTTGATGAATATGTAATGCGATACCCCTTAAATCTCTGATGCATCTCTTTTTATGTAACTTATTAAAATGGCAAATAATTAATAATTGAACATTTTTATGGTAAATCATATATACATCTCTTGACGTTCAAAGTGACGTTCTTTCGAAATGGCAAAGCATTTCATTATGATTCGTGAAAAGGTAACAAGTAGACATACAACATTCCAGTTCGTTTTTATAATATTATATATATGGATTTTGGACGTTTAGGTACATGGATTTAAATGATATTTGGTATCCAGATGGACTGCAACTTACGATATTTTTTGTTCATACTCACTCAGAAAAAGACAAAGGATAATAAAACATCGCTGTTGTGTAATAATAATTGATCTATTAACAATAATTTATTACAAGTAATAAAACTCACACTCAGACAACTTCGAACACTCAGTGCGACCTTTATAATCTACTCTCGAGTTATAAATTACAATTATAATATTAAATTATTTACATTGGTATTATAATTATTATTGAGGTCTCATTTGTCGCCGTTATTGCATTTAATAAAATAATTTTTCGGCTCCGTTCAACGATATTGTTCATATTTTTCAATCGAATATAATCCTATTAGTTTATAAACATAAAATGACAAACACACAATGTGAAAACAAGTCATAAAATCGTTCATCAATGACGAAATCTAACAAAACAAAAAGAAATGATTGCAGTCATTAACTTCCATGTACAGTATCTGTTAGAAACCTAATATGATTTAGCAATAGTATACTTGTCAAGGTAAGTTGTTATCATTTATTAACTCTTGCTGTCTGAACAGCTCTACCAAAATAACATGAAATTTAATGGATCGAGAACAAGTTAGGCTCTTTTTACCCTGATGGATTAACGCATCAGATCAAGACGACTAAGTCGCGAACCAAAACTAATCTATGCTTCGAGGAAATTTAACCTTTTTCTATTCTTTTGCAATATAATGAATTAAATCCGAAATTCACAACAAATCCAAAATATCGAGAAAAATGGATAAGATTATCGGGTCTGCCCGACGCTTAAAAGTTGTTAGTTAAAATTATAATTTCACTAGACACAAAATGCCGTATTTGAAAAAACGTCTTCTGTCATACGAATTGAAAATGCTAAAAACTATTATATATATATATAAAACATCATATATTTTAACATTTATCACAAAAATTAGCTATTCGTTTTGTTAGATTCGGTCGCTATGGTCTTAAGTTATTATAATATATATGAGAAAAGTTTAAAACACGTCGACAAAATTAAATTAATAAGGCCAAACTATCCGACCTTCGCCGAAAACAGTGGAATGAACTGTATCACATAGAGAAAAGTTATTATAAACTGTTATGATTGCTTACACCACTATTTTCGGGAAGGTCCTTTAACACTTAAGTCATTAATATGGCTCATAGTTATGCCCCATATTATGAGGGATTGTAATAACCATTTTGACTTTATTATATCTCTGACTGGCGTCAAAACTAGAGTTTATACTTCTGGGTTCTTTTCATTTAAAAAAGGTGGCTGCAATGCTTTAGTAGGGGTTTTGATTGGGTTAAGATTTTATTTCACCAAACCAAGTATATCTATAGATTCTTGCACACTAGTGTTCTGTTCTTCTGCTCTGTTCTAATGGATTTTGATGTCCAGAACTCTAAACCATCAATTGAGCTGGAACCACGTTAGAATGTATCTTGAGTTGAAAAAACTAAGTGAACTTAAATTTTATTTTATAAGAATGTATCTTTTAGTGATCTTTTATTTTGCAATTGCTCCATTTTCCTGCGAAAACATAGGGGGCAACTGTAAAATAAAATTCTTTCTCTTACTAAGGAGTTTAGTATACATAGGAGATGATTATAACAGAAGGCGAGTTCTATATTGTATACTCAATTTGATTTCTCTTGTTCTTTTTTCTATAGTTAATTCGCGCGCTTCATTATAAACTGCATCAACTAAAAAAATCAATATTTTGTTAAATATACTTTCCAAAAATGTCTTTTTCAGTTAATGCATTTTAATTCTAAGCGTAATACAAATGTAGGTATATTTTTGTTATGAACACAATACTTTTTAACCCTCGTATTTATACGTGATGTCAATAGCACTTTAAGCCTACGAATCCCATGCCATAAAAAGTGGCTACGTCTAATTATAAGCCACAAAAATATCGAGCATCGCAATCTAACACCTTAACATTAGCTTTGGAGGGTATCGCTTTCCGCTACGAATTCTGCCAAACACTCCTACAGTCGTATAATTGTCTTGTGGACGTAACATGTCTTGAGATCAACTCGTGAGCAACCTTACTACAACGTTCACTGCGGACACATAATGTTTTGTTCCCTCAATTTGATACCATTGGTTTTGCTGGCGAACCTGAAACAAAATATATTAACCTTTAAATACAGATATTAAAACGAAAAACTAGACGTCTTTCGTTAGGATTTTTATAAATGTGGGAATAGCAACAAGCAATATACATTTTCCCGTTGCGTCGCAATGTGTTTATATTGACAGAGATAATTTACCAATTTATTAATATCAGATTGTGCTGGTCTAGCCTTTAGGCTCGTAAAATACTATAATACACTCGTAATACTATAGACTACTACGGTTTCAAGTTAACATAAAAAAACAGTCAATCTGTAGAAAATTAACAGCAAGAAATGATAATGCAGATGAACTGAAAAAATGCATGTTGCACCTTAGTATTAACTTAGCAGAAACTCAAAATAACTGTACTATAATTTAAGGAATTCAAGAATATGATTAATAAGAACTCCATAGAAATCAAGAAAATAGTACTAATTATTTAACATAAAAATATTAAACAAGAGAGAAAAATGCAGCCTTATCGTTCACGCGACCTTTGGATGGTAAGGGCAAATCTAACACGGAATCTTATCAGGTAATAAACCTACTAGCAGTAATAAACAACATGTAAACCTGGTGAAATATACGATAGGAGTTTTTATGGATACTATAAAAAAATCTAGTAGTCAGTAAATTTATACGGTATTTACATTCGTAGTAGTAAACTACTATTAAACCTGTGTTGTAAGAGCTTTGTGTTTACATATTCTAAGATTACAAAAAGGAATAATTATTTTATATGTATTATATAAATATGATTACCTCAAAAAATACTCGCCTATTTTACCGAGCTATACTTTAGAAAGTTGTCAGTGTTGGTGCCTATTTAAGACGTTAAGCAACTTGCTCTGTAAGATGTGTATTGGTTGTAGTATGTGTGCTCGATTAGTGAAATTATAGGCCAAGGCATATGACAATTTAATCATTCATGACATTCCATGAGCCGTATAGCAAGCATCAATAATAATGATGTTCGGGGGTGAAAAGGTATTACTAATGAAGAGTAATTACCGCGAATGCACCATGGAAACCATTGCGATAATTTTCTGGTGAACTTGTCACGATGTGCTAACTGACCTGACCTTATTTTTATCTTATCACTATTGCCCCGCCAGCGTATACCGTTAACGCGCGCGGATGCACCATTTCATTATGATCCATTAAAAAAAAATATAGTATCCAGTACACATAGTACAAACTGAATATACTTTAGAAAACAGTTATATTATTGTAATATATCAAATTACCTGGTGGCGTTGTGACTGACGGGGCCGAAGACGACGCAGGCGTAGCGGCTGTAGTCGTTGTGGTCGTCGACGTCGTCGGAGCCACTGTACTCGTCGATCTCTGTCAACAACATAATACATAGATAGTTAATTTTTTTTTATATGCATCCTCGGCACACAAAATAGAATATAAATATAAAGATAAAAAACTAGGTTCGCACTCCGTTAGATTCTCTAATATGTGACCTTATACATATATATCTTTGTATCTAATATATCTTTGCATCTAATATATACCTTTGTAAGGTATATATCTACGGGCATGTCAAATATTTCTAACTAGCTGACACGCGTAACGTAATGGACGGTTTTTGAAATTTTTATTCTTCTATTTAATTTTACTTATATAATTCAGGTTAATAATGGCCCATATTATAAATAATTTACAGACTATCATACATATGAATGATATTGAAATTAATATAAAATATAAATATAAATTGTTTGTGTGGTCACAGCACTGATGACGGCAATCTGTCACAGAAGCGCCGATACACCACACTTTTCGGCCAGTTTTTCGATCATTTTTTATCTATTCCTACTCGTAGTCTGCTGATATACAACCTATACCATGCCTCATTAAATGGGCTATACGACCAGTAGTTCCTGAGATTAGTGCCTTCAACCAAACTCTTCAGAGGTATAATGTATTTACATATATGTATGAGCATAGATATGTATAGGTACACATTGTTTTCCTATATAAGTATAAGATAACGATAAACAGCTCATATATTTATGATAACTATAGTACATATTAAAATAATAGTGACAAGGCCAAGGTTGAAATTTAAATTCAATTAAGGATGTACACATCTGAAGTACGACACAACAAGGAGAATATTGAAGTAAACATCTATATTAACACAACTCGTGACCAGGAAATTGATAATGTCAAAAAAAGATTAATTCAGCCGTTTTGTGAATGATGCTTCATAGCGTTTACAAATAATAATAGGGGTATGTTTTTATTTCGACTGGGTGTTCATAACATTTTTGGTAAGATTTGTATAGATTAAAATAATACATATAACGTGGTACTGTGTACTTATAAGCGTGTGAAGCGTATGAAGCGTGTGGTGTCGCTGTAAGAATAGCACCACCCTCTCTCTTCCCGTGGGTGTCGTAAAAGGCGACTAAGGGATTCATCGACCAGTGGACGGGCAGCAGCGTCCTACTGAGTACCTACCATCATACTGCGATCGCCAACCCGCATGCCAAGCGTGGCGATTATGGCAATATCCCCCCAAATGAATTTACACCCAAGGCCCCGGCCCCCAGTCCCCAGCGGCCCCGCTAGTCTTGATCATGGTAGCGGTCATGGAAACGGCGGGGCAGGGGGTGCGAAGAATCTCCGGGTAAGACCAGGCTACCACAAACGACGACCACTGGCCCTGGCAACATACAACGTTCAAACACTGCGGACCGACGAAAAGTTAATTGAACTGGAGGAAGATCAGAGATTGCACTGGCATGTCGTGGGATTATCTGAAGTCCGAAGAAAGGGGGAGGACTCGATAGTCCTGAAATCGGGCAATCTGCTTTACTTCCGGGAGGGCGATCAACTGTCCCAAGGCGGTGTCGGGTTCCTCGTCCACAAGTCCCTTGTGAATACTGTTATCAAGGTCGAGAGCGTGTCGACTAGGGTAGCGTACCTGATACTCAGAATTACCAAACGGTATTCATTGAAGGTCATCCAAGTGTACGCTCCAACTTCGACGCACTCCGACGATGAGGTTGAGGCTATGTATGAGGATATCTCCAGAGCCATACATAGTACAAAGACTCATTATAACGTTGTCATGGGGGACTTTAACGCAAAATTGGGCAAACGAAGCGGTGATGAGCTGAGAGTGGGGCAATTTGGTATCGGTGATCGGAACTTCCGAGGTCAAATGCTGGCCGACTTCATGGAGAAGGAGAACCTCTTTATGATGAACTCCTTCTTCAGGAAGCCGGAACACCGGAAATGGACGTGGATTAGTCCCGATGGTGCCACCAAAAACGAGATAGATTTCATCTTGTCAATGAGAAGACAGATATTCAATGATGTCTCTGTGATCAATGCCGTCAAAATTGGAAGTGATCACCGGATTGTAAGAGGCACATTGAATCTGAATCTGAAACTCGAACGATTCATTGATGAAATCTACGCTCCGCCCTACACCTATACAGATCCAAAACCCCGAAAGCTTTCAGCTAGAATTGCAAAACCGTTTCGAAAGCCTTGGTGACTGCGTTGACGTGGACGATTACAACAACAGGTTCGTGGAAACTGTCCGTGCGGCTGGGTCTAAGCACTTCAAAACCCGCCGCGCAGAAAGAACCGGAAAAATATCTATCTCTACCCTCAAATTGATGGATGAAAGGCGAAGTATGGTCCTGCAGTCTCCGACTGACGCTTCTCAGTATCGGCAACTTAGCAGGCAGATCTCTAAGTCCTTGACTCAACTTACGCCACTTTAACACAAATTGTGTAAAGGAGGCTATTGAGAGAAACAAGGGCTCAAAAGTCTTTAACAGGGATCTGGCTGCCGGACAGAGCCAGCTGACGCGACTTAAGACGGATGACGGCGGGATCGTTTCGTCTAAACCCGAACTTTTGAGGGAAATTGAAAGTTCTATGGACAGTTATACACGACAACACGGGCACCTGTTAACAACACGGCGAAAGACCCTAGAGCCAAATTAACCCGACACTATACCGAAGATATCCCGGACGTCAGCCTGTACGAGATTGGTATGGCTTATAAACAACTTAAAAACAATATATTCGCCGGGCGATGATGGAGTTTTGCAAAAAGATTATAGGGCTGGAGGTAGACCTGTTCTACGAATCCTCCAGAAGCTATTCAACTCTCTAAAGTCATCCTCGAGGGCAAAACGTCAAGCATGGCAAAGGGGTGTGGTGGTTCTGTTCTTCAAGAAGGGAAACAAATCGCTTCTGAAGAATTTCAGACCCGTAACACTGCTGAGCCATGTTTATAAGTTGTTTTTGAGAGTCATCACGAATCGTCTCGCGCGCAGGTTTGACGACTTCCAGCCATCCCGAACAAGCCGGGTTCTTAATATTCAGTACCATAGACCACATTCATACGCTGCGGCAGGTAATTCAGAAGACCGAAGAATACAACCTATATACTTTGCTTGGCGTTTGTGGACTATATAAAGCGTCTTTTTTTCGAGACGTGGGCACTACATCTCTCCAGCGGTGCCAAATTGACTATCGATATATCGAAGCGTTGAAATGTTTGTATGAAAACGCCACTATTTAATTTAAGAAAATCTTCCACGACCAGAATTCGAAGCCTATCCAACTGCAGCGAGGTGTCAGACAAGGCGATGTCATATCGTTTAATGATTTTATGTTACCGCTGCGTTGGAAGATGTCTTCAAGCTTCTGGACTGGAGCGGGCTGGGCATCAACATTAACGGCGAGTACATCAATCACCTTCGATTTGCCGACGATATCGTGGTCATGGCTGAGACCCTGGAAGACCTTAGCAAAATGCTCGAAGACCTCAGTAGAGTCTCACAAGGAGTAGGTCTTAAAATGAACATGGACAAGACGAAAATTATGTCAAACGTCCATGTCGTACCTGCTCCCGTAAAAATCGGAGATTCTACAAAAAATTGTCGATCACTACGTATACTTAGGGCAAACTATCCAGCTAGGTAGATCCAATTTCGAGAAAGAGGTCAATCGTCGAATCCAACTCGGATGGGCAGCGTTCGGGAAGCTCCGATATATCTTTTCGTCCAAATTTCCGCAGTGTCTCAAGACGAAGGTTTACGACCAATGTGTGTTGCCAGTGATGACTTACGGAACAGAGACGTGGTCGCTAACTATGGGCCCCATCAACAAGCTCAGAGTCACTCAGAGGGCAATGGAGAGAGCTATGCTCGGAGTTTCTCTGCGTGATCGAATCAGAAATGAGGAGATCCGCAGAAGAACCAGAGTGACCGACATAGCCCGAAGAATTGCGACTTTGAAGTGGCAATGGGCAGGGCACATAGCTCGTAGGACAGATGGCCGTTGGGGCAGTAAAGTCCTCGAGTGGCGACCACGGACCGGAAGACGCAGCGTAGGAAGGCCTCCAGCAAGGTGGACCGACGATCTGGTCAAGATCGCGGGAAGGCATTGGATGCGAGCAGCGCAGGACCGATCGTCGTGGAGATCTTTGGGGGGGCCTATGTCCAGCAGTGGACGTCTTCCGGGCTGCGATGATGTGTACTTATAAAATAGTTACACTATTGCTCACTTCCGCTTTGGATATTATTTTAATAAAGAAATTAATTACAGAACCACTATAACAGTACAGATTTGAAAACAGTATTAATTTTTTGTAAAATGCCTATGGAATGAACTGTTTAACTAATTCTTACAGAAATTTATAAAACAGAGAAATATTAAAAATACCAAAATAACTCTATTTGCGTATCTCTTCCCGTTACATGAAATTAATATGTAATGCTATACACACTTAATTCTCCAATGCATTTCTTTTTATGTAACTTATTTAAATGGCAAATAATTAATAATTGAACATTTTTATGGTAAATCAGATATTTACATCTCTTGACGTTTAAAGTGACGTTCTTTGGGAATGGCAAAGCATGAGTGCTATTATGGGTCTCACAGGGTAATGTGATTTGCATAATACTGTTCATGTATGTTCATAAACAGTAGGCAACCTCTTACCACCAAGTGTACCGTCACCTTGTTTGGCATTTCAATTAAATAGTAGAGGATTACTTAATTCATAATATACTCACACTTATCTCCAGCACTTTGCTTTGCAATTCTTCCACTCTCGCTGTGAGTGTGCCGTTGAGGGCGGATACTTGCGCCTTCAGTTCGTCCTCTGCCTTCATGTTCGCGGACACGTTGGCAACAGTCTCATTGGTTTTAGCATGCAACTGCTGCAATAGGGTTTTGATATCCTCCACCCCCATTGCCGCGTTTAAGGCTTGTTTGTGAGCGCTCTCTATTGAAGCGTCATAACCTTTTATCTGAAATAATAATGTGAAAATTAATTTAATTTCTGCCTTTTAACTTAATTGGGTACAAAATTAATGACAAAATTGATATCGAACAGTGTTAAAAACAAATAAAATTCATTTATAAATTTGTCAAAAACATCGTTTAACATAGCCGCGAAAATAACAGATAACAGACACATGTTGTTAGGTTACCGGAATACAATTAAGATGCTGCCTTACTACTAACTGACTGTGACTTAATGCAATAGGGGCGGCACAACACCCTGTATTTGATGCTTGGTATAAATCTAAATGCATAGAGCAGAGCAGACCTGTGAACCGAAATAGGCGACCGTCCGCTGCAACTCCGCCAGCCGGTTGGGCGTGTCGGCCAACATTGGTGCAGCGGCGAGTTTCTCTGACACCGCGGCTATCGTGGCACCAGCTTCTTCCACTCTTTTGGCGAGCTCCTGGTGCTCTTGCTCGAGTTTCGCAAGCCGTATATTGAAGTCTGTGGCATTCGCGCGCAGTTCTTTGGCAGCAGTGTGGCATACTTGCAGGGCGTCACCTACACTGCTGCTGCTGGTTGAGACTGTCGACAAAAAATTAAATTTATAAATCTTAGGAACAATATATTCAGTGCGTTTTTTTGCAAAAAGATTATAAATGAAGATATATGAATGAGTAGAATAAATTCGCTTTCAATCTCTCTAAAGTAAACAAGTAAGTATAGAATAGACTGTTGAAGAAAAAATGGGAATCAATGATATAAAAATATAAATGGACATTATAGCAATACTTTTACTAATATTTAATGTTGTCTGTTGCACAGACATATACCTTTCTTAATATATGTACATACAATAAAATTATAGAGTTAAAAACGTGCGAAACCCTATATAATAAAACTACGGTATATATAACTGCGTCTTTTTTTTCCATAATTCACTCATTCACAAAAATTAAACGCTTGTACAAATCCATTTTAAGGTTCAGATTGTTTTCTCATATTCTTTTAATTTAAGAAAATCTTCGTCAAACAGATAGGCAAAAATAGGTTTATTGTATGTTTAATGATTTTATGACTATACATCACGAGTTATAGGTTTCTGTTTGTCTGTATTGCGTATGCACTAGGTATATAATTTAAATACTACATTACCTGCTTCCGTATTATATCCGGGAAAATCGTGCACAAAGGAACCTTCAGTCGCCCTTGATCCACGCATATTTTATATCGTCAAATTAAAGTGAAAATGAAATCAACATTTAGGGGCCATTATAATTTGATTCCACAAAAACATTGCTTTAGTAAACAAATACAACTCTATAATAATATTAAACATACGAAAGTGTGTTGGTGATGACAAATTGTAGGTATACATTTGTTATCTTTCCACGTCTGAACGATATTTACAAAATTTTGATTATATTATTAGACTAGCTTTTGCCCGCGGTTTCGCTCGCGTTAATTTATCCGCTTATGAGTGGAATTTATCAAAATCCTTAGGGGATGCCTACGTCATAGTAACTTTATCCATGCAAAGTCTCAGTCCGATCGGTTTAAAGTTCAAAGTTTCATACAAACTTTCATCCCCTATTATATCCTTTTGGGGGTAGTATTTATCAAAATCCTTTCTTAGCGGATGCCTACGTCATAACATCTACATGCATGCCAAATTTCAGCCCGATCCGTCTAGTGGATTGGGCTGTGCGTTGATAGATCACTACGTCAGTCACCTTTGAGTTATATATTTATTAGATATATAAGATACAATTTGTATCACAACAACGGATATAGGCTACGATGTCATAAAATAAGTAGATAGATAATATTACGGAAAACTAGTTTCCAATAATTGCATTATTATGTACTTGTGTATAATTAAGGTTTACATTTAAGAACATTGATCGGTAATTCTCTTATAATGACACAAATTACTAAGATATTTATTCTAATTCTTTAACAGATTAACATACACACGAGTCAAGGCCGCCATTTGTAATTGCAATAAAAATCTGTTGTAATATTTTATTTTATGCACCTTCATTTTCATTTTGTGAGCAATAAATGATAATTTTTACTATTAATAAAAGATAGCAGGAGTTATCTTTTGTTAATATAGATTATCATTCTAGGATTAGGAGATTTTAAACTACTTTATATCAGAAAAATAAATACTTGCCTTGCTTTCCGATGGATACGGGTTCGATTCTTCACACGGTACCAACATTTTCATTCATGAGTATGATTGAGTATGAATGATTGTTTATATCGGTCTGGGTGTTTTCTATGTATAACTTGTTTTGTTAACTGCTACGGTACTGACAACGATCTTTAATAGTTATAGATATTACTATAAATCATATGTCACAAATGCTCTCACTTATAAAGATGCATTTTTTTTATACAATTGAAAGACTGACAAATGACGGCCCAGCTCATCGTTCCATCATTATAAGTGACTGTCGCCTAAAACATGAAAGACATTGACGGACGAGGTGAACAGGCATTGCCATTCCTAAAATTCTATTGTTGTAGAGTATGACGTGTAACAGAAAATCAGCTAACATCGAACTACGACTAAAAATTATTCGAAGACTAATAAATAAGTGGCATATATGTGGGTACATTGTTATTAATATTTTATGTTCACCGTCAATATAATAAAGAATCAGTCTCGTAAAGTGTCTTGTCATTATAACATCCTAGTTAACAGTTGTGCACTATAATATAATATATACCATTTGGCGACGAGGGAACCCAAATTATTATATAAATTGTTCATTGATATTATTAGTTGTGACATAATGAGTGAAAAAAAATCGAAGGATATTGGCTACTTGAAAGAATTCCAAATACATGTGGATCGGTGGCCCACCTACATGAGTCGACTTAGGGCGTGGTTCGTAATTAATGATGTGAAAATTGCAGACCAATCTAAATACTTGATGGCCGTGGTTGGCACCGAAGCCTTGGACCTTATAATCGACTTATGTTATCCGGAAAAACCTGAAAACGTGTCAATTGAAAAAATCGAATCGCTCGTTGACGAACATTTATCTCCAAAGAGATCAATTATCGCTGAACGAATTATATTTAGATCATGCAAACAAACAGAGGGACAGTCAATAAGCGATTATCTTGTAAAATTGAAGAAATTAAGTAAGGCGTGTAAATTTTCTTCTACCGACAAATTAAAAGAGAATCTGCGTGATCAATTCGTTTATGGACTTCTCAGCGATCGTACACGGCAACGCCTGTTAACAGAGAAGGACGAGGACCTCACATTTACTCGTGCCTCTGAATTGGCACTATCGTTGGAGACGATGGAACGAGACTCGGGACCGGCTACGGAAGCTGGGCGTGGTCGCGGCGGCAGCGGTGTCACCGACCAGGAACCTGTGTATGCAGTCAGCGGCCGCAGTACCGGCGCCGGTAGCGGCCGTGACTGGCAAAGGGGAGCACGGCGACAAGCGCGCGGTAGTAATCGAGTACCGCAGCGCACCCAGCACAGGTGTCATCGTTGCGATGGAAATCATGCGTCAGACAAGTGTTCGTTTTTATATAGTGAGTGTTATGTGTGCGGAAAAAAAGGGCATATAGCAAAAATGTGTAACCAACGTAAACAAAAATCTATTCACGGGGTTAGTGGAGCGGTAGTGACAGCCACCTCGTCAGATTGTTCTGACTCCGAGGACGGGGCCCCCGTGACAGTGTATCAGTTAAGTGATGACGACTCAGACGAGAAGTGGAACGTTTCTGTTCACATAAATGATGTGCCATTAAAAATGGAGGGCGATACTGGTTCTGCAGTCAGTATAATTTCTTATGGCACGTATAAGACGTTATTCAGTGATTGTAAGTTACAAACATATACGACAAATTTAAGAATGTACAGTGGGCAAAACGTGAAACCGAAAGGTAAGATTCAATGTACAGTTCGTATAAAAAATAATATAATATCAAATTTAAACTTAGTCGTTATAGATAATGAATTCAGTCCATCTTTATTCGGTCGAGATTGGATGCGATCTTTTGGTATTATTTTTCCTAAAATATTGTCAGTAAGTACTATGCATAATACACAATTTACTGTACCCATAGACACAAAGAGTGCTGTATATAATTTAAAAAAAATGTATCCGGACGTGTTTAAATCGGGTGTAGGTACGTTTAATAAGTGCAAGATAAGGCTAGAACTAGTAGAAGGGGCGCAGGCGGTGTGGCGCCGAGCGCGGCCCGTGCCGCACGCGCTACGCCCGGCTGTTGATGCTGAGCTACAGCGGCTTCAGCATGAAGGCATTATATCACCAGTAGAATGGAGCGAATGGGGTACGCCCGTCGTTCCCGTACTAAAAAAAAATGGACAAGTGCGATTATGCGGAGATTTTAAAACTACCTTGAACCCGGTTCTCATGGACGATAAATATCCTATCCCCAGGATCGAGGATATATTTTCTACATTACAGGGGGAGAAATATTCGCAAAAATTGACCTTTCTAATGCGTATCTACAAATCTTGTTAGATGAATCCTCAAAAAGGTTGTGCACGATAGTGACACAACAGGGAATATTTTGTTTTAATAGACTACCGTTCGGTATTAAGTGCGCTCCATAAATTTCAAAGATTGATAGAAAAATTGTTTAGGATGCCCTACGTAACTTGTTATATTGATGACCTAACTGTCTGTGGTATAAATAGACAGGATTTATGGATGCGGTTATTGAAAGTTTTTAAAATATTATCAGAGTGTGGATTAAGAGTAGCTCCAGAGAAATGTAGTTTTTTTCAGAAGTCCATATCGTATTTAGGACACATAATCGATGCGGACGGGTTACACACGGAAACGTCAAAAGTTGATGCGATCAACAACACAGCAACCCCCACCAATGTAAAAGAGTTAAAAGCGTTTCTCGGATTGATAAATTATTATGGGAAATTCGTGAGAAATCTGAGTGATATACTTTCCCCTTTATATCAATTATTAAAAAAAGGTAAAAGATTCGAATGGAGTAATTCTTGTAATGTTGCATTCGAGCGCGTGAAGAATGCATTAAAAAACTCGTCATTGCTGGCGCACTTTAACCCTTCGCGGCCGATTTCGGTCACGTGTGACGCATCTCCGTTCGCGGTGGCGGCGGTGCTGTCGCAGCCGGCGCAGTCGCCGGTGCGGCGCGGCGGTGGCGCGGTGTGCGATCGGCCCGTCGCGCATGCTTCACGCACGCTCACCGCGCCAGAAAAGAACTATGCACAGATATGTAGGGAGGGGTTGGCTGTTATTTTTGCAGTTACTAAGTTTCATGAGTACATAGACGGTCGAGAATTCACTTTAGTCACAGACTGTAAACCGCTCGCGTCTATTTTCAATGAAAATAAGGGAGTCCCATTGATGGCCGCGAGCCGTCTTCAGCGCTGGGCCGTAATACTAGGCGCGTACAACTATAAAGTTAAGTGTATCAGTTCAAAACATAATTGTGTAGCCGATTGCCTATCGAGGATTCCGACCGTTGTGACAGAAGAGAGTACGCGGATCGATTCATACATTAATTTTATACAAAATACGTCTCCCATTAGTTACAAGGATATTGCAAAATATACAGCATCCGATAAAGTATTGCAAGAGTTACATAAAAGTATTAAATCTAATTGGATATACTGTAAATGTAAAGATTTAAAGCCATATTTTGAAATAAAGGAATATCTCAGTATCGAGCAAGGCTGTATTTTATATGGTCATCGGGTTGTTATTCCCGGCGCATTGAGAGAGGCTATTTTAAATTTAATACACCAGACGCATCAGGGTGTGGTGAAATGTAAAAATTTGGCTCGAAACTATGTATACTGGCCAGGTATCAATGGCGACATAGAACGTGTGTGTGGCGCGTGCGGGACGTGCGCCCGCGAGCGGGCCGCGCCGCCGGCCGCGCCGCTGCACCCGTGGATGTGGCCACAGGAACCCTGGTACCGAATACACGTTGATTTTTTCTCGTTACCCGGCGATTCTAAGTATTATTTTGTTATCATAGATGCACACTCTAAATGGATTGAGTCATTTAGAGTTCACAACACTTCAGCTACTTCGACCATAGACAAATTGCGCAAAGTATTTGCACGATTTGGTCTTCCACATGAATTATGTCCGATAATGGACCACCATTTTCTAGTCATGAGTTTACAATTTTTTTGAACAGTCTAAAAACATCCAATAACAACGACTCCTTATAAACCTAGTAGTAACGGGGCAAGAAAATGCGGTAAAAATAATTAAAAAAGCATTAAAAAAAGCGGTTCATGACAAAATAGATTCGGAATTGGCGTTGGACAATTTTTTATTAATATACCGCTCTACACCACATAGTATAACTGGGAAAACTCCAACAAGCCTGTTGCTAGGCAGAGAGGTGCGTACACCTTTTAGTTTGTTACAACCCAGCACGAGCGAGTTAGTGAAAAATAAACAAAGAAAACAGATTGAATATAAAAATAATAATACCTATAGACAATTCAGCGTCGGGGATCACGTGTATTTTAAGTTGTTTCGGCGTAATACATTTACATGGGAAAGGGTGTTGTCACTGACCGTGTGGGTCCATTCGTACTATGTCAAGTATAATAATAAATATTTAAAAAAACATGTCGATCAGTTACGCATATTTAATAGTATTGATTCAAATTTATTATATGATTATGAACGTCGATCGAGTGGGGATGCTGCATCAATCAGTAGCGGTCAAATCGTGTCCAACAACGACCAAAATCTACCTGAACCCGATATTGAACCCGTGACGGAGACACAGCCGGTAGGCCCGCGGTCACTATACCCACAGGTGCTTTCGCCAGGGACTCATGAGTCACCCGATGGCGATGCCCCTAGATCGCGTTCAATTCGAATACGCAAACCGGTGTCAAGATATGGAATGGATGAATAATTTTTACAAATATTTTAGGTTTCACACAAGCTGTACATTTTTCCATTTGTGTATGCGTACACCAGTAAGCGTTGTATATTACTGTTATACTTACATAAGACAACTGGTTTAATATGTAATTGTATTTTTTTTAATTTTAGTTATTTTTTATACTAATTGAACTTTAAAGTTAAACGTTTTTTTTGTTTCAGTGTTTTTAGTTTTAGATTTAGTTTTTTTTAATGTACTAATTGAACGTAAAATTTTATATATAAGATTAAGTATTATGGTATGTACAGGTGTAGTAAATATAATTGTTTTAGGTTATTTCTTTTCGTTACAGTGTTATATATCTACAAGTAAATAATTATTATGTATATATTACTTTGTAGCTAGGGGGGGAAGAATGGCATATATGTGGGTACATTGTTATTAATATTTTATGTTCACCGTCAATATAATAAAGAATCAGTCTCGTAAAGTGTCTTGTCATTATAACATCCTAGTTAACAGTTGTGCACTATAATATAATATATACCAATAAGAAGGGTATATAAGGTTAAGTTTGACAATGCGGACGTGAGATGTCTGTGTTTCAGTCGTTCATAGGCTACGGTAACCGTTTACAATCAGATGGGCCGTATACTTACTTACCACTACTGTGGTATGAAAAACGCAGTTGCAGCATGTTAGTAATTGCAACAAAGTTTTGCAGCCATATGTTGAATATAGCGGCGCAAGACTAAGGATGCAGATAAACAAATTCCGCAGTAAATACCTACAAAATCCCACCTACACACACAATGCACAAACTTTGATAGCGACGCCTACTACGATTCTTATCTAAACTATTCCATATGTATTTAAATATATTGTAATTAGCAATAAAAATGTACGCGACGAATTTAATATGAGGTCGAAATGAGATCAAACAATATCAATTCTAGAATAATAAACAACAACATAAAGAATCATTAAAAAGTTTTGTTTAAATAAAATTTGGTCTATATACTAAACCCGCCCGATGGAAAGTATTTGACCGTTGGCAATAGCCATGTATAATAATACAGTATTTAACTCCTAAATTACATAGAATACATTGTAATACCAGTGATATCTACACATCGTTGCCATTCTTGGGGAATAAGGTGTCACATGCCTCCGTATCCTATAACTTAACTTCCGTATAGCTCACTATACACTGAAATACAACTTGAAAACAAAGTTGCTTATCAGTAGGATCATGTAAGAAAGCTATCCACACAGATTGTTTTTTTACAAAGTCTCTTCCTATTACTAAATGTAATGAATTGCAATTAAACCAAATGCACGTAACACCACGGAAACTAAAACTAAAAAGATTTTATTACAAATAGTATAAATGCAAAAGTCTACGGACCTGTCTGTGGTTGTAAATAATAATATAAAAAAAAACCCTAACATCTTTTAAATATCTGAAAACTAATAAAATCTCTTTGAAATCAGAATTTGATATCTAACTATCACACCTAATATTGAACCGGTTTTTTTTTCCAGACAATGAACAATATGATACGGTTACTTTCACATGTCTGTGACCTATAGCAACTAGTAAGTCATATGTGCTTAAATCATTATCGTATATTCAGACATGTAGTTAGTGGCGGCAATGTTATGTTTTAGCAATATTTACAAGATTCATTGAATCAATTAGTAATTCAACGCTATCGAAAGGACTTCTTTTTCGAAATATTAAAAGCTGTTGGTTGACCTTAATACAGCTTCTCTGAACGATGGAACAGGTGCACTTCAAACCCGCAGAAGGACTTATAGAAGGGCTGAAGGCCAACTCCTGAATGCCTGACACGACTTCACTTCTGACGGCACCGCTACAGATCCGAATCTTGTCTCAGGCCGTTGTAATTTCGATATCCATTTGAATTGGACGGGGGATCGATCGAGTGGGCAGGGGATCTGATGGAATAGTGTCTATTCATAATATTATATTTTATTTATTAATTTATTATTTTGCACACAAAATTGTATAAATAGCGAACTTTATGCCTGATGGCATTCTTTACCAGTCAACCGTCGCGTTGATCAGAGATAGTAAAATTCATTAGGAATTTATCATGATCGTTTCCAGGGGAACCGCGTGTAGGTTAATCTACAAGAGATTAGAGAGTCCATTGCTAGTAATATATTACTAGCTATGGATCCACTAAACTCCTGTACTAACTAATCTCTTCCCCATCATAGTACAATGTTGAACTTATATAGTACAGTAGTGGTTACCGTTTAATAACAGATAACCCCTAAATAAATATATTCTATATCTTTGCCTTTGTTTCTGAGCATTGAGTTGAGAGCATTGCATTGAGGTAAAATAATCATTATGATATCTTATATTGATATTATAAACAATGAAATATAAACGATTTCCGTTATAATGATAAGATTATAAGATAAGTGAGCAAGTTTGCTCTAATGGTCTATAGTAGCTATTGTTTGAGTCCTGTTTTGTTTTTGGGCACGTTGTGATACCAAATCCAATACCATACTTTCCTGCAATGCTTTTTCTTCAGAAAATAATAGACTGCTTTATAACCACCGTGAATAGTTGTGTAGTTATAGTTATTATTACAATTAAACCAATTTACATTTAGATTAGACCTACCTACTACAAACAATAAATGAAATTCACGAAAAAAATCCTCACGAGTAGTAAAATAGAATTAAGCTTATTTTATCATAACGCAGTCGAATTTGAAATTTCAACAAAGACAGAAATAGCATATCAGTCCAAGGTGATCTAAAGGAATTCTTTCGTGAACCAATATACAAAACCAGTGCACTGACAGTTATGAATAACGAACCTCTATCCATTTCCATGCGTAGAGAAACAATTTGCCGCCGAACATCGACGAAGAGCCATAACACTGTCGCTGCTGAAACAACGCAGACACATAGTGATAAGGCAGCAGCGAGGCGGACGAAGGGACGAGAGCGTCGCCGGCGAGCCGTCCGTCTTCCCCATGGCTCTCCTTCATCACTAGAGGCTGATAGCAGGCGACTGCTTCTCGACCCTCCACCGCCAACCAATGCGTCCAACTCCCGCCGTTTCCTCATCTTCTTGCCGACTCGCAGCGGCACAGCTGCGTGCACTGCGCTCTCCATTACGCGGGATCGCTACCGCAAATACATCCGCACAATTGCACTACCACTAGGCACTTGATCACTTTCACTGTGTCTTATATCTCGCGTATGACGTCTAAACTCACCAGCGCCACAATTGCGACTGAGTAGAACAAATAATCTGTTTAGATTATGATATGATAATGATTATAAATGTGCTTACGTATATTAAAGAGATAATAGCTGAATTAAATAGTTAATGGTAGGTTTATGATAATTACGGTAAGGTATAATTTTCTGAGAACAATATTCTTATAACGTGGATAGACAGTGATAACACGTGATTCTTTTTATGGTAAAGATATCATGGCTATAATACGCAAAACATAAATCGTACGATTGTGCAATAAGAGAATAAAATGTCAACCTCCGGTAGCGAAGTAATTTATTATGACGCACTGTGTAAATAGTCTGGCTTCAATTCTTAATCGGGCCTTTTTAAGAAACGCATGATTGTTATAATATTGAAAATGCATATTTCCAGCTGATCGACTTCTGAAACCACTTCCAAATGATCAACATTCGAATGTCGTTTCTCACCTTTGCGTACTATGAAATATTGTTATACATTAGCAACGTTTTTGTTTGCTAGTTTGTGATTATTACATGAACTAAGCGATATTGTAATGCTTTTCTAATAAACAACAAAACTGCATCTTATTAAAATCGAATTTGCGTTTGGACTCAGTTTTAAAAAAGACACACATGCAAATTCGTTTAGTCGGTTATAAATATCCACAATACAGAACAAGTTAAATAAAAAATGAACGGATCTTATAAGCGATTGTGTAGTATGAGTACAGAGTCATCAAAATCTATTAAAAATTGACAAAGATATTACTTGTTTGTTTATGCACACACAAAACAAGTTCCATTAACTCAATTTTGTCGAATTATATTTCATATTATTTACGCTATATACCTAAATATTTTGTTTGAGCAACAAAAACTATACAGGAATGTAGGTTACGAAAATATTGTGAAGGTCAGCGATACATTTTTACAAACCGCAAACTTCCGTCGTCCATCTAATGTTTTCATTTTATTATTAGATTAATCATATCATCAAAAAGATTTATTGCTATAAGATTTTATTAAGAAACTATAATATTATTAGTATAGGGCTAACAAAGGAGTAAATATCTTCTTTTTAAAAAATAAAAAGTATTATATTATGTAACGAGTTCTGTATGTGTTTTTTTTTAATTCGTTGGAAAACTATCATTGAGTTATTCAACTGCGGTTGTCTCAAGATGTTTCAATAATGATTGCAATGTTGTACATAGTCTTAACTAATTACCTACAATTAGCACTAAATTGAAGGTAAACAGCATGTGCTACTTACGTGGCAAAACACGAGAGTTACGTGTGACAGGCAAATAAAACTTATTAAGGCCATTTACACGTTGACATTGAACTCTTTCTAGTCGGTACTTATTTAACCTTGATCTTGTAAATTACAGCATATTATATTCAATGTAAGTAGCGGTATTTATAATTCAATGTCATATAAACATTCACCAATACATCTATATCTATACTAATATAAACGAAACGTGTCTACCTTTTCTCCACTACGCAATTTTAGTGCAAAGGTAGATTATATCACGAAGACGGATATAGGCAAAAAAGCATTTTTATTTAATTTGAATTAGCTAATAATAATGTTTATTGAAATATATTTTAGAGCGTCATGAAGAGCGTCTATACCTGGACAACCTATGTCGCAATTTTCTTAAACTATTTACGTATTTTAACATTATTTTCCAAAAGAATCTTTAAAAAACCTTTTGTAGTTCTCTATGAATATAAATCTTCATGCAATACTATTAATCGATAATAACTATTATTGTGCATCTTAATCTATAAATGTATTAGTGTTACATTATATATATTAAATGCAAAATAAAGTTAAGATACATATAGGTAACCTATACGTAGTAGCTGTATAGTTTTGTCTAGTTATTTGAAAAATATTATCATATAATCATTTAAATATTCTACTTCTGCTGAAATTGATAGATATGTATGGCTTAAGACTTGGGAATGAACGCTCTTCATTCTCTTATAAATGCAACAAAGGTTTGTTTTTACGCTTTTATTTTCAACCAATCATGATAAAATTTAGTATTATTACAGTTTGCCGCATCTATCCTTTACAGCATCACCGAATAATAGAGGGCGAGTGCAGACGACACTCCGAATCCACAAAAGGATTTATAGAGCGGCTGAAGGTCATCTCCTGACTGACCGATACGACTTTAGTCTCCGCTAGGGGTACGAAGTATACGAAGATTGGTTAACGACGTCGTAATTTTGATCCCCGTGTGAATTAGCCTCATCTAATTCACACGGGGATCAAAATTACGACTCAATTGAATGGGCTGGATATTGTATGTACAACCATTATTCATTCTATTTTTTATTTAGGTCAATCATGGTCACGCGGACTTTACTATCTATATTTATTCTTCACAGTTCTAGATTGTTATTATAAATGGAGTTAGTCATGTTTTATTACAAAATTTATTATAATATACTTTTGAAAGATTTATTACAAAATGTAATCTATAATTAAAAGTCAGCATTATTGATAAGCAAAGTTGACGTATCCCGTGATAACGAGCGAAGTATTGGAGGCATTATCGACCTGTAATGTGAATGAACCGTACGCATGCGCAGTAAAGTTGCGACAACCAACAACGCTCATCACTTGTAGTTATAATTAATATTATAATAATGGCTTTGTAATTATTATTAAATCTAATCCACATTTGATACAGTGGTTTTAAATGAATGCACTTATTATTTAATTTATTATTACATTAAAATTTCACTTCACCATCACTGTTATCAATTAACATATTCTCTACGTATAGACGACACAAGCACACAGATAAAACAAAACACGATCGCGTCACAGAACGTTTAAATCTTACGGATGAGATTCACAAAGATGATTTAATAGTTCTTCGAGAATTAAGGATAGTGTTGAGCACAAACAAGGGTTTCTGAGGAGTTTGGGGAGGGAACAAATTGTGATGTCACATAGGCGCGGCGACGCATGCGTGCAAAAAGAAATGTAAGAGATTTAGAAGTATCTAGATGAGGCAACATTTCTATATGAATTCTAGTAATATTATATATTTTTATGTAATTGGAATACCATATAAACCGATGAACCACTGATGGAAATCGTAACCGATGCCTATATACACGAACAGGACAACGCACATTACGTTATTATATGACACCCGTGACACCGCTCAAGCGTTTTTACTGCCTTTTCACAACAACTTACAGGCGAAACGCAAATTATAAAGCAAGCTATATAAGCTAAAGTCTATCACGCATAACAGGCATCCTTTATAATTAGATTTAAGACTGTCATTACTTATTCAAAGGAAAAAAGGTCGTGAGTGATCTGACAGACATTAGGTATATATATAGACGGTATATATTAGATTATCGTTACGATTCGTTCTTTTGATGTCAGAATATGTGGTTAAATTAGGTGTGTGTGCAGCGACATAGCATCCAATTTTATACCAAATAATGGAAAGATAGATTGTCAAGATCATCTTATCGATTGATTAAATGCAATAAGTTTATCCGTGTATGGGGTTTTAAAAAATATGTCACAGACTATCCATATAATGATGCAAACACCAATATTAAATGTATTTATTTTGTTACGCGCCAAATTTCTCAAACAAATGTATTATATTTCTACAGATTATATTTGTACAATCATTTCTAGTAATATGCATATATCTGTTTACGTTACGTTTCTGTTTTACGTTAGCTACGTACATAGTAAATGGCGCATGGCGGTCTAATTTGTAATATTAGTTGAATAGACACGAAAGCTCAATTATTTACTATTGTATACCTACATAGTACGAACTGATAACTTTCTACATTATAGTAAATAATACTATAATGACGTTCTGCAAGGGGTAGACAGTGAATGCTTATTATACTAAAAATATATGAAACGTACGTATTTACGTTAACCAATAGAATATGACCTAAGCTTCTTTAGATTCTAGTATTAAAAATTTCAGGCTGCACATTTTGTTCCACAACAGACAATTTATAGGTGTATCAGTTACCTACTGAGAAATCACCAAAAACCATAAATACGCCAATCCGGTCGGGAACACGCCTCACTTATTAGCGCCGCGTATCAACTTGCTTTAAAGGATAGTTAGAGAGTGAGACAGTTTAAAAGGTAGTACAATTCCTATAATTTCTGTTCTAGGGTGTAAAATTACTGTTTAATAGAAGTTATATTTAGAAATATATTCTGAAGGGCAACGCATGAGTGGTATCACTTCAGAATATACACGCGAGTTATATGATAACCTGATATCCGTATTCCTATTCATTTACATAGTCAATGGTTACGACTTATAATCAAGTTAACCGCCAGCTTGTTTGCCATTCCAATTACAGAAAAAAATGATACAGTGTATTTTAGCTTTCATGAATAGCAATATGTCAGGGGGGCCATTAAATAGGCATTGCAATATATTTCGTGATATCTGTGCTGCTATACATGTTATCTATCTATAGCCATTGGATACTACTTTTGATCAGATGTATCTGATCTTACCATGTTTGACAATACAGAAATATAAAAATATTAACTACATTCAGTTCTAATAAATTATTTCTGGAACATTTTTAGCGTTACCCTACATAAGATCTCAGATTTACACGGCAAATTTATTAGAGATTAGATTGCCTAGTTTCGCTAATCAATCGCAAAGATAAGATAACAGGGTAAGGTTATAAGACATTGCAATACTTAAGGGTGTTATTACCAAAGGGGGGGGGGGGCGAGGGGGTTAATTGAATCTTACTATAACAGTAAATTATGGTATTAAAATGGTATGGATTCCTTTTACTAATATTAGGTAGAGTGAGTAAAAATAGGAATGACATCCATTTACAATTACAATTAGCTGATAAGTGATTATAATTGGAAATGAAATATTTGCATGTATTTCCTACAAATTTATATAATTTCTATAAAATATATTTAAAATATGCATATTATATTTATAGAAGATATATAAATACAGTTTAAACCATGTATACATGAGATCTCATAGAACATAAAAGTTTTGTTTAATGCATATTTGAGTCATCACACTAAAATTATAGACTAAAACTTTCAAGTTTTAGTTTGTATCCTAAATATATAATAGTTTCCTAAGTCCTAAAAAATAGTATCATAATTTTCCAAGAAAACACAATTAACTATTTCAGCACAGGTAAAGTAAGTAACCAATCAATCAGTAAGGTTGTTTTACAAGCTATGTTTCAGTCTGTTATTGAAAGTAAATAGTATACTACTTCAGATGTAAGTAAATTTATACAAATACATAATGATGACATTGCGTATGGGTTACCATGTTTGTCATACACATTTTGTCATTTCCATTTTTCAGCAAATAGGATCTTAGCCTATTAGACATTAGTCTTATTAAAAAGATTTAATTTTCCGTGTTTCAAGATAATGTTTAGTAATTTTAAGGGCATATATATTTTTAGGAAACAGCAATCTTTACTATTGCAATTTACTAATAAAGTACAATAATACAAACATTACCGAGCATGGTAATGTTTGTATTATTGTACTTTATTAGTCAAGAATAATCAAGGAAATAAGTATGATACACACTTACCTTTGTTGAATTCTAAACGCATAACAGAAACTTGATCGTATAACTCTGCACATATCCATGTTAGCATTAAAAGCCAGAGCAAAAGTGTGCCTCGTACTGCCCACCGGAGTGCACATCGTACCTCTGTGCCTATGTTAGGTTCTGGAGTTCTTGGTGTGTTTATGCGGCTGCGTTCTCTCCTGAAATTATATCATTTTTATAGCATCATCCCCTTACCCTTAAAATAAAAAATCATATATTGCATTTCAAAGCAGGTTCTGATTTTGTAGAGTAATTAATTGTTATAATACAATTACAACTTGGGAGTATAAAGATAACAAAAAACTTCATGATTCTGATAAACAGAAAATTTTCCAAACACAATTCTTTAAGTACCTATTTCACATTCACAACTTTAATCGAGAATGGTTTTACTTTACATACAATTAAGTTAATATTTATTACCAAATTAGCTATTTGTTACTGAAATAAACTTAATTTACATTTATTTTTTATTATAATGTACAAAATTAATATAACTACAAACCTGGATATTCTCTTTTTTCTACTAGGTATTATTTCCAAATGTAAATCCTCGGAGTCCTCGTCACTGGATAAGTCCAAGAGGCGAAAGTTTTCTTTGTTAACTTTAGGTGGTAGAGACATTTTTTAACATTGCACATAGTAAAACATACTATTTCTTGATAATACAGACTGTCAGGGAGGTAAGGTGTTTAAATTTCGTATATAACACAATAAAAAATCATTTAAGGTGTAGTAATAGTAAATATAATATTTACTATTACTAACTAAGCTAATAAATAAAAGTAAGAATGAATAAAAGTCAAAACCAATGTTTTATTTTGTTACAGAGGAAGGACGATAAATAATATTAGTTAGTAGATTAGGTTAGGAAAGATATGTGACAATGTATGTATGTAACTACAAACTAGACATACTGACAGCTGACAGATCTCATAGTACATACTGTCAGTCTGCCATTTACCTTCATTATACTTGTTGCAGTTGTTGCCCGTGACTTGATTTTGTATGACCAACCAAAAACTATATCCATATTTCTATATTTTATTTAACAAATTACGTATAAAAAGAAATAGGTAGCTACATATTATTGTACATAAAAAATAATATGATTTAGGTTTAGCCCAAACAAATAAAGCTTATACGACAACAGTTGATTTACCAGCTAGAACCACAAGTGCGTAAATATATCGAAAACAAAACTTCGTGCTTCGTGTTCCTTTCTTGTCTGTCAAAATTTATTGTTGTATTATATTATTGAAATTCCAATTACAATTTCAGTGCTAGCATTATTTTGTAATATAATAGAATTCGTTAAATTGTGATAATGGATGACAATAAAGACTTGGAACCTTTAGAACCTTCGTTACGGAATGTGATAGAACAAAAGTCTTTGAAATGGATATTCGTCGGAGGAAAAGGCGGAGTTGGTAAAACGACATGCAGGTAAATTAGAAATATATGATTAAATAATCACCTTGTTCATTAAACAACTGTGACCAAATTGCTTTGTTCATAAATAGATGCAGTGGTTTCATAGTATACGTTTCTTAAAACACAATCCGCTCGCTCTTTATAAATGAGTAAGATATTGAATCTTACATATTAATATTTTGCAGTTGCAGTCTAGCAGTTCAACTATCTAAAGTGAGAGAATCTGTTTTAATTATTTCTACAGATCCTGCTCATAATATATCTGATGCATTTGATCAGAAGTTTTCAAAGGTATGTACCTACTTTAGTAAATCAACTTTCTCTTTCTTACTGAGAAATTCATGAATGAAGTATTTAAATAGTGTTTGTTAAATATATACTAAATTGCATTTTAAATGTAATCACTATATTATATAACTTCTGGTGTCTTTGTATTATTGCAATGATTTATTATTATTGCAATTATTATATTGAGAGATTGTGAAAAGTTGTCTTTAAAAAAAATGCAAATATTATAATATATATAATTTGATACATAAAAGCATTAGTTATAAATTACCATACATAAATTGTTTACACAAAACCTATGACTTCATCTGCTTTTTATAGATAAAAGATAACTTATGTTTGACCAGTGTACAATTAATCCTCATGTAAAATTTCGTTGAGGTCCTTCAGCCATTTAGTTGTGAAAAGGTAACAAATAAACAAACAGTTAATCAAACATACAGACAGGTTCAACTTTGGAATTTACATTAGTATAGTCTGTTTTTTAATCCCAGAGACTAAATTGACAGGTGTAAATGTCAAACTTTCAAACAATGTTACTGCCTATAGTGGGGTAGTGGTGTACCTGCGACACTGATTCTTTAATCTGAAACTTTTATTTTAACATATTCGTTTTAAAGCTTTAAATGACATCTCCACAACAAAAATTTAAATTTATGTATATATACCAGTGTTTTCGTATTATACAGCATCAAAATACATTTTTGTTGTTTCCATACAAATAGTAATTTTTACAATACTTTAATAGGCTACAAACCAACATTTTTTCTTTCAAACAGCTAAATATTTTAAATAGGTATTTGTTGTATGATATATAACACTATAAAAAAGTCATTTGTTTTATAAAAAAGGGAGTTAGTCTTTATTTTAGCAAATAATAAAAAAATCTATTTTGATACAACAACCCTATATTTATTACTTACCTGTACTTTATTAATTTTATGTTACTGCATTTTAAATAAACACCCATACATTATTTCAGAATCACATATAAAATGGGAAATTAATATTAATTTCCCTTAGGGCCACATCCCTATTTAAAAAAATGTAAAAACTTAGCAACATAGGATATGTAAAATTTGTCTCCAGGTTTAAAAAACAGACACTCATACTCGTAAACTTGTGGGGACTGGTCTGTTCAGGTTGCGAACACTGATTAGATTTTTTGATTTTTTTAATTTTTTTTTATATAGCATATGCTGGTGGTCACTCTATTCTCCCAAATTTGAATTTAAATGAAATACTATTATTGTAAATATGTACAACATTAAAAAAATATATACGAGCTGAGTTTCTTGTCAGTTCTTCTCAGAAATCATTCCGATGATGGTAGATTTGACATATCATATTCATAATAGACGTACATGAATAAAGATATTTTGATTTTGATTTTGATTTTAGACTGTAGTAGAGATTTTTACATCAGATCTAGTTATAATGTTTTTTTTTACAGGTCCCAACCAAAGTGAAGGGTTTTGACAATCTGTTTGCTATGGAAATTGATCCGAATGTAGGCCTGACTGAGCTTCCGGAGGAGTATTTTGAAGGTGAAACAGAGGCAATGAGGCTTGGCAAGGGTGTCATGCAAGAAATTGTCGGAGCATTCCCTGGCATTGATGAGGCTATGAGTTATGCTGAGGTGATTATTTGTTTTTTGTGATTAGTTAGTTTAGTCTGTATTGGCAATAGATATAACTCTGTCTCTTTTGAAAATATTTTAAATCAAGAAATTGCAAGTGTAGTTGATATTATTATTATACTAATGAGACTACTAATAGATATTTTAATAGATTATTATTATTATAAAAATTAGGCTAGACAGCCTCAGTGGATGGTATAATTGCCTCCTTATTACAAGTAAAAAAAATGGCAGACTTTACCTTGTACCTAATGTATTGATGACCTTGTTAGTGTATTAATACATTGTCTAACTTTCCAATGGTTATGAATATTAATGAACATTTATATACATATATATTTATATATGTATAATATGAACATTTATATTTTTATGAGTATGTCTGTTTTCCTATTTATTATTTATGTATGTATACAAAAAATGCATTGCACATACATTTAATGGCAGGATAGCAGAATAGCAGAGAGGGTGGACTCACTGGCCCCTCTGAGTTATAGACTGTTTGTCTAGTTTATTACTTTTAAATTTTATTATAAGCAGCAATTGTATTAGTTTATTATTTGAGACAAATAAAGATGATTATTGTTATTATATACTTCCATAAATTGACGGCTATTGCCAATTGAGTAGGTCTAGTATTGTCGGAAATAAGTGGTGTTGTACTTAATATTCATGATTATTTAAATTTTTAACTTTTTAACCCATTTAAATTTTTAACTTACAACTTCATATTCATACAAATGTACATTACATTTGTAGATCGGCAATTATAAAACTATAATTCAAATAACGACTATAAATATATGTACAGCATTTATTGAACGCCATCTATTAATTAATAAATGTAATCATTAATAAAATTTAAATAACTAAATCCAAGTTATTGAAATTTTCACAAGGTTAAATCATTTTGGGGTGTTTTCCCAAACTTTATTTACTTACGTATATGTTGTAAAATATTACAACATATTCTGTGAAATATTCATCATAATTCTTTGACCTTTTTACGTGAAACATTAACACAGACAGTTTTCGCTTCGTCACGACTTTATTATATGTAAAGATAAAATATTAATCTTACGCGACGGTATCGGCGATTAGCATCTTAGGACACCGCCTTACTTCAGATGGTCGAAGGTTCGATTCCCAGCACGATACGAACATTTCTTTTATGACTATTACTGTTTTTATTGGTCTGGGTCTGTTTTTATAAAAAATAAAATTACGTATTTCTATTAATTTTCTAGTAATATACACAAGCTCAGCTCAGCTTGAGTATAGATGTTGCAGTGTGGATTAATAATCAAATTTATATTTCAGGTAATGAAACTTGTGAAAGGCATGAACTTCAGTGCAGTTGTATTTGACACAGCTCCAACTGGACACACACTTCGTTTACTCTCATTTCCACAAGTGGTTGAGAAAGGACTCGGTAAACTCATGCGCTTAAAATCAAAGGTAATTTATTTTTAACATACGCATGAGTATTATAGTTAGGGCCCAAAATATTTTTGCTAATTATGTACCTATATCTTATCAGATAATGTCATGTTTTCTCAATTGATATGGACAGATAAAAACTACATTTATTTTGGATTAAAAAATAGGTCAACATCATCATTTGTCATTGTCCACTGGCAAATAGTGAATATATGCTGCTTTATAGTTTGCCTTTGCCAAGATTGATACTAAAGCAAATCTGATATTTCTTTCAACTTGAGTTTTTACTCTTAGCTAGATTCACTCTACATAGTTTTCTTGTATGGCCTCATTTGGAACGCTTTCTTCATTGCTAGGTTTCTGATAAAGTTGACTGAAATGAAGGATATAAAACTTGCAATATTTGGAAGATACTTCCTGACGTCAATTAAAAAGAAATTGCAATACTTTTTAAAATTTAGATCTTACTTTTAAATGAATTATATTTTGTTACTATAAAATGTATCTTAAATTGCAGGTAGCACCATTCATAAATCAAATGGCAACATTATTTGGTCTCGCAGAGCTCAATTCTGACATCTTCAGTAATAAAATGGATGAAATGCTCTCCGTGATTAGGCAAGTAAACGCCCAGTTCAAGGATCCCAATCAGACCACTTTTGTATGTGTGTGCATAGCAGAATTTTTATCGCTATACGAGACTGAACGTTTAGTACAAGAGCTCACTCGATGCGGTATCGACACACACAACATTATTGTAAATCAGCTGTTATTACATACCTCAGCCCCGTGTGAGCTTTGTGCAGCAAGGCACAATGTACAAGAGAAGTATCTAGAACAAATTGCCGACTTGTATGAAGATTTCCATGTAACGAAATTGCCGCTGCTAGATAAAGAAGTACGTGGGGCGTCAGCTGTTAATGCATTTTCTGAATATTTAGTCAAACCCTACGTACCGCCGACGTCTGCTACGTGAATTTTTTTGTTTACATTTCAATGAGATCTAAATTCAATGAATGTAATATCTTCATTACTTACGTTCTCTGTATAAAAAATAATGTAATTGGGAAGGTTATATTTAGTAAAAGGTGCTATTGGTCTCATGTGTGTAAATTTTGCGACCAATATTTCCGTGTCTCTCGTTAACGAAACAGATAAATTAACCAAATCTGTCTACTGTATAGTGTTCTAAACAATAAATGTAATATATGTGATTATTTTTGTTTTAATAAAACACATTGTATTTTGTGAAATTTAATCAAAAATATAGAAAAAAACGACGCGGTATTTATTATTTATGTATGCCCTTGACAGTAACGGGGCGTTTCGTATACTATATGGACAGGTATATATATTATGTATACAGGAACTATACTATTACAAACATTTTCTTAATGAATTGTTAAAGCTCTGATAACATACTCTTATGTTGTTCGCGATTATGACAATATTAACGGTAAATATGCATTAAAAATAACCGAAGTTCTATTGCAGTGGAATATATAACTAATAATTTCTTGATTAAAAAAACACGTGTATATGTGAGGACTAGCTTTCTTATCTATTTATATGTAGTAATCCAAAGTAATACAAACAAACTGTCTGTTTGTTTGCCAAGTTGTTACGCCTTAACAATTGGAACAGTGTTGAATTTTCACGGTGGATATATATTCTAGGGGTACTGCTTGTTATTGCAAAATTAAATAGGACAACAAATTAATAGAATTTTTAATTAAACAAAACAAAATCTATACTTTTATTACATATTTTAAAATATGTAATAGCCAAATACTTAAATGTTACAACCTTACCTACTTATATATTAAATGTACATTTTTTTATTGAGACCCTGAGGAATACTAGGCAAAAAATAATACCATTTAAGTATCGTTGTCATAATATAACGATAAATAGGTGGCACTTTTTAGTAGTAGAAAAAAAAATACAAGACAAACCCAATTTTTACACACTTCTAAAACAGTTGGAAATGTTGCAATTCTAAAAATGTTTAGAGTAATCAAAATAATATAGTATAATAGATAACTGCGGCAATGATAATTTTGAAACAAAAGCATACCTACTTATTTGTTTAATGGGGCTGCACGACCGAAAGTGTCAGTTCCATCCTGGGACTAAAGGGACGGAGCCATATCTATGGTAAGACATAACGCATTTATTCTAAAATCCCATTTCCTTTTTTATGAATGAATAAAAGAACTTGATGGTAGACATGGTTTTTATAATACTTGTCTTTTTTATATATTCATAAGTACAACCTATGTCACACTAGAAATATAACTTACAATTTCCTTGAAGTATAAATAAACAATTACTTAATTTTAATTGATATAATTAATAGCTCCTACACAACAATTTATATTTAAAAATATCAGCCAGTATGGCAGTGTTTTAGCGTCATCGCTTACAATACAATATTACAACCTCTTTGGATAGCAATCAACAAAATAACACGACTTCTACAACCATTGATACAAAGTAACCCGTAATTATTAATCATTTTACAAAAACAATCCTATTTAAAAATACATGCATTTCATATTCACACAATAAATCCACATTACCGAATCATAGTATATCAAGATGAAGATTTACAGTTTCATTTGACGCTATATTTTCTTAAATAAATAAGTCATTAATACATTGAACACCGGTATTCATACTTAATTGCAATTTTTTAATCTATTTCAATATACATAATTAATATATGCTGCTAACTAATTATTTTCATTGATTATATCTATAGCTATGTGCAAATTACACTAAAATGTTTTGCATATACTATACGTAGACTAGAATTCGTACATTTTATTGGAAGATTTATAATCTTTAATACTTTTCATATTTCTTAGAGAAATACTGACATTCAAAATTGAAAAATATAATGTTTACAATGTATTTTTTATCTAGGTAATACATGCCGAGATTTAAAACAAGCGGAAAGACATTAACACAAAAGGGAAGGCAAGTTTTAAATAATCTACTAAAAAAACAGATGCCTCCCCTTGAAACTAGTCAATCAATCTTAATTTCTACAGTAATCGTAATCTCATCGTACTAGGAAAAGGTCAAGAACTGTGACAGTAAATAAAACAAATGGAAACATAGACTGACGTCGGCTGTATAGACTCGGACTCTTTGCATAACTATAGGGATAAGTAAATAAAAAAAAATAGACTGTCGTTCAATCCGGATGCGCCAAAGTAAATACTGTAAATATTACCGCTTCTAAAACAGAAATAGAGCTATCGGTTTAGAAAGGGACACATGTATACTTGAATGTCTACTATTCCATAATACCTTATTTATAATTCGCACTGTTTCAAATGACTAATGTACAATGAGTAATATTTTAATCTAGATTAGTGTTGTCAACTCTGTCGTTGTTGGGTCGATAGATGCCAAGTTGTTAGGGATAATCCCAAAATGGTTCCAACAAACGCTGCCAGGCACGCACCACACTCGAACAGTAGTTTAGGGGTGAAAACACCCCATATCATTAGATGGCGGCAGTGAATAGTAGCTGACAGTGCACTTATAAACACCTATAATAATAATACAATTCTTTATTGCACAGTGAAAATATAAGTATACAAAAAAAACTTTGCTGGTGTACAAACATTTGCTTAACAAAATGCGATCCTATTGCTTAATGCTATCTTTTACAGATATCCTAGACTGCAAAGGAAAGTTTTATAAAGAAAAAAAAGTAGTATATAACCAAAACACATATACACTCTCAATAATTAAAAATAATTAACATCTAAATCGGTTCAGTTTTGGAGAATATATCGCGAAACATATAAAATACATCCTTTATTCACCTAATTAATTTTTCATTGACAGTCATTATAAATACACATGGGAACTACACTAATCAGAGTAAATTTGTAGCTCAATAGAGATAATGAATCGTTGTATATTAGCGGTAACACAAAGTTAATAATGTAAACTTACCCTAATAGCGAAACAAATCGTGAATTTAAGGGATAAAACAAAGACCCCAGTGAGCTGCGAGCGCGGCCCTACAGCCGCAGAGCCCGGGCCCCAGAGTACTAGCAGAGGAAGCGCCGCTCCAAACATTAGTGGCATACCTGAGAAACAGAAAATTTTATTATATGATGACTGAGTACATTATATAAATCTATACATATAAATAAAATTGGTGTGTCTGTTTGTAATATTGAAATAACCGTTTTTTTCTACATGCAAATTAATATAATACATATACCAAAATAACATTTTTTACAATTTCTGTCTGTCTGTCTGTTTGTTCCGACTGATCTCTGAAATGGTTGGACCGATTTTGACGGGACTTTTTTTTGGCAGGTAGTTTACGTAATAAGGAGTAACTTAGACTACTTTTACTTTAAAAAAATATTTTAGTTTAGAAAAATAAAGTTAAATTCCACGCGGACAAAGCGTGGGAACAGCTAGTATTTTAATAATACTAACCCTGGACAATGCACACAGCACCAGGTTACTAGTAGACAACTAATAGAAATACTTAAATATTTTTTTTTGCAAATATACTCGTACATAATGTAAAGAGAACCTAGAACACCTAGATCAATACAAATAATAATACTCATGAATATAAATGTTTTCATCGTGCGACGAATTCAACGTGACCATCGGAAGTAACCGGTTAGATCATGGAGGTCATCAATATTGATACCTTTCTTCAAGTTCAAGTTGTCACTTGTTTAACTTTCCATTTTAAATTATAATCCCCTGATTTTCATTACAGAAAGTAGTCAGAAAAGGCAAAAATATCGATCAATCCATATTTATTAAATTCAATCGATGACGGTAAAATATCTGTAGTTACGCCTGTTAAGGATCCACGTGTTTAGGTGGTTGTGTAGTGACAAAGTGTTCGGCGAAAACACTGGACAAGCCAACCTTAAACCTTCAATGCCTTACTGCAAGTATGTTAGCCAAGATGTCGTCCATGGCCAATTCATGAAATTGAGAATCAGAATCGGGATTGTTTTTAATATAATTTTAAATTACTACATTAAGAATGTACAGACATACTAGTTATTTAACTAAGAGAACATACCAAAGAGTTCAAGAGTCACGAGTGCGGCGGTTATCTCATGACCAATGGGCAGGTATGTAGGATCGCCCGCGTGAAATGCCGGTGCCCATCGGAGGTGTCCGAGAGTGGCGTGGTGGCCTGTGCCGTAGAAATAGTACGACGCCATCAATGCCCACAGGCATGCTACACTTGAACTACATCTAGTCGATAAAGCTGAAACATATTATATTGTTACTTTAATTCGAAATGAACACTTATAACATATAGTATAAGCATAATTTTAAAAACTTACCAAATTTTGTAGAACCTTCATTTTTCATCGTGGAAACAATATACAAGACTAGTATCCCGGATAGAAGTGCAAGTGCCGCGGTGGGCGCATACGCAACGCCTAGCACCAAACTATTTCCTATATAGAACATCAATCCACAAACCGTTAAAGGTAAAATAGCACCGCGGCCGTCCTCTCTCCATAACAAAACAAATATACAACCAATCACTAGCCAAGCGCCGCGGGCTAACAATCTTGAACGACTTGGAGAACCTAGATTACCCCAACCGACCGCCCAATGTGCACATGTAAATAACCCGCATACGACAACTCCATGGCCCCGCCAACCGATGTGACGTCTAGCGACTGCTACAATAGCAGCTACGGATCCTAATGCTAACACTAAAGCAGCTCTTGAAGCTGGATCGGCGGAATTTACACCTCCCCCCTGCGTCCAACAGTCACCCTGTTCTTCCCTGCACCCTCTATAAGATCTAGACACAGCAAGAACAACCCCCGAACACGCCCATAATGCTACAGCCTTAATTGTACGGATATGCCAGACAATCGTAGCCAATACTGACAAAGTGAGAAAGGATAGACACACTCCTTCTTCTATAATATAACTATTTGATACTAAAAGAACAGCGGATCCTATGAGAGCGGCTCTAGCAAAACGCTCATAAAAGAGTAAAGGTGTTTCATACCACCTCTGTGTAATGCTATTCCAATGCAAGATGACAAGTGCACAAATCACTACGCCCGATATTAAACCGGTGCTCAAAAGAATAGCATGCTCCAGATCTTCGATTAGATCAAGGTAAAATGCAGTGTAACACATTGTTACGCATACGGTTAGTGCAATTATACCACTGACGATAAAGGAACTAGAAAATATTTGAGGAATACGATCCATAGGAAGTCCTTCTGCTATTAGACAATTAAAAAAGATTGCTATAAGTAGTAATAATAAAGCTCTCATCATATACAGAGAATCGAATTCGACCCAAACATCTCTAAAAAGGCTGCGTGTGTTGTCAATCAACGCTCTGAAACAAAATTAACCGTTATTACATTTGGATATTCTTAATAATGATTTAGATATCTTATATTTGTTATCTTACCTGACATCTGTAACATATATAGATAACTCTGATTCAGTTTCAATTGTAGCTGCCTTATCTATTTGTTCTCTTGTAGCGTTAATTAGTTGTGCTAGCCTATCTAGAGGTATTTGTTGAGATTCTTCTCCATAACGAATTAGATACTGTTTTATCTGTAAAATTTATAATGTAAAGACAACTATATAAAAATATTGAAAAAAATGTGGGCCCCATATAACAATGGTACACTATATACTTTTTTAGAATATTTTATAAATTAACTATTATTTCATTAAAAAGTAATAACTGTACTGTATTCTACTCGTTCTTTATATTATTACCATACAAATTGGGGTTAGATGTCGCTGCGTGATTTGTCGTATGCTATTATTACCAAACATTTTTCCCTGTTAATTAAATTAATTCCTGGCGAATTTACCTAATTGAGCCAACTAACCTCATTTCATATTCCTCCTATCACAACCTGTTCCTTGCACTATTAAAACAGGTGAGTGCAGGTTGGACATACTACAATTTAATAAAGAAACTTTTAAAAAGCTATCTAATGGTATGTTGCCATAATTGATACAAATACAAAAGAGTAAGGAAATACTATGTATATAATTTACTAACCTGCTTCAAATTATTACTTAAATGTAATAAAGTATGTGACATTGGTAATGGTGGTAGTACTGGTAACAATAAGTTGCCAAGACATGGTGCAGGTGGGGGCCTCCCCAGAGCGGCACACAGTGTTGGAGCCAGATCCGTTTGCTGCACTTCCTTGCCTGTTTTTATGCTGTCACTGTCACCACCAAATCCTGACCCCCTGTATGCAAAGAAGGCTGCGGTGCGTTCTGCTTTACTCTCGCCACCATGATCGCCTATAACATATAAGAAAATGTTTACACATCTATTATATATTATAATTAAATACTATCTGAGCCCGCAACACCGTACTTTTTTGTTTTTTAAGTGATTGAAATAAAACAAACACAAAATTGGAAGTGAAAACCCAAATCAGATAAGTTCTCTACGAGATTATCGTTCACAAAAGTAGAGTCAAAAGGTATAAAACTCATTGTATTGTATTACACTGCTAATAAAGCATCAGAATAAAAAGAAATAATTTATAAAGTCCCCTATAATAATATTTTTTCTCAAATAACTTCTATATACAGACAGTGTTCAGTCACATTTATATTATATGATATGTATATTATTATATGACATACTTCTTGAAATATACATGCAAAATCAACTGTGCATTGCCATAGCATTCTACATAAAACTTAGGAAATAATATAATGCATACATACAACATTTTGTTCTATTACTTCTACTTCTACTGCTATAATATAAAAAATATATATTTAATGCTTTAGAATCACACATATAGTAGCAAAATCTTTATTAAGAACTCGAAACAGAATTATCAGAAATAGACACGGATATAATATTTCTATTTGCAAGCAGTTCAAATACCATACCTACCCACAGATTCATCCCCTTCTTGTGAGTCTAAAACAATATGAAATGGTGCTTTTACTATTATTACTTAAATATAATTAATAAAGTTTTATAATTGTTCAAATTATTGTATATTATTAAATCACAATCTGAAAAACATATTCAGGGGTAGTCAGGCATTGTCAATTATTGCCGTGGAATGTTGTGGTGAACACAACACTTAACATGCCCACATTTTGCGCAGTATATTTGAACCTTATGTGGCAAGTGTACCATCGTTTCTCACATTAATTTTTAGTTTCATATACAAGTACGCTTGTGTCTAGCTCCAATTGAGTTTCTTGACTTTTTTGGAATGAAATATCTACTAAGCAAAACTATATCCTTAGACACACTGTTAATATATTTAGAAGTACTTCAAAATATTGTATTTGTATAAATGATTTTAATTTATGTACAGGGTGGAAGGGATATAGATAAGGTTGACCAAAACAAAAATGGCTGTTTCAGGTGAATGGTCTGAATCAGATGGCAGATTATTTCCCCACAAGAAATATATATGAAAATCCACACAATTCAAAGAATCTTAAATCAGAAAACACTTAACACTTCAGTGTTGATATTGTTTGATGTCAGCTTTAATTATAATTTTAAGTCTTCTTTAACATTCACTGGCCATTTTCCTATTTGAAATGTAATATACTACTACTTTTTTTTTTTATTCCATTTATTTCGGATATTTATCCATCCATATTATGTTAGTAAACAACTTATAAACTATGTTAGTACTTTACTCACCTGTTTCAGTCATACCATGATCACCAACAACAAAGAGCAACACATCAGGAGGCAACATTTTTATTATCTTCTTTAATCTGTTATTGGTCTCATCCAGTTTTCGTGTCATCTCGGCATGATTAGGTCCATATCTATGTCCAGCATGATCTACACCTAGATAGTGGGCCACAAGTAAATCCCAATCATCTTTCTCCAACTCTTTGTAGATTTTTGAATCAATTTCTGAAAGTAGAAATATTTAATCCTGAGTTTCTTTTATTGAAGTCTGCTTCACTATCTATTGCATTATTATATGAGCACAGAAACATGGATACACAATACTATTACCAGCAAGCTTTGATTAATTGCTTAATGAGGACTCCCTATCTGCAATAGCAAAAAAAAAAAAAGCAGGTTGTTAACTGCAACATCTACTTTTTTTAGGATTAAAGATAGCCAAGTGTATGCTCTTGATACAATCTGTTTTCACATAATATTTTTTTAAGATATGTTCTGTAGTTTGTGAATATATCATAGACATACAAAGAGGTGTCACTCGGTACTTATTATATAGTAAAGGTGACATTTAGGGCTATCACACTATGATTTGTTGTGTATAGAAATTAGAACTGTCCTTCTTTACTGTAATATAAAATAATTTTTATTTGTGTAATTTTAAATTAATATTTACACAAGCATTGAATCAAATTACCTGTATCAACTGTATCAAGGTCCCAAGTATGAAAGGAGTACATGGTATGGGATCTCAGCCATCTGCCTGGTATCAGTCGTGCCCATGTGTCATCACCAAGCAGCACTATTTTCCCACTAGCTCTTACTATCTAATAATAAATAATATCATTGTTATGATCTCCTTTAAAAGGTATATGAAATACAAGATTTTATAATACATATTACACAAAAAAAAGTACTGTGTATATAAATGCAATAAAGAGCCTATTGCTGAAAGATATATCTTCTGGGCTTAGAGAATCAGATTAAATTATTGAATAGGTAGATGATATGCAAATGCAGAGAAAATCATATAATGATAAAGAAAGCTAATATTAATTTTAACCTTCAGTTCAATAGGAAATTTGTATATTGTTAAATTCACTTGTATATGTCATGCCTGCCCAGCTAGCTAGGGTAAGGTGAGGGACCTTAGACTACTCCATCAGACAATATGATTTGTCTAACAGAAATATGATCATCATCATCATCATCATCGCAGTCCGGAAGACGTCCACTGCTGGACATATGCCTCCCCCAAAGATCTCCACGACGATTGGTCCTGCGCTGCTCGCATCCAATATGATATTGCTACAAAATTTTATAATATGAATGTCAACTTAACCTACTCTTTGCTGGGTGTAATTGGACGAATTTCTATGTAGGGGATAATTTTTGGAATGATTGAATCAATGCTAAACATTCTCCAATAGAAAGCTTAATTATATAAAAGTTATATTGGATTGAATTGAAATTGATTTAACTGTATTACTAGATATCTCATATTACAGTTTTGCAATGGTAATATGATATACCTGATCAATTGCATTATCTTCTTGCAATTCCAAGGCAGCAAAATTCGAACTTGCATCAATGAATGTAGGCAAAGACCCAGTAACAAGAGCTTTTACACGCTGCTGTGTGGTAGTGGGTGGGTCCGCCATGAAACGAAACAATCTTGTGCGTTTCGGCCACTTTTCCAGCAACTCATTTATTATAGTTAAGCGATTCTGGTACGGCAGAGGATTTTCTAAGTCAGGAATGTACTCTGTAAAGTCATATCTCAGCGCATCTACAAGTATGAACACAACTCTTTGACGTGTAGGTGCACATGCTATCTCCGAACCGGGGTTTGCCAAAATTCGACGTATTTTTTCTTCTTCATTGCAAACATCACTCAAGTTGGATTTAGAATAGCCATCACATCCAAAATTTTCAAGAGGTTCACAATCAGTAATATCGTTTAATGTTTTACGGGATAACAAAAACCCACGCCCGAACATAAGAGCTGCTGACAAGATTAAATAAGAAAACCAAACAAGATATATAGTAAAATTCCATTTTTCATTCATAATTATTGTTCCTTATGGTTTATTCTATACATGGAAGACTTTTGTGAATAATGAAAGATTCATAAATGTGAAATTATATATTAAAAATTCAAGTAAATGCTAGCAGACCGGCCGAGACCGTAACAAGATGATTCTGAAATTCTGATTTTCTGAACAAACAAGGAAAATTCAGATTAGTGTTGTCAAACTAATGTCAAAAATATGTTAGAATATAAAGGGTACAGCAAAAAACTGTCAGTTTTGACATACTTTGTAGACTTTCTTATCTGTGATGCCGTATTTAAATATTGTCTGATTAGTCTGTGTCCAATTCTGTTGCGGTATTTCTGTATTACATTGTGTATTTAATTATAGTTATAACTTATTTTAAATATTACATTTTATGAATGAAATGATTTATTTTATGAATAAGAATAATGCTCTATCGTATATACCGTGGTCGGCTGACATTTAAACTTTATGTGATCATTGTTTTGATTATAATAGTCACTGTATGTGGATATTTGTTTCCTCAATTTAGATTTAACCCTATCGCTCCTGTGACTGTACAGCCTAGTACTCTACATTCACGTACTTCGCGTCATTTATCAAAATTAGTGACTGTTGTCTTCCGTCAATTTGAAGATTTCGACAATGATGTCGCAGACAGCGTACAGTCTTTTGTATCAGCATACCCGAACATGCCCGTGGTGGTTGTTTGTGATAATACACCGTATCCACCTTTCCCGTTCTCAGCTACCAATGAAACTTTACGGAACGTCAAGGTAGTATCGTTAGAGCTCAGATTAGAGGCTTCACCGCGGGAACTCAATCCCCTTACATATATACTCACAGAATACGTTTTGTTTGTTCCTGATTCTGTTCGAGTATCTCGTCGAGTGCTGCAGCAGGCTGTTGCCGCCAATACGGGAATTACTTCAAATATTGTGGCTATTGGCATTGCTAATTCTCATTTGATCTGTCAGCAACTGAAATGGAACTATGTTGATTGGACTCTGCAGTATAATAAGGATGCATCTGGAAAGTTGTGTGATGCAGTTCATGGGCAGCATGCTCTGTTAATGAAGACATCTCTATTGCATACTTTACCACAACCTTTTGGGTTACCATTCCCAGAATCATTGTATCTCCAAACTGCAGTCAAAAATGTCAAGGTGAGGTTTTGTACATCCATATCATATATTTATCAATTAAATCTTTTCAACACTTTTTTATATATTATGCACATGTATGGTTTATTTATTATGATAAAGTTTTATTACCGATACTGATTTTTCAAAGAAATGTATTTACCAAACCTTCACAACTTACTTTAGTGCCAAATTCAATAATGACTAAAAAACATATAATTGTTGTTAAACATATATTGTGTTTACAAAAACATCAAGGTTAATTGCATTAGATGGTGTGAAAATATGTTTTAATAAATGTTATTGGAAAACTGGTCACAAAACCTGAAAGAGTTAAATGATTATATTATCTCTTTACTTATTTACTTTCTGTTAACTTATTTACCATCAATAGGTACAAATATTGGATGGTAAACTGGGAGCAGGTCGTAGCATGCTCAAGTCTCCTGGCGCAAAACAGAGAGTGTCTCGTCGCATGAGGGACAACAGAGTTGCATTATACAAACAGCTTGGAGTAAAGGCACTGATCAGGGAGGACGGAAGAGTGCAGTGGTTTGGCTGTAAGAGGGAAACTCAGGTAAAAAATGACTAAACCTGACCTGAACATATTGCAATATACATATACATTACTAGGAGTAGGGCCATGTGTTGACTTTATTAACAATTGTAAACATTTATTTGCAGAGATGTTTCCCATCAGTGCAAGGGACACCATCATATATTCTGTCTGGACGAAACACTCCGCCATGTTGTCGCCGCAATATGCGTCGCGCGGCTGGACACGTCTTGCATGCACTATTGCAAGCAGGGACGCGATGCTGGCTCGAAACCACGTCTTTGCTTGGTGCAGTTGTCAGGTATAATATATTTGACAATCTATAACTAGTTGACTACTAATTTACAATGGTAAGGTAATCTACAGAACTAGTTGCAAAGGGTAAAACGCTATTATTCTACATGTGTCAGCAATAAACAAAGTGAATACCAGAATTTAATTTTGTACTTTTCTTACTATAAATGTAGGTATCTCAATGTCGCACAGTCAGAATTAAGTTTTAAAAATAATTTTCATATTTCGGCTTTGCTTCTTTGCGAAAGAATTTAATGAATGGTATCACTAACTTTCAGCTGTCTCTGTATGTTAATATTATAAGGAGAAAAAGTTGATTTTGTTTGTTTATAATGGATAAACTTAAAAAAGTTACATGCTATGATATATATGAACTGTTAGATGGTCATTGAAATGGACATAAAAAGGCATGGCAAACATTGATCAGGGATATGATGTCTAGAGAGATAAGGTGTAGGGGCTTTGTATACCATTGTAACAGAATGCAAGCTGCATAAATTAAACGTTTATTTGCAGCGGTGATATATTGCCTTGGGCAGAGTACGTGGAGATTGGTATCCATGCTTCAGACGTATCTCGAGTGTCGTGGCTGCAGCGTGGAGGTGCTGATGCCGACGGATTCGTGTGGGAGCGTGCCACTAAAGGCCATTATTATAGAGTGGCGTTTTCAGCAACAAACAGAGTTTATGTGTTGTTGTTACCGTTTACAGCAAGGAATGGCACCATGTGGCCCGCCGATTGGGTGCTGGCCCACCAGAGAGAGTTTCCTGAACGACATTTACATCCACTGGCTCAGGTATATAGTTATATCAATTTCCTGCAATATACCAATCCAAATTGTTCATTGTCAGTTTGTTTTTACCTTTTGTTCATTGATGTGTGAGTAACTGTGCTATGTAATTAATACAGAGACACAATGTATTATAATTAGTAAATTGGAATTTTCAAAAAGAAATTAAATTATTTTTAAAATATTTATTTTTTTACAGTAGTAACTTTAAATAAGTGGAATTGTAACTGGAATAGTCTAGAAATTCTAAGTAATTGCTCAAAAGATTTTTAAGTAATAAAATATATTTTTTATAATTTTCAGATTCAATTTGCCGGACGACAAGCTCCGGCACCGAACGACGCCCGCGCATTCCTAGATCTGAAACTAGGCAATGGTGCCGTAGAAAGATGTAACAGGATTGGCTCCAAACTACTTTTTCCATAACTTGATTTAGATGTATAATTAATTAGGTATTTTCAACCAAAGATTAAAGTGAGTTTATTTTTTAAGTATTATTTATTTATAACAATATGCCTTGATTGTGGCAGCAATACAATTTTACGCTGATTGATAGGATTGTTGGCTGACCTTGCAGTCCCTGCATGTAGTTCTTTAGTTTCGAGAATAACGATTTCCTGAGGGAAGAAAGGGTAGGCTTACAGTGGAGGAAAGGGGATATATTATACCACTTTCTTCCCTGGTTACTCTATTGTCTACATCTCTGTGGTTATCTTGCCTCTCGCACAACTCGCGATCTAGTAGTGTAGTATAAAAAGACGGACTATACTAGAGTTGTAGTAAAGGGTCTTGGTAATTCAATATAAACAACAAGTTTTTGATTGTGGTCGCGTAGGTACGTATTTCTAACAATTATGTAAAAATTATTAGAGTATAACTCGCCCTTGGCCTTTTATTGCCACGTCTTGTGTCCTTGTGAAAATTTTAAATGTATGTAATTACTAAAAGGGATGATCGATATTTAGTAGAAAAATATCGTTTTGTTAACACCGACATATCAATTATTAGTCCTCATTAATATTGACAAAAAAAACTTTAAAGAAAAGGATGTCCAAGTATAGTCTAAAGAAATATAAATAAGGAATCAAGGCCAAGGAAAAATATTGATTGATACATATGTTTTTCTAATATCGATCATCTTAATTTACTAATTTTATAGTCGAATAAAATACATTGTGTCTTATATGATTTGATGTTAAATACGACATATTTTTATTATTGTTATCTGTTTAGAAGAGATTAAATACTTAATAAGTATAGCTTATAAATATTTTAATTTAATTGTTTTATATTAAGATGATGGATGCTATGCAATCTCAGGATTTAATTATGATGTTTTCTTCGTAATATATATTATTTTCACCGTGAAAGCAATTTGCCTGCTAGATTATATAGTTAATTTGTAATGTACCTAAAAATACAACTTACCAATCAAGTACTTTAAAATAAATTCATAATATAAATTTATGAGTATATTAAGAACACTGTAGACATTCCAAACTAAAGGTAGTCTTGACTTAACATTAATGCTGTAATAGATTTTCTACAATCAAGAAATACATTTTGATTGCATTTGAACCGTTTACTAGGAATTCCTTATCCTTTTTTAACTTTTACCTTACCTAAGTACATTTTTATAGTTCAATATTTTTACTGATTGATGTATATATATTAATTCCTTTAATATTTTTAATGTTAGTGTTGGATAAAGTTGTATGATTGGTGAGCTTGAATTTTCTATACAGGCAATAAAAAAGCTTCTTAACAAAATTATCCTTTATGAAGCAAGTACAAATAAGACCATAGAAGCAATTTTCTATTATATTATTTAAGAAATAAATTCCTATATATATAGAATTATTTATATTAGGGTATAATGTACTAAAGTATTGACGACATAGTATTAAATAAAAGGAAAGCATATTTAAGGTCAATATAATGTATGTTTAAAGTATGCTTTCGTTTCATAAATAACGTTTCTGTTGAATTTTTTTCGGCTTGTTTTCTTGTAATTAATTTAGTTCACATGAAGATCGTAGGAATCCAGGTATACTTTGTAGAAAGTTGTGATTAGTTACAATTAATTACACGATAAGACGCGTAACATATCGGGAATGGTAATGCATGGGTGGTCTCACTGGCGCCATACGATGCCGTGTTGGCATGTACTATGTACTTGTGTGTAGGCGACGGTTACTCGTTTGCCATTCCAATAACACAACATTGAATGAACTGCAGTTTTATCTGTTTATTTTTTAAATGATGTGAGTCGTCTAGTACTTTAGTATATTAGTAGCTCAATGAATACAGTTTTTGAGATCTCATAATAGTCTAGTCACCTTATAATATACATATATGTACTATGTACTTATAGTTGTTTTGTTTGTAAGAGTTTATCGTAGTGTGATTATGCTAGGTCGGTCTGAAATATTCAGTGACCGTACAGTTGTGATGTTTTTAGAGATATAAAATATGCACTAAATGACGTCTTGGGCAAGAGTAACACATTGTTTATTATTTTTTATGCAATAAAGTTAATTTGAAAGCTTTATAATAATACTCTCAATACAAATAACTTGTGTTTTATTTTAATTTAATGAATATAAAATAATTAACATAGAGCACCATTATGAATAATTAAAATTAATCTTCTTCAAACTTCTCATCTACGACGCCAGGAGTGAAGGGTGGGTCACGAACCAAACTCAAAAGTTTGTCCAGTTTCATAATCTGAAAGTTAAAGGACAATATTTGGAATAACGATAAGAAAAAGTTATATTTGTTCATCAGATTAAATTTTATTATATCTACCTTGAACTTAAAACATAAGATTAAAAAAAAAATCGGTTTGCAGTTGTTGACAATATTGTCCAAATAACCTACTTAATAGTTCTGAATAACGTGTATAAACTATAAAATACTATGTACGGCAACATAGTATCTTTTTTTAATTTATGAGGATAACAATACAATAATTTATCTTAGATAAACGATTTAATTAGATAGACACATTACATTGTTATCGCAAATATTAAACTAGAACCTCTGAGATATCAATCTAGTTTCGAAAAAATATATAAGAAATACATCTACGTGCACCTAAAGAATTACTATATATTCTTAAAGATAATATATACAAAAGTTTTGCATGACAGTTTTTACAAGTAAAAACGCAAAATTACAGGTATATTTTGTTCTTTAGTTCAATCTAATAATTAAAGATAATTATGTTCTTTAGTTATTTTCTATTATAATTATACATTAAGGATAAGATCAATAATGACATGAAAAAAGAAGAATAAGCAATCTATCTTACTAATATTTGTATATTCATAGATGGATGGATATTTTTTACACTTACAATCAAAAACTACTGAATGGATTTTGATGAAACTGTACAATAATGTAGCTTATATATCAGAATAATACATAATAATAAAAATTATATTATATTATATACGTTTATTAATATCGATGAGAAAAAATATCAATATTGCAAATAAATACCTACCTGTAACGTTCTCTGATCGACGCCTTGTGCTTTCTTGGGTGGTTTGCACATTACTCGCAGATTGGGTGATAATTTCAAAACATGACAAGTACCTCTGCAAAAAATAAAATCATACATAAAAATAAATGCTATTAAAAAACAAAAAGGTTTAATTATTGCCCCCAGAGAGATTTGAACTCTCGACCCCTGGTTTACAAGACCAGTGCTCTAACCCCTGAGCTATGGAGGCGACAATTGGAATTTTGAAATATTGTATGACTAGCAAATGCTCGTGTTTACTATATTAAGTATTATATTACAGGTTTACTTTCACTACATTTTATAAATATTTTAATTAGTAATCGCATGATAATACAAATGACATTAAAAAATATTTATACAACTATCATTCATTTTGATGTTGCCATTGTAATTAATAACATTATACTGTTCACTGGATAATAAAATAATATAATTCTAAATTTAATAAACATTTACATTATTATTATTAGTATTGTCAATCAGAGGAAAAATACAATCATTAGTTCTTGAAACCGTCACTAGAGGCGTTGCACTCGCGTAACAGTAAATGGGTAAATACCTAACGATTGAGCTCGTCATAATTTCTTAATCAAGAACTTCTGAATCACAGTATATTTTTGTACTTTACTGAATAATATATTAAAATAGTAAATTACTTTATCTACTTGTATCTAATACTGCTAAGTACTATTAAAATATTTATTAGCGATGTAACGCAGGTACTGAATAGGTATATGACTTAGCTACCTATTATTCGTGTTTTCGTCAGTATTTTTATTACATATATTGCTTATGTCCGTCCTCGTTATGCAAATTACGTCAAATTTGTATTTGCATAACGAGTCGTTGTTCATTGTACGTCAAATTTCATTAAAATCTTTGATCCAGTTATTCGGGAAAATATAGCAATCATATCATAGTCAGATAGACACTTTCGCATTTATTAGTAACTAGCTGTAATCCGCAACTTCATCTACGTAACTTTTATGCTTTATTATATTCCCTTACTCCCTTTTTTGAGATAAAAGATTAATTTAATTAGATATTAGAAAACTATCAGGTTAGACTAATAAAAACAAAAAATATGTCGTAGCAAACAGAATATAGATTAGAGGTAAATTAAGTAAGCGGAAATCAATTAATAGCTATATATTTTAATATATTTTAAGAATTATAACAAAACGATAATCGTATCTGAATTAGGAAGATAATCTATGTACATCCACATTATATCATATATCTTCATATAAAAATCCATTCAACCGTTTATTTTAGCATTCATAATATTATTATGGAAGTATGTATACTTAAATAATTAAAACAGTACGTAACACGAGTATTTTTGCTATTAATATGTACTTACTTGGTGTCTCCACATACTATAACCGGTAGTCGCTTGTTGAAATCTAATCTTGTTAATTTCTTCGTCTTCTTAGAGACGACCGCTTGCACACAGATGGGTCGATATTTATTCACATTTAAATCGTATACGTATACCTGTAGAAATTAAATATAATATACCTAATTTCTTACATAATTACATCCTTACCTACTTATTCTTCAAAAGATTTTTTATGTAATTAGAGTGACCTGATGGTAACTGGTAGATAATACACTCCTAAGGACAACACGTTATTAAGTATATGACAGCCGTGATACCACTCATGCGTTGGTATTCCAGAGGACAATGATATCTTCTCATCCTGTAATTGGTGATAAAGTTTAATTCTTAATTTTTGGTTTCTAGTTATAAATAAATAAAAATGTATAGTAATCTAATACCTTTTATGATTACTTCTACATAGTTTGAAGATCAAGGATGGACCTTTAAAAATTAAGTAACATTATGATGTTGGATTGGTTGATTGAAGTTAGATTGGTATCCGAGTAGTTATGTATATAATGTATATTTGTTAAATTATTATGTACCTACATAGTGCAGTTTATCTCTAAAGGTCATTGTCGTTATGACGTCGATGAGTACCTACTGCTACGTAGCAGTACGCACGTAGCAGCACGGGAAGTATTTGGTGTATCATATTATATAGCACCTATTTGTATTACATTTAAAAAGTATTAAATATAGACAATAATAGTAAATTGTACTACTTGACATAAACCTTTTATCTTGTCACAATAAAAAATCAAAATAAATAATTTAATAAAGTTCAATTATGATACAATATTAAAAAAGTTCTAAATGATTCCAATTCTATTACCAATTTCAACATCTAAATTCAATCTTTTATTAATAGTGTATGCGGTAGATAGCTATTACAAGTAAAATTTAAAATTCGTATCGTATCTAGTTAGTATAATATATTTAGGCTATTTAAGATTAATATTTGTTCGATTCTTTTGCTTTAAAAATATTACTTAGGTAGATGTAATAAGTAATAATATTTTAGAGAAAAGACCACCATTCTAATATCTAAAATAGGTCAAGCCTGTATTAAAGACATATAGAGAACATAAATCTAGAAGAATAATTGACAATCTCATGAATTTGTAATCTGTATACATTTTGAACTTTGTTGAAATTAAATAAAAGATTTTACATTCAGATTGTTTGTGAGCTATAAATAATAACCACGATAAAATAAAAAGTAATAAAAACGCATTTAGAATATGTACTATTTTATTTATCGGATAATAAATGTTTATTAGGTAGTTAAATACTAAACAACGTTTAGGTACCTGAAGCTATAGCACCTTAGTCGTTATTAATACGCAAAAGACACGCGATGCCATGGATATAGTTGATTTTTTATAATAGAATGAACTTTTACTTCAAAAGTATCTATATACTTATTTTGTTAAAAAAAACCCGATTATTAATCTAGATCTAATTTTTATAAGTCTAATATAAAGAAGTATATAAATGGAAAAGTTAATTTCTAATAGGTATATGTAGATATAAGTTCGTGTAGCGTAGAACACACCAAAATTCTCCGTAATTGAGAATCGCCTTCTAGAGATATGTCGAAAAATTTATTTTATTTCATTTATTTATTTTGTTACATAATATAATAATTCAATACCTAAAAACGCACATATTACAAAACGAATTCAGAGGCGGTATTTTCCTTTTCTACGGCATGGATAAGCATGGAGTTTCAATTCTCGAATTTAGTAAAAGAAATACACCATAATCTATCACAAAAATGTTGATAGAGTTACTTACTGCTCAAGAATTAAATAAAATAGAGATATTTTTTATTTAAATATTTCAAGAGTACATAATGCAGTTTCAGTGAAGAATATAGCGCAAGAAACTTACGAGTTAATAAATATATGAGTACACAGCTTATACACGTACATCGTTCTCGAGGGAATAGATTTTTAATATACAGAGAAATGTTACATGAAAGTATTAAATGCACTGTTACAATACGAGGTCAGAATGGAAAACTCTGAGTAAACGATGGATAGTAAATACCTTCCCATCGGCAGTGCAGGCAGCAAACACAGTGCTGGAGTACGGCGCCCACTTGACATCGCCCACTGGTGAGCCCAGCTCAAACATGAATAGTGGCTCACTGCGATCATAACCAAACATTAATTTATTCCTGTTTACCCACCTTTATAGTATAATCGAGTAAAAGTAGTCTATGTCCTTTTTGATTAATATAGAATTGCTTTTTCGTTACATAATTATAAGGAATAATGCTGTAATCACAATCCTTCAGCATATTGCGATTAATATGATGATAATATTAATAAGAACAATGTCGTTGATTCATTTCATCTCTGGTACAATTTGAGAATTAAGAGAGAAAGTACGCTTAGATCAGTGTATGACCGACGGAAGAAAATTCGAAATAATTTCAATTAATAAAATTTTTCATGAATATTAATGAGGCTACTAATTTCTCTATTTATGTTAAAATTGTACCCATGAATATTTTTTTGTTTAAAAAGTAGCATTTTTTCACTTCTGACAAATACATATATAATTATTAAAAAGGAACTGTCTGATAGCCTACTACGACTACTAAGATAATGGATTATAGTTGGCTGGTAGAAAATGCTAATAGCATTAAACCTGCCTATTGTACAATTCAACATAGTTTAAATAAATAAAATAATTTTATAAAACTTACTCCCGTCCATCTTCCCATATCTTCACGCGCCAATCTCCCGAGCACGATGCGTATATACCATTATTATAGTAATTATAGTGTATCCTGTAGACGGGCATGTGGTGGCCTTGTACTGAGCGTACATAGTTCCTGTTGTACTTCAGGGAACAAGTATGGACCATGCCGTCTTCGGTACCAACCAGAAATATATCTGGCTTCTCTGGGTGGAAACAGATGCAGCTGCCGCAACCTGGGTGATAGTAAAATTATAGGATGAAAGGCGTGAAGACGAGGTATTTACCTCTTATTTCAATTATATAAAAAGAAATTAACTGAGCAGTAAATTATTTTCCTGTTTGTCTTATTTCAAATTGAGTTTTTGTAACGGACCTTCAAAGCGTACGAGAGGTTATGAGGAATCAATTTAGTAGATGGAATAAGTAGAATTATTAAATTATTCCTTTACATTAGAAGCTTTAGCTGTATTCTGTACTGCAGACATAAATCTATTTCAGGTATATACTAGCGCTCATACGGGCATATAGATTCTTCCTGAAAAGGACCACAGTATCCTCCTCCTTAATTGATTGCTAAACAACGTTGCTGAATGTATTTTAAATATTTTAAAAGAATATTAAGTATTTATAAACTATAATTACTAGTGAATATCTACATAATGCGACATTTCTTACTATTAACAGTAATCATAGTGCCGTCCGGGCCGGGTATTGGTGGCACATTGGAACTGAGTGTGATTATAGTCGTAGCTTGTAGTTCTCCGGGCATCACCGCCCATTGAACCACCCGTCCATCTCCAGAGATGGAGAAGAATGAGGCTTCACCGTCAATTAGACGGGCTCCCCAGCGTACCTGTTGTATACAACATATTCGATCAATTAATAATTTAAAAAAATAAATAAAAACACCGTTTACTTTGGAGCTGATGCAAAGGAAACTTACTAGCTTAATATATAGTATTTAAATCACTATCCAAAATAATGAAATTATTTCGGTTTAAGATTTTCAGCTTAGTTTGTATATTAAATACAAATCTATTGTAACTGGCTAATAAGAAATGTGTTTTTATATCTAAATTTGTATTTTAAAATTTATAGTTCCTTTTTAGATTCTTGTTTGATACTTAAATTTCCTTCTTTCTATTCCTAATTGTCAGTAGTCTATATTAATATATTTTCTCCGTTTACCTAGTCTTTTTTCTTTTTACTACAACAAAATCTTTACATAGTATAAAATAAAGTAGCCGTCACTGTCTATTCGCTTGTATATTTTATATTAAGCAATGGATTTTAATAAAGTTTTCAGCAATAGATAGTGTTTTAAGAGGTAGGTTTACATCCATATTACTTGCGTGTTATATTGTAGAATAAGACGAGAAATTCAAAGATTTATAAAGCATCCGTGCAAAAGCGGGGCGGGTAATAAATAATATATTATACTATTGTTTCTAATATCTACACCTTGGATGCATGAAATGAACGATTATATTTTCACTTAATTAAATTAGACAATAATAGAATTTACGCGCACATCTCTATCTAATAATTAAAAAAAACAAAATGTACTTTGAGTTTCTTGCCAGTTCTTCTCCAGAAGTACTTAGCTAGCTAAACTGTACGATAGAGATAGTGATAAATAACAGATGAATAAAGGATATCGACTATGAAAATAATCGTACCTCCCAAACAATATTACTATGTTTGTCTCTCACAGAGTCCGACTTGTATTGGTACGATGATTCTAAAGTTAATTGGGCATTGTATACACATACATTTCCATCGTAACGACCTGTAACAAAAATACACAGAAGGTTTATAATATTGCACATGCCTGCTTTTACTTTTGTGTGAATGTACTCTTCAATTGACGTCTACTTTTTCAAAGTAATTTGCAAATAATAGCATAAGTGATGTTTACATGTTATGTAGGTACAAGTCGTACCTTTATATAGTAATAGTGGTCGATATGTATTTGTTTTATTTTAGTGATATTTTAGCGATATGATAGAATCAATACAATTAATTCGTACAATTAACTTACACCTATATTATATTTACATAAATTTACATTAATTTGAACTTAATAAAAGCACAACGAATGATATTTCTTTCCAGTGGTGACTCTACTGAAAATCAGCACTTTAGTAATACTGTAGTACCCTTCAGCTTATAGCAGAACATTAGAAGAACTGTACTTAATTTAACTGAACCGATTAACAGTACTAAACTGTACTGTTAATAAGAAGAACAGTATTCATCGTGCACGGTATAGGATCTATATTGAAGAGCTTCGAGTAGATCATGAGACTAGTAATACTGGAGTAGTTATAAAAATGTGGAACACTTATGATTTTGTATATCATCCCTGCATTGGTCTTAAAGTAAATAGGTATAAAAAATAAAGAAATTTTGATACTAACCAACGCATATGAGGTAAGGTATTTCATGGTAAACGTCTAAACATATTATTGGAGATTCCGTTATGACGGCGTACTCTGGATAGGCAGGGTTCTTGATGCTGTACATGCATAGGCAACCTTCCTTCTGCTGGTTGGTGAAGTCCACTAACAATGTAATATAGCATTTTAATAAAATTAAAAAAATAGTATTTATTATTCGTATTTAGTCATATTCGAGTAAATCCTCACAAAATATTATAATTTATTTTAAAATAATGAATCACTCAGTAGTGATCAAAAACATTTCAGTACAGCAATCTGTACTGAATTGTTTTTGGATGAAACAAGATGTGTACTTATTTACATATGGAGTTCTCTAGTCTACTTTTTCAGTCCATAAAATCAACAACATATGCTCTGATTCTACGATTTAATGTTTATAGAAAATACTTGTAAATATTGATTGACCAGGATGTAAATTTTGATTGTCCTCCATCTCAAATACTACACACGAGTCTATTAGAAGTAAATAAATAAATCCACTCTTTTTCAGCATAGGGGGACAATCGACCTTGTGGTTCACCTTATGGTAAGTGATTACCGCCGCCCATAAGCACCCAACAGCAACACCAGCGGAATTGCAAGTGCATTGCCGGCCTTTTAAAAAGGAATAAGCTCTTTTGTTGCAAGTCTCAATATCGTGTCGGTTCAGATAGTAACCACAATGTGGTTTACTTACAGGAGCCGTAAGCAACAGCAAAAAGGTCCTGATAATGTGGATTCCATTGTATGTCACAGACAGCATGACTGCGCATCGGATCGAACTGGAACTTCCATAGAGGCAGGAGAGAGCCCATACCCTCGCGGAACTCGTCAGATGGGTCGTCCCAATAGCGGTAGTCTTGTGCTGTGGAAGCACAATTGTAGTTTCATATGCTTATTGGGGTTTTATTATTTAAATATTGTTTTATATATCGTTATAAAGCCCAAAGCCTCTATATGATGGATCATGAACAGACCCACGGAAATTAACACTGCACATGATGATGCATGCATAAGACGCTGTCATATTATAACTTGTATACACAATTTTAAAGTTGCGTATTTTCTAGTATTGTATCTAATTTTCTAAACTTGAAAATAGTATGCAAGCAATTTGATGTCTGATGAGAAGGGTTACAGGTTACAGTATCCATGCGCTTGTTACCCTTGTGCTCGGATGTTCTATTCACACTCTTTGCACTACTGGATGAGGATGGATATTTTGTTCTAGCCCATCTGGTCTAGAACCCAGGTACAATGATTAATGAATGGTACCATTGTACAAAGTCTACATAATATAAATGAATCTGTTTACTTGGAAGAAATATTTGGACTAGGCTTCTAAAATTCGCACACATAATACTCTATAACTATAGAATTTTTATACAAAGCAATGTCAATTAACCTACAAATTTTCTTTATTGAACTTAGAAAGTAATTCTTCAAATAATAATTACCAATGTCATCATAGATATTTTGATTCACCAGTCTCTCCAGTATTGCCCATGCCTCACGGATTCTTTGTGCCAATTGTTCGTCGTGAATTTGTTGAGCAGACTTAGCATTTTTAGCGGCTTTCTTACGCAACTGTCCACAATGCAAGTATCATTAATAAAAATGCCATAAAAATTGTGGACGTGTTATATACTACAACAATTAAACAGCTCATACTAAAAATTTATGCAGTAATTCAAGCAAGTGAAAATAAACAGCAACAAGAAATATAAAATCTCAATAACATTATTTCAGAACAGTATATATTTCATACTTTAAAAAGTATGAAATTACTATTATGTTAATTAATATTAATACCGTTTCCACAATATATTTCTACGTTATTGATTGTATATTTCTACTCATACTTGATGAGTAAATTTAATTTGAGGGAGAGAGGAAAATCATCTTTTAGTACATGTTGAATATATACCCTTTTAGGTTTCTCTTCTTCTTTTTCTTTCAGTTTCTTTGCATAGTCTTCTTGGTAGAAATCAAAGATAATACATTGCAGAGCTGTAGCACCATAATTGGCTCGAGGTGGAGGAATTGTTTGAGTATCCACTGACTGCCATCATAAAAAACAAAAATTGAGCAATAATTGGTTTTATAGATCTTTAGTGGAGAAGTTACATATAGTACTTACATTGTAATCGGCATTAAAATTATTTACTCACTCAAAATGTTTATTGTGAGTATTTTTTATATTTAGTATAAAATAATAGTAAAGAGAGATTTAATCATACTAACTCGTCTAGGAAAATTGTAAGTTAAAGCCGCTCGTTCACAAAAGTTAAACTGGTTGGCAAGTTTCTTGACTCGAGGCTTAATATCCAACACTTCATCCAGACCATCACCAGGCGCTTCGTCTACTATAATACAGGAAAAATAAAAAAGGAATTTTAACGTTAACAATATTTTGACGACGTATTAAAATAATATGGTATAATGATGATATAGTGGTCATAACTAACTTTGTTCTGGTTCTGCTTCTTCTCCACCCTCAACTGCTACAGCCTCATCACCAGTTGCCTCCGTGGGTTCTACGGCTTCGACTTCAGCAGCCTTTTCTTCTTCGGCAGCTGTATCCTCTGTTAAATAAAAATAACAAATGAAAAGTAAGCAGTATTATTTATTTATATTTACCTACATAGAAAAAATTATATAATGTAAGTAGATAGTTTGACAGCTTATAAGCCTAAATTTCATATCGAAGTATATCTATAAGAAATAAGAAATAACTCTGGCCAATTGACACAGCGCCATCTAGTCCCACGGTAAGCAGAGCTTGTGTTATGGGTACTAGACAACTGGTATAAATTCTTAGATATTTTTTTTAATATACATAACATACATATACTCATGAATACAAATGTTTGCACCGTGCGAGGAATCGAACCCACGACCATCGGAAGTAAAGCGGTCTAATCTATGAATTGTTTGATTGTATTGAAGATTAAAATTTTAAATATTATTTTTAAAAAAAGATTTTTATTTGTACAAATAAATACTAAAATAGGCTACAAATAAAACTAAAATACTTCTTAGACCTAATAAAATGTTTTTTGTACCTTCTGGTTTGGCCTCCTCAGCTGCTCCCGATTGTTCAGGCTCAGGTTCTTCTTCTTCTTCTTCTTCAGCTGCTGATTTCTTAACTTTGGCACGTTTAGGGCCAGCATCGTCGAATCCGACCATACCTGGTTAATAACAAATATATAAAAATGTAAGAATTGCTGAATATATAACATGTCCAATGAATTGTAAAGCAGTTTAAATCATAGAACCTTAACTGACAAATTTTATTTTTATGCATCTACATTGAAATTATAACTTACCGTAACCTGCTGCTATCTGGGCCTTTGCCTCTTCAGAATCCTTGCGAATAGCTGTCCCTTGATATACATATAGTGGGTACGCTTTGCCATAGGTAGGCCTGGGTTTCGTGACAAACATAGCCCGACCGTAATGGTAAGCTACTTCATCAGCCACCCATTGAGGGTTAACAGTAGATAATACACGGCCCACTTCTTCTTCCAAGTCCTATGTACATTTGAAAACATGATTAATTTCTTGTGAGTTAGTGACAATGAGTTTTTTGACCTGACTTTCTCATTTTATTATGCTCATTATAAGATGGGGCATCATTGAACACTGGTACCCCGCTAGCGGATAGGTACCGTTAGCGTTCGCAGTTGCATCAATAAAGAAATAGTAAGTTAAAAAATGCCCTACCTACCATCTGCTTCAAGTATTTTTATAATAATAATTAATATACCCTTGTACTGCCTATATGGATAATAATAATGTATAGTTGAAACAGTTTTTTTAAACAGTTGATGTATTTTTTACTTTATCCATTTAATTAATGATCACAAAACTAAACAAATTAAAATCTAATATTTCCTCTTTATAATATTAGTATGTAAAATTATTTTATCTGTCATATTAGTATAGAGTATATACATATATACTCTATACTAATATGACAGACATACTATTATTGGTGTATTGAATGTTCATTACACCAATAATAACACAATAATATAACAATATGCTTACAGCTTCAGGTACTTCCTCTTGATCATCAGATTTGAGGAGAGCACGGGGCTTGAGCCAATCTAGACCTTCATCCTCAGCCAAGTTACCTCGTGATTTAGTTGCATCCTTTTGCTAAATAATATTATTATTGTTAATTTTAATGTTTTCATTATAAATACGAATTTACACAGACCTACTTACCAGTTACAAATGAAAATAGCATATATGGTGAACATTAATAACATTGAATGTTGTTTATTTACAACACATGTGCATATATATGTTTAAAGACGTAGAAATGATAATTATGTCTATTTGATATTATGTCAATGAAAACGCATTAAAATGTCATAGAAATGACTGCGAAATTATATGAAAACCGACAAAACATTAGTTGCTATGGATGATGTGTATAATTCTAAAAAAGTAATAATTTTAGAACGTTAGTTTCAATACAGCATTAAGATTATTTAATTTAGAAACTGTACCTATATACAAATAAATCAAATTCCTAGATGTGGGATATTTGTGGGACACAATAATAATAACGAACAAATCAGTATTTTATATTATATTTTACAAGTTTAATAGTATTTATGAATTTAATACACATATACCTACACATTATAAACGTAAACAAGTACGACTACCTAACGATAGCATGTTTTATTATATACATACATCAAATTGTTGTAAAGTTTTCGTAATGAGCGCATTATCTTGATCAGAATTGAGAGCTTTCTTAATCATAGCTTTCAACATTTTGAACACTAACACTTTGTTCACTTGTAAAACGAGATCCAAAATAAGTAAGCACGCAAGCGTTAGTTGCTATCAAATCAAGCACTGGCTCTAAACGGAATGTGAACCTTGTGGATTTACGACAAAATATTTCAAGACATATTTGCATACTATTACGTCTTTATAGGACACTATCATGTAATACGACTGAAAATAATTCAAGGCACTTTTAACTAAGAAAAGCAAGCGTAAACAAACGATTAGGGCCATTGCGTGCTCGAAGCATGTCGTTATTTTTAATTTCTTTCGAATTCGAATGGGTATCATCGTTATTTTTAATTTGGTTTCGTTAACTTCAAATATCAAATATTTTGTACTCACGTCATCGTCGGAATCTATTTCAAACGAAGAATTGATTTCTTGTATTATTTCTAAGACATCAGTCATTGTCTATAATTTCATTTATTTGAAATAAATCTTCAATATCGTTCTTTAGAAATTCAAAGACGACATTTAGTGTTGTGGGCTCATAAACGACTATCGTGTTCACTTACCTTTGTTCAGTAAAATTATAATCAAGGGAGTGTAAACTGCACTGCATTGACTAAGATCATAGTTGCTAATGTATAATGGTAGAGATTACAAAAAAAAAATTGAGCAGTTTAGTACGCTATAATAAATTATTATATGTTCAATTTTAATGGGTTTCTTAATTATTTTATGTCGCTTGAGGATTACAAAGAATCGCGATTTTGTGATATATATATATATATATATAATGTACTAAGAATTTTAATTCGCATTGTTCTATGGTAAAAAAATACTTATTTTTAAACTTTTGCGTTTAGTAAATATCATTAATATTTCAGTTAATCAGGTATTTCAGTTAAACTGCTCGTTAGCTGAGAAGGGTCATATATTACAATTCTGATGTTAAAAATCAATCACATAAATCTGCGATTACCAATCATCTGCCAAATGCTGGAACTAATAACTATAGGATAGAGATGCATGTGTCTACACTCTTCCCTACTGATTATGACAATTATCTACAAATGATATGGAAGGGAAGGAAAATTAAAAGTTGGGTTCCATCGATTAATAAGTGTACGGATACCGTGTGGGTTTTTTTTAATGGATGATAATCGTATGGTTCACCCGCCTGTGCTACCGGTTTACGCTGGCGGGGCACCAGTGGATGATGATAGAATGAGAATGAGGTCAGGTCATTTACCCATTGTGATAAATTCATCAGGAATTTATCACGATGGTTTCCAGGGGGAACCGCGTGGAGGTCAACCTGACATGATACTTTGCTCATCAGTCATCATTCCACATTACTAACAATTCCCTTCCCCCCTACCGTGTGGGTTGTGTGTTGCGATTTTACGTTGATCTAGTGACGGTAGTTAAACAAACTAATGGCTATCGACTTTGACATCGCTGTACTCCGGTCAGCTTATGACCACGTTTAGTGCGACCCAGTCGAAACGTTAAGAAAAGTAAACACCTTACTTAACATAAAATAATTTTCGTCATAATATTATTATGACCGATTAGTTATATAAATAATGTCTAAAAATTAGTAGTAATTGTTTAAACCACTTCAGACGTACTGTTTCTGTATTATGAGTTCTTCAGTTGCAGGTATAAAGTTATATGAAATAGAAACACCAGACACAAAGTAACTATATTTTATATTATTTTCTACTGGTGAACATTATTAATATACCTAAATAACATACGCGTACTCTATTTATGAGAATAGAATTAGCAGAATTAAAAAAAATGCAATTTGTTTCCTCTAGTCATCGGTATAGTAAAGGAGCAAAGAGGAGCAAAGTGGCTTAACAATATTTTTTTTAATTACTTTTTTGCTGACTGACTTTTAAAGTTTGCAAATAACTGGCCACGAGCTGGGCGTGTCGCCAAATTCTAATTAGTCCCCGTGACTGGCGTAAGGTAGCACTGACTGTACAATACTGGCACAGGGTGAAATCACGACATCCCCCGGCATCCGCACCTATAAATTAAAACCCACCTCCTCAACCACAAAACTAGTAACCATTTCAACCGTTTTCACTATGCAGGTAAGACGTAAATAATTTTTATAGTTAAATTAAAAAAAATTCATAAAAAGGAATATATATATAAATAAATATCTACCAACCTAAATATATAAGTAGATATATGTTGTTAAGTGTACATTAAGCTAATATGTAATTAATGAACTTTACCTTATTTTAGTCTTATCTATAACACTTTGAAATTCATTCAAGTCATTCAAAATTTCACTGAAGAAATCTATCTATTCGGATAAGTAATATTGTTAGTGTAATAATTTATTGCAATGTATGCATTTATTCGATAGTTTTTTACATAGTTAGTTGTTTATAACTTGCGTAGTAGGTAATTAAATAATAATAATAATAATTATTGCTTTATTTTTAATGAATTGAAAGAAAAGTAAAAAAGAGCATTTTCTGCCCTTTTATTTTATATCTTTGTGTAGGTAAAAGTTATAACTAAATATGTAATATTGAAAATAATTTATTTACCTAGTTAATTACATATATAACATTTATTAATTAGATATACATATATATATATATATATATATATATATATATATATATATATATATATATATATATATGTTATATATAAAATTCTCGTGTCACAGTTTTCGTTCCCATACTCCTCCGAAACGGCTTGACCGATTCTCATGAAATTTTGTGAGCGTATTGAGTAGGTCTGGTCTCTTAATCGGCCAACATCTATTTTTCATCCCTATAAATGTTAGGGGTAGTCCACTCCTAAATTTTTATTTTTTATTTTAAGGCAAAACAACGTTTGCCGGGACAGCTAGTATATATATATATATAATGATTATATACAATATTTTCTACAATATTTTCTATCCTCACATCATTATATATTTACTGTAAAGTAAAATCGCTTTTTTTTGAAGGCACAGTTCTTTAAATATAATAGTCTTTATACAAATAATAACTTAACATTAGCACTTTTGAACAGTAATATTTTTTTTATTATACCACTCATTTCAAGATCCCTTATTCTGTATTTACTTCTTCTAAGATCCATATTTAATTTTTGTACAGTTTTCAATATCAAATGGAAGCAAAATTAATAGATTTATTGTCCAATACGATTTTTGAATCTACCGGCCTTACTTTGGGGTGAGTAAATTTGATACATTTAGTTTTATTTGCATTTAGTAGCATATTATTAGCAGTAAACCATTTTAAAACATAAGAGAGAGCACCGTTTACTTCTTTCATATCATCAATATGTCGATTGACTTTGAATACTGATGAAATATCATTAGCAAACAGGACTATGTCAGCTATCTCTTCTACCATATAAGGAAGATCGTTTATGTAAACTAAAAATAAGAAAGGACCTAGAATAGAGCCCTGAGGAACACCCATTTTAATACTAGTTCCCTCAGACTTTACACCATTTATTTCAACAACTTGCATTCTATTATTTAGGATTTCATCATGCTTAGTGCTTAACATCTAATACCGTAATGTTTGAGTAAGAGTGTTTCATGATCAACGCAATCAAATGCTTTTGAGAGGTCACAGAATACATCGATAGCATCCTGAGACCTCTCCCAACAGTCAAAAATGTGTTTCATTAAAGCTACACCAGCGTAGTTGATTTACCGGCTGTCAAACCAATTTGCCGACTGTGAAGCAGTCTATTTGTTTTAAAGTGTTGAAGCATTTGATTGAGCATAATTTTTTCGAACACTTTACTTAGTATTGGTAAGATAGAAATGGGCCTATAATTACCTACTTCAGTTTTATCCCCTGACTTAAAAAGTGGAGTTATTTTGCTATGTTTCATAAAATTGGGAAAAACACCGTGTATGTACATACATACAGAAGTCATATACAAAGTACACCCGTGCGAGAGAAAGGTATGTCGCTTGTATACTTATATGTTAAATTCCACTTCCTGTGCACATGTACATACAAAACCATGCTTATGATAAAATATTTTTGTACAAATACCTAAATCCGTCGTAAAAACTGCAACATAAAACCGGAATGTTGTTTTTAGACCCAGATACAACGTGTAAGTCTAAATAAAGAATATTTGTGGCTCGAGTACTATAATTCTTTGGCCATAAATATAAACAACGACAAGCATAAGGTTTTACGATTTCCTCCCTTCCCTTGCCCATGCGTCAGCGACGTTGCGTGACGGACACGTCTCGTAGTATTACTACCCATTAGGGTCGATCGATTATAATATAGCGATGTTCTGATAATCGTTATCGTGATAATAACCAATATAACGACGTCTGCATATTAAATGTAAAATGTCATTTTTGTTTTCATTGTGCGCCCGCCCGCAAACCTTAGTTGACATTTGTCGTGTTTGTTGAGTTTTGCACAAATGTCGACTAAAATAGAAGATACTATTACAATTTTAAATGAGCATTCAACGGCTCTGTTTTGGTTAGATAAAACACATTCAACATTCTAGTTAGTGAAAGATTTCATTGAACTTTATTTTAAGCAGCGAAACATCAGTGGGTTGTAATATTGATACAAATATTAAAATCCAGTAAAAGTTTTTGAATATTTCAAATTATTGTACTCGTCTTTTATAAAAATTCGTTTCATCGAGAGATATATAAAGCTACGTTCGATTAGTGATTAATAACCGAGGTATTTTATATTAAACAAGGTCTGCAAATTTTTATAATAGACATTTTTTTCATAGCTTTTTCTGCACAATAGAGCTAATAGATGCACTTTTTTCGCTGATTTTAATCTATCTATCTAAAATATAATCATTAACAGCGTATCTAAAATATTTAGTGCCGTGCACGAATACTCATTCTTAATAGTTAGGTAATACTAAAATCTTTTACGGATAGACACATTCGTCTACCTGGTCTTCGTTTGTTGCTGCTTTTCAGATTTCCCGTGATCATGGCAGTTGAACACTGCCAAAATCTCATGGAACTCAATCAAAATAAATATAACGTTGTAATATCCCGTTATTTTATTTCTTAATTATATGTATAAAAAATGTCCGCATGTAAAACAGTATATTAATTCTAAAAATAATAAAATAAGCAACTGTCTATAAAGGTTTGAAGTTTTTATATTTTATGGTTACACAATCGAATATCCGTATATAAGTTTCTGATGAAAATCTTTGGTAGTTTAAATATAAACTAAACTTATAGCATGAATATGGCAATGTTACGCTACCTGTATCATACCTACTCATAAATTGCACTGATTGCTTTACTACCCTTCATATTGGAATAAAGAATGCTATGAATAATTCGTAGAATACATGTATGCCTTCCTCGCTGTTGATGTATGATGGTCACGCATAACTACAACTATTTATACATAAATATATTAATGTCTAGTCAATGGCACAATTATTTAGATGGGAGTTGAGATATTCATCTCATAAACACACACAACACAGGGACACATTGCGTGCAGAAATTTACAGACAGGTTCACAACACATAAATGAAATGACAATAGGCATCCATTACCCCATATAAAATAATTTATTTACAAATATACATAAAATGAAGTACGACACAATGTTTATTGGCTGCAGCATAGCGACTGTATAGTTTGATCACTGTTTTTCAGAAATAAAATATTATAAAATAAGTATCTAACTGTTGATTTCATAATAGAATAATGTTATTTATACTGCTGTATTTCATTGGCCTCTCTTGCTTTGATTGACTCTATCTCCATAAATATTACTCTGTGCTCTAACTTTTTTATGGTTCATGTATTAGTGATTATGTCTTACATAATATCAGGTACACGTGTCGTCGATATGTTACAGCCTTCATATTAGGACAGACAGACACAAGAGAATGCTAAAACAGACACAAACACAAGTATCATATTTACAATGCGACGCTGATCATGCTAACTCATACAGACAGGTGTACTCACTTTCAGCTTTTTCAGTAGAAGTCCTAAAGATTTTTCAGAGGACTTAGTACGCCATATGTCAGGCAATTTAACCCCATTAGGGTTAGGAAGCTGAGTATTAAAATTTAAAGTAGATTAATAATTCATAACGTAACAATTATATTAAAATTAATATTACCTACTTTTGTATATGTGCAATATATTCTTGTTCTACAGACTTCTTTTACACAACAAATAATATATTTAAAGTTCTACAAATTATTAACAATAATTGTTAAAGTGAGCATGTTAAATTTTTCATTATTTGAATGAATGTTAAAATAATAAAAAATTATACTGTTTTTAAAGCTTTATAAACGTGAATTTTTATTTTAAAAAGGATTTTTTATAATAGAAAAATATTAGGCCTAGAAAATAATACTTTATGTATAAAGTATAAGTAAATGTATAATTAACAATAAATAATTTTTCGCTCCACACTATATCATCCCAGATATATTGTATTAAGAATACAGTAATTATCTTATTTAAATTAAATTTCTGAATATTTTTCATTTAGGCTAATTTATTAATTAGGCGTAGGTTTAAATTATATATGTTTTTTATTTTATATAAACAAATATAAGAGTTAATTAACTTGTATTGTTGAACAGGTTTTAGTAGATTCTGGGATATCTTATCTTAGACAATAAATATACCTTGACATACGATTTCAATATTTCTTCTTCATTAAAGATATTAAGTACTTAGTAGAATGACTTGTGAAAACCAGAAGAATGTCATTAAAAGATGACATTCTTCTGGTTTGCGTCCTCAAATTATTAAGTTTTGAATACAATTGTCAATACAAAAGTCTTGCTGAAGTTGTTATCTTATTAATAAAGACTCAAAACCCTTTGATGAAGATATTTGAATCCAATTTAGACTATATGTTTTTGATATTGCCATATATTTTAATATTTGAACAGGAAACCATACTTATCTGTTTGGTAGATAGTACTATAATAATTATTTTTTGTGTACCATATAATTAGTTATCAGCTCCGGTAGCGTAGATATTTTGAAGGCAAATTTATTTTCGAAATGCAGGTCATGTTTCTACTCTAATCTTTGTTCTGCTATATGTTCAATAGGCATTTAAAATTAAAGTTTGAAATTCCTATTAAACACATTGTAGGTGTAGGTACTTTGGTGTTATCATGCCCAAATCATTTCTGCGATCATATCGTAACATGAATGACTTCTATTCTTAAGCAATTTGAATGTAGAATTGATTTTTGGTAATCCATACTAAATTCAATCGACAGATCTTGTTTTTGTTCGTTTTGTTATTAGTTTAGTTTTCAAATCCCATGATAATGCTAAACATGTACTTCGTTAGAAGATATGAAGAATGTTTCTGCATAGTCCTTAGCAACATGTTAAAATTATTTAGTAACTATTTGGTAGCCCCATCTCCTTCTATGTGTTATAATAATATATGCCGCCACATTATTTTATCAGGACCTTTATACAGGGTTTTCTCAAGTCTTATCTACAATACATTATATTGTGCGACAGTAGGATTGCGTATTTCTTTTGTATAATATTTTTACTTCAGAGGTTCTATTTAGCTTTCAGCTCCAAAACTTTGAATATAAAGTAAATTTGTATAATGCAGAAAGTCGGCAAGTCGAAAGTATATTACTAAAGATGCCTTTCAGCAGGTATAAAAACAATCAATGCAGTCTTGTTTGATCAGTGAAGTTTGATCGATGTTTTATGTTGCATAATATTATAAATTAATTGATTATAGAAAATGCTTATAGAAATGAATTGTATTGTCTAACCCTCTAAAAGATCATATGTAAAAATGTATTAAGCAGCATACTTTTGACTAATAATATTCATATTATTTAGAAGTTCGTCCAATGAGATAAGTCTGTGAATTCTGCGATAAAATTGAAACGAAAGAATGTAATGCACGTTTTACTATAAATAACATACCTTTTTCGGCGCCATAATCGCATGAATAAACAAGAACGATAAATAACAAAACTTAAAAAAATATTTTGTGTTCAAAATAAATTTGTCTTCAGAAAAGTTTATACACACATTTGTAAATAAATTGACAGCAATGAGAGGGAATTTGACGAAAATTTTATGCGCGCGCAGCACTTGTTTCCATGGCAACAGGGGAGGGGAGCTCTCTTGCCCACGGGAGACCATTGCTTAGATTCTGACATATTTGTGACGCACCCGGTGAATTTTGCCTCCAGTGTGTGGTAAATATTATTTTTCATTACAACTGTTTTGTTTGTTAAAGTGCGCCTTGATGTAATTACATATTTATTTATTTTTTAATTTATGGGTACCTGATGATGGAGTGAGGATTTATAAATCTTTAGTTGAATCTTGAGTTGAGAAAAGCTTGTAGCAATGGTTGGAGAGCCACGTTTATCCAACATTATATTAGTAATTTATAGATTAAAATTAATTTTCATCATATCTTTGTGATGAAAGCAAGCTTTGTTTGTATTTATGTCAAAATCACAAGAATAATGCCATATTCCTCGACTCCGTCTGACATGTTACATTACAACAAAGACTATTGGATACCATTCTGATTTTACTTCATTCATTTATCGCTTTATCGTCATCTCCTATCTATTGACTTTTTACAGGCTTTTTAAATGTATCCTATGGTGTATGTATAAATGTATCTAAGTATTTTAAATGTATTGTACATGTATGACTAGGTAAACTTTGTACAATTAAAACAGAATTGTCCTGTTTTTTTATTTTCAAATCGTGGTTTTTGTTTTCGATTGAGGGATGGGATGTAGAGATATATATATATATATATATATAATATATACAAAACTCACAATTTTCTGAACTCTCAGGCAATTCCGGGGAGGACCACTAGTTATTAATTAGATTACTAATAACACAATAGAGTTTTCGAATTTGCAACCCTTTTATGGAAAAACCATGTTTTCATGATTGTCTCAAATAATCGAGAATTTATAATTTGTTGGGATTTCCAATTACGTTTGATCGATCGTGAAGGTCAACTTATACTACGACACTAAGTCTTGCCCGCGGCTGTGTTCACACATATCTAACTTTTGTACAGTTGTGTATTCATATTATTGTATGTCGTGTGAAACATTACTTTGCATATACCTACCTATATCCTTCTCTATACATTTCAATAACTCTCTTACAGTTTGCGACAGAGACTGTTATTCTTCTCAGATATTTCTTAGCAGAAGTAATTTTGTTTTGGGAACTAAATATACTATATACCTAGAAATAAAATAAAATGTTTATTGTATATGCTTTATCTTTCCTCAATATTATTTTTATATATCTACTATATATTGGTCCAAAGAGTCTGCACTCTATATGATAAGATAAAAACAAAATGTTCGCATTAATTTGAATATAATTATGTACAGTCTTTATAAATATTGATTTGTAACAATGCTTTGCTTAAATCTAGATTGGTAGCCAATGAGCTACAATTCTTTATAAATAAATGTACGCAAAAAGGTGCGTACCTATATAGGATAAGTAATTTAATAAATTATCATTCATTTTATTTACTTTTTATTGTTTAATATATTTTTTATCGAATTAAGTGTTATTTTGATATAAATCCGTTAATTTTTAAATGACAACTAATCTGAAATACAATTTAATATATGAAATTATAACTTTACTTCTTCATTTTACACCTCAAGAAATGTGTGACGTTGTCATAGGATAATTACAATATGATTAACATTAAAATATTAATATTCCCAAAACCACTAAAAAGAAAGAATTCTGTCATTATATCCTTAATTTCTTAACTAACGCAGGTTTATTGTTAGCACAATGAACTTTTATTGTCTGAAATAAATAATAATAACATTTTCTTTTATTTCAGGAGGGTGTTCTTGTTGGAAAATCAAGGAATTTATCAAACTGGCGGCTGAGGCGGAACAAGCCGACGAGCTTCTACCACTGTTTGAACCTGATGATAGTGGTATTGACAGTGACGACACTGGTCGGGTCGCATCGAGTGCCAGACGGCACAACAATAGGATAGTGGAGGTTAGTAAGCCTTTTTTTTACTTCTTTTTAATTTTAAGGACTTTTGTACCATCTAACTACATGTCAGTCCCATTGTACTCTAAAAATAATTACTCCATTACCTCACCAGTGAACAAATTGCCTTAGCCGCACCGCCCGAAGGATCGGCTAAAACAGTTTCTATGGCACCAACATCTAATATATTTATTTCATAGTCTGACGTTATTCTATGTCGTAGACTCTCGTTCCTGACACACTCTATCAGCAAATGATATACATCCTATTGTACCTCATACTTCACAATTTTGTGAATTGCTTTATTTCATCAGGTATGCAAACTTTGCCGATGGATAATGTCCAGAACGGAGTCTATGCATTTTTACAATGTAAGAACGTGTACCCTTCACATAGTTAGTAAGCTTAAGATTCAATTACGATACAATAAAGAATGGCTTCGGTGGTCTAGCAGTTTAGCACACCGTTTTATATCCGGTGGTAGCGGTTCTTCTCCTCGCACGGTACAATCATTTGTGAATATGGTTGTTTGTATCGGTGTGGGTGTTTTCCATGTATTTATTTACAAAAAAGTACAGCTATCTATTATATTTTCATCAGTTGTCTAATACAAATAACACAAGCTCTGCTTAGCTTGGGTCTAGATGGCGCTGTGTGAATTGTTCAGTGATTTTATTATAATATTTTATTGAATGACAAAGAAGCTTAAGCTTATATGATAGTAACTATTATCTATGGAACTATACAACCACAAATTCAATTTGTTTAATTGGATATGACTTGCATGGAAATATAACATGTGCGACTCTATTATCCAATAAACAGAATTAATATTATTATGGATCAAAATTTGTCAGTTGGTGTGATCAACACCAACTGCAGTCACTATTAATGATTATACAGGAGTTATTAATTAAATTAAAAAAAAAATTGAAAAATTTATTAGTTAATTTAATTTCTCGAAAATTTTTTACATGTTATTATTACACGATTACAGGTAGAAGAAAGTAGCAGTGATGAGGATCCTGTGATCAGAGCGTGGTGGCCGGCGAAAAGAAAGAATGACCAATTACTGGTAAGTTGATAATACTTTATTTATTAACCTCTAAAGTTCCAAAACAAATATGTGGTATCTTTACCGAAACTGTACAATTAAAGACAATTATTTTTGCAATCTTTAGAATTTGCTCCAACGTTAATTTCGAATAATATACCTATATCATACGAGATTAGTTTAGGTACTTCTTACGAAGTTATACGTACTGCTACTTGTTACTTGTGCTGCAGTTTCATTATATATTTTACATTTATCTTATTATAAAATATAAATATTAAAGTATACTTAATATAATAAATCAGGATTAAATTCAGTAGGTATAAATTTGGCTATTTTTTATTATTATATTTGTGGAAGCTGTAACAACGAAGACTACTAATACATAATAATAAGTATACTCAAATGATTTTCTTCTTCTTTCTTTACACAAATTATATTTTCCTTATCTTATTCATAATGTATATCTAGTTATTAGTAACATAATATTGTTCAACAAGGAGAATTAAAATCAAATTGATTTTATCCAAAAATTTGTTCGATTTTATATTTACAGATAAATATGAGGGAGCAAGTAAATATAATGGATAATGGTGCTAGAGCAGTGGAGCGAGTTAGTCAAGATACTTGCATGATGACAGATAGCTCTGACCGCGCCTCTCCTCCCCTTTATGAAGTGGAATTAACAGCTTCAGACGAAGATGACGATGCTTCTGTATTAGAACTAGTCATACCGATGCAGTCCTCGAAATATCACAGAGTACCAACGTCATCACCAAAGAAAACAAAACCCAAAGCTCCCAAATTTTTCTGCAATTTATTCTGTTGTATCCGTAAGTAATATTTCTATGCTGGAAATTGATTTTAGGTATCCATTGGGTGCTTATCATACATAATTTACCGTCAAACAATATTTATTGTTTTTTAAAGTACCTATATGTAGTTAAAATGGCATAAAAAATTATGTAATACTTGATGGTAAGTGGCAACTATTGACCACATATATGACCAGTATCACGGATATCGCATTATCACGTGACGCCCGTGGTACCACTTTTGTATTCGCATATCGGAGAACTAAAATATCACGCCATAATATCCTATAATTTCACTACTTTATCTATTAAAACACACAAAACGCAAGTTACTTGGCGGCTGAAGTCCCCACGCAGAATACTTTGTACAAAGTCTACCTAAACACGGTATATATAATAATTTTATTCACAAATATACAATTGAAAATGAATATTATGCATTTCAGTTAAAATTCTTTTAAGATTCTGGTAATGGTAAATGACATGGTATGCTAACAACTGCACAGCATGTTTATAATTGTCGCTCACAGTAAGGTTTTACGGGACAGTAAATTTTATATAAAAGTACTCACTTACCAATTTAATTTAGTGAGTGTCTTGACTGACACCACAGATAAGATAATTTTCCATACTGCAACTATATAAAAATATGTTTGTTACACAAATTAATATTGTAAATACATTTGTAACAAAATTTTTTTCACAGATATTTCTATTAGATATTAACTACTAAATATAATTATGGACTTAATTTTTATGTACATGACAAACTGAATTCTAGTATATGTATTGAAAATTTCAAAAAATTCATTTTATAGTGGAATGTTATTTTAAGTAGGCTTTAAGTATTATGTGTTCTTTTAGTATTGACGTATCTATACTGTAAGATTTTACTTTTATTTTTGTATCATCTTTCTGAAAACTATATAAGTTAGATTTACCAAATTAAAATCTATAGTCTCTTAAGTTTATTATTATAGAGTTACTATTCAAGTAACATCTACATGTGGTTAAGAATTATACAGGGTTTGTCGTAAATGAGTCTAAGCTGAAAGTTATTTATGAAATAGAACCATTTTCACCAAGAAGTAGAGAGGAACTCTGAAACGACTTGTTTTAGTTACAAACAAATCATGAATATATATGTATATATAATATATAAATGTATGCCGATTCAATTATAACATGTAATGAGCTGTAATAAAGACATATATATGTGATGGTGTATGGCATGGCACCGCCTGGGCTAACGGTTTACACTGGCGGGGCACTAATAGAGGATGATAAGATGAGCATGAGGTTAAGTTATTTAGCCCATGATGACAAATTCACTAAGAATTTATCACGATGGTTTCCAGGGGAACCTGGAGGTCAACCTGACAGGATATTTGCTAGCAATAAGATCATCAATTCACAGTACTAATATCAACTACAACATCCCATTGCCCCCGCTGTCTTAAATTACCAATGTATTTGTGAGACTTAAAGATAGTACTTCTTGGAACTAATTGAAGATACCAGAACCACAGCTTGGAATAGGATATGAGAATGGAATAAAAAAAGAGATATTTACTTTATTTTTTGTACTTAGATATATTTAGTTTAATTCTAAACACTGATAAAAGTGACTATAAGTGTGTCTATCTATTGCTATTAACTTTAATATTTAAATTTTCTGATTGAAGTTGTCTGTGAAGTCAATTCTTCATTACATGTAATACGAGTTAATCATAAGTGTAAAAAATGTATACCCAGTGTGTGAGTTTGTCAATTATGAATATAGTTGTTATGCATATTAATTTTTATGTATATATGCATACACGCTACATTAATTGTTATTATTTTTTATTCGTCAATTAGAACAGCTATTGTAATAAAATAATGTTATTGTGAACTCAAATGCTTCACATTTTTTTTATTATAGTTTCGTTAAAGTTTAAATTTAACATAAGAAAAAATATGTGTATTATTTTAGTTAAACCTATAGTGAAGATATATTTTGTTAAAAAATTGTTATAAGTAAGGTATAAGTTAAAGAAAGGCCATTTATATTAGATTTTTTGGTACTTATGTACGTTTCTAATTAACTAATTATGTACAGTAAGACTGATTTTGGCCTGAACTGTAATTTAAAAATTTGCCAATTTTAGTATACTTCTTTGTGATTTAACTTTTTACAACAGAAACATTAACATATACGGATGTATCGATTGTCTATTATTTATGTAGTTACTTATATTAAATTTTAATTCAAGTATTAGTTATATAAGGAGATATAAACACGTTATAATTTAGATACAGCATAACTTAATACTTACTTATTACGATGTTGTATTTCATACAAAAAGGTATATCTAATTAATTAAATTAGTTTAATTGAATCTTTACCTATGTCTTGGAAACTATCTTATTTAAACAGCTAAATAAGTTCTTCCTAATTATTGGTTTTGTATAGAATACTATTGTAATTAAAATGTAAATACTAAACTGAACTACTTTTTAGGTATGATTGGATATTGTCTCTATTCTTGAAGTTGGTAATGCAGATGGTTGTACTTATATTATAATTAATTCTTTAAAATAATCTATGTATATAATACATTTCGAATGCTATATAGACTTATGTGTTTTATTAACCGAAAAAGTATCTTATAAATCTACTTATATAATTTATTTTTGAAAAATTTACTATAAATTGGAGAAAAATCGCATATCGACTGTAGTTGACAAGGTTCTTTCTTGTAAAATAATACAAATAATAACTTATCAGATTAATTATTGTTGAAATACTCGAAAAACTAAACGTAATATCTCTAACAATTAGGATATGGCGCTGTGTAAATTATGGTGACATATTATTATTATTATTAATTAGGACAAGATTATGTCACAAAAATCCGATAACAGTAACTAAAAACTATTTTGAATAAACAATGGCACGCAATATAACGATATCACATACATGGTAGTGTGTAATATTATCTGTGATGGTAGTAAATCATATACATAGATTGCAAAAATAATAAAGTCTGTCAGTTTTGGTAAGTAACCCTCTTTCTTTTAGAACTCGTTATAAAAGAATTTCATAATAATAATAATAAACTAATAAGAAGGAGCATAGTAAAACACAATAAATAGAAAATTAATAACAAAAGGCGGTATTGCCGCTATAATTTCATATCCTTTTAAAATAAAAGATTTTACGGAAAATAGTTTGCTTAAATTAATTTACTAGAAGTTTAAATATAACTAGCTGTTCCCGCAACTTTGTCCGCGTGGAATTCAACTTCATTTTTCTAAAATAAAATTAGCCTAAGTTACTCCTTATTACACCTGCCAAAAAAAGTCCCGTCAAAATCGGTCCAACCATTTCAGAGATTAGCCGGAACAAACAGACAGACAGACAGACAAAAATTGTATAAAGTGTTATTTTGGTGTATGTATTTATATTCATTTGCATGTAGTAAAAAACGGTCATTTCAATATTACAAACAGACACTCCAATTTTATTTATAGATTAAGTTAATTAGGTAATATAAAAAAGCAAAGTACAGTTGCTCTAATTATTAGTTACTGTTTGTTGGGATTTCCAGTAGATAGTGCTTTTTTGTAGTTCTGCTATTCGACCACAGATGGCACTCAACCAAAATAAAATCCGACCAAGGTTAAAAATATTAGTTAATTATTCTATGGGAGAGTGTATTGAACTAAAAAGTTACCTATTAAAAATATACAATTATAGTTCTTTCAAGTCAGAATGTTCACTATTATTATAACACATTATTGTAATAATTATTATCGTGGTTAGATAAAATTTCAGATAATATTTCTCTATTGAAAACTAAGAAAACTGAACACATTTGTTTATAATATAAATATACGTAGTATAATATATAACGAATTTTTCCCTTTCTCAATTTTGCCCTAACTACGGTTCGATTATAACCTGTCGGTTGTGTTAAATATACCGAGTAATTTCGGGTTTCGTGTAGGAGGAGGCAGAGGAATGTAACCTAATTGGCAATCTTAATTTGCCGAACTCCGCTACTCCGGTTTTCAGCCCCGCTGACTCGCAAACACTCGATTTCTAGATAAATTAATGGAATACGTAGATGAGATACAATATTCAACTGAGATACTTTTTATTCGAAATAAAAGTTATTATTAATTACAGTAGAATTGTATATGTAGACTAATACGTGTAAGTTACATAGGATTTAATATACTATGAAGGTAATAAAAATATATCAGTTCTTTTTAAAGTTCAAAGAGCAGAATTTGAGGTCTCCCATTATCGCTATTTGACACGCCTGTGCTTAGCAAACCGGTTGCATTTATATCCACTGAGATCAAAATTTATTCTAATTTCATGAAGAGATTAATTTCTTTTATGAAATTAGAATAAATTTGGGCAGGTCAACTGACTGCCTTCCTGATGGAAAATAGTACCTAACCATCATTAATATACTCGTAAATGACCTAATATACCTAACAATACTATTACCATGGACATTAAAAAAAATATCCGCGTTAGTTCTCATGGATTGGTATTCCATAGGACAAGAATTTTATACCTTCCTACTCTGTTTTTCTACTGCCAATTCTCATCCTTCGCATTGGAACACACATTGCAAGATCTTGATATACCTATATTGTTTTTTTCTGTAATGTTTACATTTACAAATTCTCTATTTCCAATAACAGTGTTAATATGAAGAAACTGGTATCTATAATACAGTTATATACCTACTTTAGAAACAATAAAGAAAACTAAAATAGACATTAATACGTAAGTCAAATAAATTTGTTCCACTTGGAAAAAACTTATATTGATTTGTGTGCGATTTACAAAGAACTCAAAAAAAAATTTGAATATAATCTAATCATCCAGTAATTGTTAAATTACTTAATTATATGTATGTATTTAAAAATATTAAATGTTATAAACTTTTGCTATAATAAAACTAATATTATGTATTTTTAAAGTAAAAGTAAAAACAAAAATAGCCATTTCTTTCTTGTTTTTTTTATATATTTAGATACGTTTTCATTTAATGCTATCGCTGTCTGAGTTCGCCGTCCTAGAGCACAAATAGATAGATATATAAATATACTGCATTAATAATGTAATGCTTAGATAAATACTATGTATAATTGTAAAAACACAATCGTGCAAATTTACGTACATATTTTTATGTAGGTCTAAATACAATTATTTTGATTTGATGAATACTGGACCCCATGCTACGACGTAGTACGTAATTTCAAAGCAATGAGAGAGCAATGTAGAGTCAAGATATTTAATCTTTTCTATCAGTTTTTATATACGACAATTGACATTCTTGACTATTTTATTAAAATAAAGAAAAGAGATTATTTGCAAATATTTTATTAAAAGTGAACACCTTAACAAATTATTTTACTATTATGAACGTGTAATTATATATGAGTAATTAAATATTTAAAAATTGTTAAAGAAAATTTTGTTTCGTTAGAATAATGTTTAATAAATTATACAGATATTGTAGTTTGGACGCTTGTTTATTACAGTATTACGTGAAAATACTGTTTTTTGTTCATGATCCATTCATTAGTATATACCTTATAGACGATAGTACTTTAGTTTTTAAATTTCGATTTGAATTTCATCTCCATCAATTAATCAAAGAATCAATTCATAATACTCTATGAATTAATTGACTCTTGTAAATTAATTCTTTGAAGGTAAATAATAAAAATAAGGTATAGAACAAAGAAGT